AGATCAATCAGATCATTCAGATCAATCAGATCAATCAGATCAATCAGATCAATCAGGTCAATCAGGTCAATCAGATCAATCAGATCATTCAGATCAATCATTCAAATCATTCAGACCAATCATGCAAATCAATCAGATCAATCAGATCAATCAGATCAATCAAATCATTCAGATCAATCAGATTATTCAGATCAATCATTCAAATCATTCAGATCAATCAGATCAATCAGATCAATCAGATCAATCAGATCATTCAGATCAATCATCCAAATCATTCAGATCAATCATTCAAATCATTCAGATCAATCAGATCATTCAGATCATTCAGATCATTCAGATCAATCATTCAAATCATTCAGATCAATCCGATCTTTCAGATCATTCAGATCATTCAGATCAATCAGATCATTCAGATCATTCAAATCATTCAGATCATTCAAATCATTCAGATCAATCAGATCATTCAGATCATTCAAATCATTCAGATCAATCATTCAAATCATTCAGATCAATCAGATCATTCAGATCATTCAGATCAATCATTCAGATCAATCAGATCAATCAGATCATTCAGATCAATCAGATCATTCAGATCAATCAGATCAATCATTCAGCTCATTCAGATCAATCAATCAGACCATTCAGATCAATCAGATCATTCAGATCATTCAGACCTTTCAGATCATTCAGATCATTCAGATCAATCAGATCATTCAGATCAATCAGATCATTCAGATCATTCAGATCAATCATTCAAATCATTTAGATCAATCATTCAAATCAATCAGATCATTCAGATCATTCAGATCAATCAGATCAATCATTCAAATCATTCAGATCAATCAGATCATTCAGATCAATCATTCAAATCATTCAGATCAATCAGATCAATCAGATCATTCAGATCAATCATTCAGCTCATTCAGATCAATCATTCAGCTCATTCAGATCATTCAGATCATTCAGATCATTCAGATCAATCAGATCATTCAGATCATTCAGATCATTCAGATCAATCAATCAAATCATTCAGATCAATCATTCAGCTCATTCAGATCAATCATTCAAACCATTCAGATCAATCATTCAGCTCATTCAGATCAATCAGATCATTCAGATCATTCAGATCATTCAGATCAATCATTCAGCTCATTCAGATCATTTAGATCAATCAGATCATTCAGATCAATCAGATCATTCAGATCAATCAGATCAATCAGATCATTCAGATCAATCATTCAAACCATTCAGATCAATCATTCAAATCATTCAGATCAATCAGGCCATTCAGATCAATCATTCAAATCATTCAGATCAATCATTCAAATCATTCAGACCAATCAGATCATTCAGATCATTCAGACCTTTCAGGTCATTCAGATCAATCAGATCATTCAGATCAATCATTCAAATCATTCAGATCAATCATTCAGCTCATTCAGATCAATCAAATCATTCAGATCAATCATTCAGCTCATTCAGATCATTCAGATCTATCAGATCATTCAGATCAATCATTCAGATCATTCAGATCAATCATTCAGCTCATTCAGATCAATCATTCAAATCATTCAGATCAATCATTCAGCTCATTCAGATCATTCAGATCAATCAGATCATTCAGATCATTCAGATCAATCAGATCAATCATTCAAATCATTCAGATCAATCAGATCATTCAGATCAATCATTCAAATCATTCAGATCAATCATTCAGCTCATTCAGATCAATCATTCAAATCATTCAGATCAATCATTCAGCTCATTCAGATCATTCAGATCAATCAGATCATTCAGACCTTTCAGATCATTCAGATCAATCAAATCATTCAGATCAATCAGATCATTCAGATCATTCAGATCAATCATTCAAATCATTCAGATCAATCAGATCAATCAGATCAATCAGATCATTCAGATCATTCAGATCAATCAGATCAATCATCCAAATCATTCAGATCAATCAGATCATTCAGATCAATCATTCAAATCATTCAGATCAATCAGATCATTCAGATCATTCAGCTCATTCAGATCATTCAGATCAATCAGATCATTCAGATCATTCAGATCATTCAGATCAATCAGATCATTCAGATCATTCAGCTCATTCAGATCATTCAGATCAATCAGATCATTCAGATCATTCAGCTCATTCAGATCATTCAGCTCAATCAGATCATTCAGATCATTCAGATCATTCAGATCATTCAGATCAATCAGATCATTCAGCTCATTCAGGTTCAGGTGAGGAGGATTGGCGGCGCCATATCCTGCAGGAGGGCTGTGTCCGGAGGCTCAGCTCCCGGAAGCGGTGAGCAGTGCAGAGTGCAGACTGTTCTTGGCATTGGGGCGACAGATGGCGGCAGCATGTAAGGGCGTGCAAATGCGTGTAATGATAGTACCATATACAGTAGTACCATCACGTGGCACTTCAGTCTGGGCTTTAACATTGAAGCAATAGAATTGTTTGGTGATGTTGGCATTTGAAAAAAGAGAATGGATTTCACACGAATTCACATGATTCATTATCTATCTATCGATCTATCTATCTATCTATCTACCTATCTATCTATCGATCTATCTATCTATCTGTCTATCTATCTATCCATCCATCTATCTATCTATCTATCTCTCTCTCTCTCTTTATATATATAATATATATTGATTTATAATCTGCCGGTGCTTCGGACGTTGTTGAAACATGTTGAAGCTCACTGCGCGTTTCAGCTCAGCCGACTCGGTCCGAGGCTGCCAATCCTCGTGCAAAAACGTGATTCGCAATCATGTCGCAATCGTTGCGTTTTTATTTCGATTTATTTTGTCCCAAGGAAACTGAATTTTCTCAAATCTCAAGGAGATTTGTGGCATAGTCTGTGAGATAGATAACTATGTTTGATGTGAAAATGGTTGGTTGGTTAGTTGACATACTCGAGTTGATCTTCAGATTTCTTGGGGCCATGTACATGAGCTAGCTCCAATGCTTCGATGTCTCGCACTCACAGATTTGCCACAGATGAGCAAGTGGAAGTATTTTGTAGTTCTGTATGAACGGGCCATGAACTCAGGGGTTTCTGCAAGCTAGCTAGCCATGGCTAGCCCAATTCTTCTATGACGCGAAAGAACCCTTGTTTTATGTTGTTTGATGATGTTTAACTATCGGTCTTGTGTGTGTATGTATTTGCCTAATATCGGGAAATAGTCACCGGAGAAAGGCAGAATCTGAAGAGCCATCGACGTCGAGATGCTCAATGATGGGATCGTAGCTAGGTTGTTTGCAAGAATTGTTGGAGTTGAATTGGTGAGCGGATGTCAGCAGCGCGTTGGCCGGTGGAAAATGGATAATGACCACCTTTACAACTGCTGCCGCATTGTTGAAGGATGTTAAAGTGAGGACAGGCAGAAGACATCCAGTCTCAATACGAACTAGATGAGTGTGACATTGATAGCACAATCAGTCATGGGAGTGTCCTCACTATGGAGGCTTCAATCTGAAATATCTTCAGAATATTTGCAGGATTATTTATAACAGTGACCGTGAGACTTGAAGACCCCACGTTCTAAAGTGCATTCTTGAATAATATGATAATATATATATATGATATTATGATATATATATATAATGTCACGCATATGTTGCATACTGTATGGGTATGCGGTATGCACATGACACGTGTACTGACATTGTGCAGATACATGTGTACATACATGTGCACATAGATGTGCATAGTATATATGTATGCAATATGATGATAATATATATATATGTGTAGGGGATTGATTGTGTGTGTTTTTTGTGACATTTATTGAACTTATATGTATATCTTTTGGTTGCTCTGGGAAGCCTGTCTCCTCTACATCGTTATCCTCACCATAGTTGTGAACAAAAGGCACGGAAGTGAACTCGTCCTGGAAGAGGCCAGCAAATTTCTGTGAGTTTGCTGTATTTCAGTATCTTCCATGCCCATCCATGCGCTTCCGCTATATATATATAATATAATATATTATACTATAATATAATATAATATACTATGCTATAATCTAATCTAATCTAATATAATATAATATAATATAAATATTAAAATATATAATATAATAGATAATATATAATATATAATATAATATAAAATATAATATATAATATAATAGATATAATATATAATACAATAGATAATATATAATATATAATATATAATATATAATATTTAATATATAATATATAATATATATTGATAATATATTATATATAATATATAATATATAATATGTAATATATAATATAATATAACATAATATAATATAATATAACATAATATAATATAATATAATATATAATATAATATAAAAGAATATGATTTGATATGATATAATACAATATATAATATATAATATAACAAATAATATAATATATAATATAATATATTATATAATATATAATATAATATATAATATAATATATAATATATAATATATAATATTTAATATTTAATATATAATATATAATATATAATATAATATATAATATAATAATATAATAATTAATATAATATATAATATATATACATATTGATTTGATATTGATATTGATTTGCATGTTAGTTATGTTCACATTTGCGCTGCCTTGGGTGGCCCTGCGAGATTCCTAAGAAGGCTCTAGGATATGAGCAGAGCGAACATTGCGGCAGATGACCAACACCAACACCACCTGGGAGCCAAGTCGGATCGGACCACCATTCAGCTCACAATTTCTTGGGGACTTAGACGTTGCACAGCAAGTTGTGAAGGGAACTTCTCTATCGTCTAGTTTAGAGACCCCTGACATTTGCTGACAGATGCTCACATGCCCACACATGAACATGCATATACGCAAGACTCTCAGTATCTCAGTATTTTGCAGGAATGGATGTAAATGGTATTGCTTTGAATCAAAGTCACATATGGCCAGGCCATGTTAGGCCTTAGCACTGAGAAGGTTCGCCATGACGTGATGCCGTGACGCCATGCAAAAAGCAAGAGCAGAACTCAGCAAACTGGAGACTGTGACTCGCAGCCTCGTCTCCTGCATCGAATGTCCCATTTGCCGCTTGCCCGGATTAATGATTGCAATTGACTCGATATAATTTGATTCAACCATATTCAACCGTGTTGAGTTGGTATAGGTTGGTATGCAGATAGGATATGATAGGATCAGGTCAACTTGGGATGATGTTTGATTAATTTTGATTGGGCCTAGCAGCGGTGGGACGATCCATGATGATCCATGACAAATTGAGGTATGGAAACCATGACGGAGGCTGCAAGCGGTTGTTGCAACTTGGCTTTTTGCTCCCGGCGAGTTTGGGGAGGAGAGAAAGTCCTGTTCAGTCGCAGCCTGTGTAGTCATTGTGTTTGAATGTGCCTGAGGCATTTCAGGACAATAGAGATTCAGTGGCCAAGAAATGGATGAATGATCCTTCCATGATGGTCAGTACCAGTCTGTTTGATTCCGTTTGCCCGCGGGGCGTGTTACTGCAAGAGTTAAAACATGTTATATAAACATTTTGGCTGGACCAGATTTTTCGTGTGTGGATCGTTTCTAATGAGAAACACATTTTTACGCATGCTATCACATTAATTCTTTTATTCTGGTAAGCAGCCAGGCCAGAAAGTACAAGTTTTGATTTCTTCTCCTACAGTTCTTGGAACGTAGGACAGGCACAATTTTCTTGGCCGGCTTACGTGTTGGTCACAATATCTACGATCATCATCATTACCCGTGGTCCCGAGGTCTCTTCTGAGAAGATTCTGCTATAACTATAACAAACATACTTTCACCACTTTCTTTAGCCCATATGTCACTAATTCAATTCTGTGACGATTATCTTAGGAAATGTGGAGCCTTTCCCCTTCCTTTTCTATGCCTCCGAGTTGGTAAAACTGGTAAACTGGCTGTCGTCTTTAGACACCTTCGCAAACAAAACCGACTTATTATATGACTCAAATTGCTCATTACATTGATCCAGCTGACACAGACGGCAAAGAGACTGGCTTGACATGTTCGAAAAGGGGGTATCCTTTGCATCAAATGCTTTCACAGGTAATTTGTCTTCAATGCATTCACGTGTCTCCTGCATGGCACAATGGAAGGAAGTGACGAAAGACATCAACAGACAGATCAGCGTCTGACAATCAGCTGACGTCCGGTGACGGATGTCGCCCTGATCCAAAGAGGCTACTTATTGGTATTTGGTATTTTAATGACTTTAATGATAATGTATTATTTTGATTCCAGTTGCGTTTGTCAAACATTTCAGCATTCTGGACAAATATAAGGCGGTCATTGCTTCTGCATCGGATGCTTTGGATGTTCGTTGACATCCTCCTTCAGCTGCCCTACTTGCAGAGAGCCACTTGGCATTGCAATCGTCCTGAGAGTTGAACGATTTTTGATGTACATAGATGATCATAGATGTACATAGTACATTTTGTGATGTACGTTACATGATGATCATGTTTCTCTATATTTCTGTGACTTTCACTCTCAATGCTAGGGTTGTTTATTTAGTATGCCGCATGCCTACTCCGTCTGGTTTGCCAGGCCAGTCAAGGGCCTTGTGCGTCAGCCGCTTTGCCTAAACTGTTGGGAATGTGCAGCATGGGGAGGCGGTGGAACATAGAACTGCTAAGCTATGCTAAGCTGCTATCGTTCCTCCGTGACATTGGTCGCCACTAGTATCTTGGGTCCAGGTGTGCTAGGGCAAAAGGGTACAAGTTTGGCAGCACGCTGAGGCTGCAGATGTGAAAACATAATACAAGACATGATTGAGAGAGAGAGAGAGAGAGAGAGTAGGGAGAGATACAATATGTATATGGCACTATACATGAGACTGAATAGTTTCTTTTTGGCACAAGCACATGCACAGGCACATGCACAAGCACATGCACACACAGACAGAATGTAATAATGGTGTTTACTGTACATTATCATTATCTTTTATGGATTTTCATGGATGTGAAGGCAGTGGTCTCCATTCTAGGTCTTTCGATCTGACCACAGAATTTGAATGCATGCCCATGAGGTTTGCAGTTGAGCAGATAGCAGCACACATCCCGCTGCTAAAGGACAGGCATCATTGCCTGTGAGTTTTGGCCTGCTTTTGATCTTCAGAGCTGTACGGAACAGGTGTTATTGGAAGTGGAATATTGCCAACAGCACTACTGCAATTTGATTTAGGTTACAATGGTGACTGTAACAAGAAATTGTCTACACTGAACAGTTCAAACTGAGAAGATCATGAGGGATCGTGCCGCACAGTGATCCTAGCTACACTACGATTGCTCATAAAAGGAACAGTAAGTGGGCCAACCGCCTACCACGATCAAACGTCTTCATCAGCGACGCAGCTGATAATTTAAATTCAGGGCTCACGGGTGGGTGCTCAAACACTGAACACCACCGACGCCGCGGCCCTCCGCTCAACCAATCCGTTTTGCTAATCGCGCAACCAAACCGTCACGCCAAACCGCTAGTGGCCAGCTAGCGCTCCTGCCATGAATCCACATGACAGGCAACAGAGACCAAGTAATCCCACATATAAGCAAGAGACTCTGTCTCCACACAAATGTGTCCACATGACAGGCACTAAACATCATGCAAAATTACATGACAAGAGACCTGTTTGTGCAGCAGTCCCAAGTGTGCACATGAGAAGTACATCATGAAAACCTAGATCTTACCTCCAGTCTTATGAATCCATGGAGTTCACACTGCTCACACCGTGCAACATCATGACAAACCCACACCTAGATCACCAGGTCACCAGGTCACTCCTCCACAATGGTTCAGCGTAGAATGAGGATTACAGTACTTCCTAAAGCAACCGGGCCGGGCATCCCCCTACAACACTCAACCTTCATTTGGGCGCTACCTAGCTACTGGATCCCACTACTCGCCCCTGCGTGTCGACCTGCCTGCATCACCGCGTCATAAGAACTCCTGTCAGTCGTGGTCAGCCCAAACCTACATGTGTCTGCGAGATGTGGGGTGGCAGAGGGAAAGATTTGATGAGATGTGTAATCAATATGTGTAACATCTGTATAGATGTATATAAAACCTCTCCTTTTTCTTTTTTTCTTTCCTTCTTGTTTTCATTGTCATCGGTTTCAATGGTTTTGTATATTTGCAGGGCAGGGGGTGCCAGGGATCATTGCAAGTCTGGCACTAACAAAGACACTTTGCCTTGATCTGTGATATCAGAAAGGGACGCCTTTCTGACGTACCTGCCAATCCATATTTTATTTCTGCAATGGCCAGGGGCTAAAGCCGAGAAACCCAACAACAATTTGTTTCTTTTCGATATTTGTTCATACATGGTCCACGTGGTATTTTCCGAGATGGCAAAGGGCTGAGCCGAGAACCCTGACATGGTTATTTATTTGACGTTTTGGAATCTGGTTTTGTCTGCGCTCGATATTTTCGGATGACCTTCATTATATTCGCGAAGTACCACCAGGAGATCTACTTTAGGTCAATTTTCTAGTCTTGTTGCATGTGAAAAGGACTCAGTTCCTGATGGATCACTTAAAAGATCCAATTTTGTCTAGTGTGCGTGTGTGTGTGTGTCCATACCTACAATAGGTGACCATATATGAGGGTTCTGGAGTCGAGCTGGGCAATGGCCAGCAGGACATTGCTCTTCAGTTTGGCGTCCACTTGGCCCAAAGAGAAATGGATTTGGATGCACGTAGGTGGGATCAATTCTGCTCTTTTTGGGAAGGGCTCTTTCAAAATTGAAATGAGGCAGGCTGAACTGCGGACCTTCAATCTGAAAGATACCATTTTGAAACGATGGCTTCATATATGATAACCCCTTGGCTGTGCAGAAATCTATAAAAATCTAGTGGTAGAACTCTACGCAGAGGCGTTTGGCAGAAGTCGAAGCAGAGCTGCAAAAGGAAAGGTGTCGTCACTTGGCGGAAAGGTGTCGTCACCGCAACGGAAGCGATACTAAGATTGGGAGCGTGTGTCTGGAGGCCTGAAACATGTATATGCACGATCAGAGACAGTCTTTCCGTCCATTGGCCATTGTCAGCCCCTGGGAACAATTGCACATTCAACCCGTGCTCCATCCCCGCCTAGAACCACACGTAATCAAGTACTTAATCAGGATGCAAAGAGTTGCAGTTGAACTGTGTAAAAATGGTGTTCGAATGACTCAGCTCAAGTTCCCACCAGCTCAAATTTGGGTGTGTCATTTTTACTGTTCCGAGCCGAGTTGCCGTAGCTGTTTCAAGCCTTCACTGGCGCACACATGAGATCCAAGTTCCTCATAGTGCAGTGCAGCACATCTTTTCCCCGATCCTGCAATGCTTTGTTTGGTGACAGAATCAAAGATTTTGATCTTTGATGTGTTGATATGTGTCAGTTTAGATATTACATTCCCATACATTCCCTGCTTGCTGTCGCTAGCGAATGGCGCAGCCTACACGGATGCACAAGACCAGAAGACAAATAAGACAAGCTTGGAGGGGGAATCCGATTCGTCGCTGGACCCACATCCTTTGGTCGCTTCTGACAGGGCTGGTTTTGTCAAGGGCTGCGTTTGTAAGCCCCATAGCAAGACATGCCGTTGGAGCTGGACCGGAAGATGTGAAAGATGTGGAAGTGATGCCGGTGCTGAGCCCGGAAGCCACTGTGGAAATCATTGGTGAAAACACGTCCGCACCTGTGCGCCTGTTGTACTCGCCAGGTGGGCTTGTCTCAAAAGCATTGACCCGACACAGTTTTTTTGAAGCGCTTGCGATTCCTTGCATTTCCTTATATCCAGATTGAGTGACCTTGGAGTTTTATGGTGTAAGTTGGGGACTACAAGTACAAGTAGGCAAGCGCCAGCATACCTTCAAAATTTGCTTTGGATGTAGATGCTCCTTTTGATTCCCGAAGGTGTTCAGTCCCTGCTCTCTTTGCTGAGCAAGTTGCAGAACACCACAGAAGAGACATCGGGTACCTGTTTGCAACTTGTTCTGTACAGAAATGCGTTGGAACTTTTGGGAGCATTTTTCCCCAGATGGTTCTACGAACGATTATGGTAGAAGTTGAATGTACCACCCAGGTACTCTAGGGATCTCTAAGGTGTATTTGAAGTGGTATTGATAGGCCACTGAGACACAAAGGCAAGCATTGCTGCGGAACATTCCAAAGGTGGTGGAAAATGTGAGCGAGCAAGAGATTCCCAGTGACCTGGAGGGAGACTTCGAAGAGGCCATGGGAATTGGGTTCTTCGGTGGGTCAAGCAATGATCATTGGGCTCCAGGAGTCCAGGTGCTTACCCTGCCCTGCGCATGGACGGCATAATGTGGCATACAGTACATACCAGCAGGAATAGCCTGGAATGAAACATAGTGATCTGCAGCTTCCTGATCATTCGCCAATATTTACCGCAGAGTATTTCTTGTGATTGTTTATCTAGCGTGCTGGCCCTCCCTGTGTAGGCCTTGCAAGCCCTACCTGAGATCACTACAAGCGGAGGGAACTTTGAAACGGATACAGCTGCAGGGCCATTTCTTCAGAAACTCAGCCGCTTACGTTTGGTCAAGCGGCTGCCAGAAATTGCTCAGCGCTTAGCGCCTTTTGAAGTCCTTTATCCCGATTCCCTTGCGAAGCAGAGTTGCTCGGCCGCCTCACATATCCACACATCCTTTGACCGCAGAGAATGAGAAGATGAAAACATGCTCCCTAATACAAAAGTTGCCAAAACTCAAACTGTCCTGAAAACCTGGAAGCATACAGTACAGCATACAGTATGAATCCATATTATGAAAGCGCTCATAGTATGGAAAATGCTGGACATGCTGTCAGTACAGCATGATAGCACCATGGACAAAAACACCGTGTCCCAAGTGGGGTCCCCCTGGCCGAAATTATCGGAACTTGCTGGCCATGTGATTGGCCAAGTGACATCAACGACCCATGCACCAAGATGCACCAAGATGCACCAAGATTCATGCACCAAGATGCACTAAGGCAAGATCGAAACTCAGGAGCTGAAGGAGGCCTTTGAAAAGGCTTCCGCCGAAGTTCGAGAAGCAGACCCTTCGAGCTGGTCTGTAGCGGAGTTTGAGGAGGCTGCAGAGCTTTTCGAGCGAAACCCTGTCTGTAAAGAGGTCGGAGATTCGGTGTCCAAGAACATTGAAGAAAGCTTAACCGACTCTCAACTATATAATATAAATTATGGATGATTATGGTTTCTTGCATGCGTTGCTTGCTCTTGTTGGGTTTTGTAGTTGTTCCATTTCTTTTCTTACTCTTACATTCCCCCTTAGATTTAATGATTTGGTTGGTGCCAAAACACTAGCCTTCATATTTGCTTCCTCGCATGCCTGAGGAGTTTTACGGGCAAACCACGACCTTTGCTTTGGGATTTCTGCTAGCTCAAATTCTCTTCTTTGGAGCCCTTGTGGCTGCATGCTGCGGGGCCTTTGGTGGTGGAGGTTCCAGCGATGCCCCTGTAGCAGATGTGGGGCTTCCTCTCTACACTTTAGGTGGTAAATTTAGCTGAGATGACTCGAGCGACTCGAACGCTACCGAACGATCTCGATGCCGAAAGACCCTGAAAGGGCGGCCACAGCACACACTATGCTCCTGCCAAGCTCGCACCACAGATGTCATAAAAACAGGTCCAAACCTGTGGAGGAAACCGGGGCAAACCCGCCAACCTATGCCACAGTCATGCTATGTCATGCAAGATGTGTTTCCTGTATAATTACATTTTTTTTTATCATTTTTTGTGTTACTGTATATATAGACATATATATATATATATGATGATATGTGATATATGTACTAGCAGCCGCTTTTAGATGTTCTTAGTGGGTTTGGTTTGCACGGTTTACGTCCATTGGCTTTGAAGCGCGCACTTTGAATGCTGCTGGCTGCGGCCTTATCATTCCCTAACAAAATGATTCCCCACCTTTTGACAGCAAGGGACCAGCTATATAATTACAGTAGATCAATTTACTTCACTATGATTCAATGATTCATGATGATGGCTGCCATTCAGATAAATTTTGGATACGGGAAACACAACTCAGCTGATGCTGTTGGGTCCTGTTGGAAACAGAATCTTGCGCGCAGATGGATGCAGGTTACAAAGAGTTGGAGCATCGCTGGGAAGAGCAGCAGCTGCACATCCGCGAGCAAGCACAACAGATCCAGGACACCGAGTACCTTGGACTCCTTGGATCTAGCAAAAAAAATGCTCGGGTTTGTGTCAGTTTGTGTGTGTGTGTGTGTTCTTACAGGAGCTGACAAAAAAATCAATGCGTGCCGTGTCCATATGTGCATATAATGGATATAGTATGACATAGTATGATCGATTGATCTGGCATGATCTAGCTTGTGAAGAGCATGAGGACCATTGACAAATTCTGACACATTGCGAGCATGGCGTGAGACGCCTCCGTACGCCTCCTGCCACATTAATCATTGTTCCAATGATCCTGCCCTGCCAGATGTCCAATGAGTCCAATGGCCTGAGGAAACGAATTCAGGAGATGCAGCAGCGCTGGGAAGTTGAAGCGCAAGAGGCGCATCGACAGCGCCTTGGTTTCAAATGAAACTTTACCGACTCCACCCTGGCTGCACGAGGCAGAAACCGGGCAAAAACCTTCACAACACACAAGCAATCACAAACATCCTGAAGTTTTCCACAGTTTTACACAAATTTCACTTGTCGTGATTCTTGGATATTCTTGGAAGGTATTTATTTGGCTGCCAGCTGCCTTAACAGTTTTGCATTTGTGGGGAAGGCAGTTGTTGATCCTTTCGCATCCTTTGGCCCCATGCCGTGACCTATGTGACCTTGATCAAAATTGACACTAAGGGCCCAACAGTTGCAAGAGGAGATGGCGTTTCTGCGCCAGGGTAGTCAGAGAACTGAGGCGCACAGGGGTTGCACACTTCTGCAGACGCCAGCCTAAGTCTGGTATACGGCGTACCCAGCATATTATTATTGTCATATTGTTGTATACATGTGGGTTCACAGTTGTCTCGTTTTTTAAAAAATATTTTCCGATTGTTGCATAGCTGCATACTTGATGTAGCGGTATCCTCAGGAGAGTGTGAATCATATCCCCCGCATTTGCATGCATTTGCGAGGAAACTATGCTCCCATCTAATTAATTAAACATGAACATGTTTGCTCCTACACTCTGGTAAAGTTTGGTGCTTTCTGCTCCGAAGTTAGAGAACAGTTTCCGATGTCCGTGCATGCTAGCTGTGGAAGGAGACGCTGCAAATGGCCAAACAGTTGGAGCACGCCGTAGTCAACATCATGGTGTCTTGGCAGTGGGTTCTGGAACAAAATGAAACAAGTCATGATGATAATGAACTCAGCCAAAGACACATAGGGCAATGATACCCATAATGGTAGGACCATAAGTGATGCTGTGACAGACTCGCGACAAATGTATCAAGAAATCCAATGCCATCTGGAATCTGGATAAGCTTTAAGCTTTCCTCCAAAGCATTCCAAAGTCCAAAGGCAATTTTCTCGATTTTCATTGTTTGACGCTTTGACGCTAGCCTGCTTTTGTGTCACAGGGTTCAGAACTCGATTTGCTCGTTGCATGGGAAGACACGGTTTGCAACACGATTAACCAAGCCTCAAGTCAGATTGACTTGCCTTGCTTTGCAATGCTTCATTCCAATGGTCCAAGGAGCACACCCATAGCATGATCAGGGCCATCATTGGATCTGGATGGCAGGAGTCCCTGTGATGTGCTGCTGCTGCTGCTGCTGCCCTAAGTGCTGCAAGTTTGGTAGTTTGACACTTGCCTCGTGGTGGCAGGAGCTGTGTTTGCCGCCTTCTGGCGAGAGGGTGCAACAGATGTTAGGCGCCTTTGTCACCCTGGGATACCCTGGGTACCGTTTTGCAATGACTCTTGAGATCTCTTGAGAGAAGCAATGGAGGATAATGGAGGTGAACAAGTGACATACAAGTGACTAATTCGTACAAGTTGGTGCTTGAACATCTTGAAATAGGTGGTGGCCGGCGAATCAAGTGAAGCAATCAGAGTCCAGTAATGTCCAGTACATTGATGAATTACAGGACCAACACTCCGCATCTTACGCGTACACACTCACAATGGATCACAATGACTTGTGATGTTTCACGGCATACCAGACTTGTTCTGCACAGACGCATGAAACACTATGAAACGGATTGAATACGGATGTTTTTGAGGGTGCTGTTGTATGCAGCATTCTTGAGAGTGTGGCAAAAGTCTAAGTGCGCTAATTTGTCATCTTTTTTCATCTTCATCCTCTTTCTACTTTCTTCAATTGTCAGCATTGTGTTGTCGTTCCCGTTGCTTTTTCTGAGATGCCGTGGTTGCAAACTTGTCCCCAAATGTGCTGTACACAGTGCACCGAGCTATGGTTGGATGAACTGTGATGAACTATGAGCGCCATGAGCGCTATGAGATTGTGTTGGCTGATTATGTGGCATTGTGTGACATTGTGCCCTGCACAGCGAACCTCGGAGGCCTCCTTCGAAACTCTGGCTTTGCTGAATTCGGAGTGGTGCGCGACTGCCTGCAAGACACGGGCCAGGAGTGCATGGGTTTGGGACTCAGACGCCCTCGGAGTACAGTATCTGATATGTGTCGAGTGATGTGTGCTGCTGCATCGATGGCATGAATGAACCAGCCTATAGTGGCATGAGAGTAAGAAGTTCTAAATTGGGCGCCCGTATGTGCATCTTCCCTTCCGCTCCAACGCGGGAACAAAACATAATATGGTACTGAAGTGCAAGAAATCCCCTGAGATTGTCTCAACTATGGTCAAGCATTTTCTTCAATCTGTATATAAATATATATAAATATACTTGGGAATGGCTCACATCTTTGTATCATAAAAATGGATTGCATGAGCAGGGGCGATTATAAAAGTCACTGTACATCATGCAGGTGATTGAATGTTTTTTGAAACAAATTAACATAATAAATAAGATGTCAATAAATATGTGATAATTATCATCGAATGTAGCCAGGATGGCCAGGCCATGGCTGAGATTGGCTGAGGCAACATGTCCTTGGGCATCTCCCCGGACCTGCGGTTTAAGCTGGAATACTACGGCTCCAAACAGCACGTCTTCAACGAGCTCGAATTAGAAGGCCCAAAAATCATCTCCGGAGATCATGGCAGGTCGAACCGTCGAACCATGTTGAACATTGAACCCGCCAACTGTTTGAGAGCCCATGACAAGCCCATGAGCCCAAGATTGCCATTGCCAGGATCTTGAGCCTTTCTACATTGTGCCATTGCAGGTACTGTACAGATTGATGGGGGTCAGCTGACCTTCCTCGTGGCAAGGTCATCATCTTCTCAGCATGACGGACAAGGTGCGGAGCATTCCAGTGTGGCTGAGACCAACAGTCTGGGTTCTTGATTTTGTGCTTGTGTAGCACCATTGTGCATGGAAATTGTCAGACATGGGTTACATGGGTTGTTTGTCTTGGGCTTCCATTCCTGATCCAAGTTTCCATGAATGACTTTGACAGAGCTCATGCCGACGCCGTCGACGCCCAGATTCTGAAGTGCAGAAGATGGCATTGCCACCGCTCCAGGGGTTGCTCTGCTGCCATGGGGCGAACACCTGGCAACTTGGCTTTCTGCATTCCATGATCCAGTGACATGAATCCAAGATATTGGGATAAAAATGGTAAAGGGCTACGAAGGAAGTGCCTCCCAGATCAAGAGTGTGGTCATGTAGAAATTGCCTATAACGATGACTATGACAACCCATCTCGCTGGTTTGCTCGGTTTGTTTTGGCCCCAGAGTCAGGATTGTGTTGCTGGACTTTAGCGCCTCTGCGCAGATCAGTTTCTGAGTTGCATATAGCCATATAGCGCAATATGGCGCATATGGCCATCAAGTCAAGTGGCATACTGCAACTCGTGGGTCATGGGACATGGGCCCAGATGCCAACGTCAGATCATGCAGCAGCGTCATCATGTCATAGCATGCCCAAGTTGCATGGATCGTCATGGCAGTTCTGCTTCCGAAGGGGCCTGGGAGTTGAGCTTAGGCATCTTCAATTCCACAGCTGCCTGATGCAGAATGGAGTTGGGCTGGGCTGGGCATATGATGGCATATGTGACCTGTAGATCAACATCACCAGCATTTGTCTATCAACATCCATCAGAGAATCTGCATCAAGGCACAAAGCCGTAGAGAGCAATCTGCAGTCTTCACCGATGCTTAGACTTGACACGGCTTGACTTGGACTTAGCACTTCTGAATTGGACGCGTTGGACGTTGTGGACCCTTTCCGCCAAGGACATCATCCTGTTGAAGGATCCTGAAAGGCTCTTTACCGGGTATCAAACTCTGACCTGGTGAAAAAGAGCTGCGGGCAATGCTGGGAACGATTCTCTGAAGCATCCTGCGAGGTGCTTAGTTCTGCTAGTGAGTGCTGAAAGACTGGATGTGCCCCGCTTGGGTGCTTGCAACTTTGCATGAGAGCATGCATTCTCACTTTACTGTAGATCCCTGTAGATACTGTAGCAGGGCGAAACCTTCATGTTGAGCTTACCGTTAGCATGAGGACAGTCCAATGTGAAAAATCCACGGGTTGTTATGGATGCTCATTTGTAGCGAAGGTTGAAAACAATGAATCATATGTAAATCATGTTTTTGCATGTTGGCGCACAGTTGGAAGGTGCCTTGCATCAGTGCCAGGCTTCGCTGTTTCCATCTGTTTCCCTGTCCCATGCTGTAGCCATTTTTTGTTTAGCTGGGCAAAGCACGCGGTTGTAGCCGCGTTGTTGTGGCACCTGGGCCAGGGCCGTTCACATTGACAGGCTGGTCACGTTTGGCCACTATTTGCTACTCTCTGGAACGTCGCAGATTCGCCATCCCAACAATAAAAACGCTGCCAGAGATCAGAGCAAGGTATGCTAGATCATGAGATGAAGATAATGAAGGCAAATGCGTCGAGTCTATACTATTTCTATCTATTATAATCATTTATAATCTATTATATCTATATTTCTATACTCTATGTTATCTATGCATCTCAATGTCTATCTCAATTTGTATCTCTATAGCCTGAAAGCAAATCATTCGTCGCGCATCCCGGGGCTCCATGCAGGCTCGAACATGGCGATGCAGGCGGTTTGGGGCCAAGCAGGAGCTGCCCTTGCGTCCAGATACTTACAAGACTTACAGTGGTTGTATCCGGCCACGTCATAACATTTCATAACATTTCATAACATTTCATAACGTTTCATAACGTTTCATATCATTTCATAACATTTCATAACATTTCTTTTGTAGTTTGTGCAGCATGTGCTTTACCAGAATCCACTCCATGCATCTCAACACAGGCTTGTTTAATATGTTTTTTTGATGTTTGTGGAAGTTTGTGACTGTTAAACATTGTTAAACCATCTCTTCGAGCTTGCCATTAATCGCAATAGGCAATAGTCCGATGAGTCCAGTAGCAAGCTATCCTCTGCTGACATCTGCTGACAGGTGGCATATTGCCCTGAAGTTGAATGATATATATGATATATATATATATATCATCATCATCATATATATATCACTGTATCTTCTATAAGCTTCAGATACATGTCCATTGAAAGTTGGTCAGCGAAAGACGCCATTGGGACAAGTTCTGTGACTTTCTTGATTCTTGATGTTGCTTTGAGGTGCACATTGGGCACCATCAGCAGTTTGCATCTTAGAGGTGTTCGGATGAGTCAGAGACTGGCTTACTTGAATTCAATCACCTTGTTTCATGTGCGGTCATGTCTTGTAGATGCGTAAGTTGGTAAGGGTTTTGTAAGGATAGTTGCAAGGCAGAACAGAACCAGATTTTCAGCACTAAATGAAGTGGGTTCAAATCCCCAAAATAATGCTTAAGAGGGTGGCAGTCCACCCGTTGAGGGTGATGGAGTAGGTGACAGCTCATGTGGACAGTGGTGGGCATAAACGGACAGCAAGTCAGATGGTTGGAGGGGAAAAAATGAAGGGCCGATTGGTAAGATGATGTACAATACACTCCCCAACATTGCACACAGCATACTGATAATCACATGATCATGCCGGCGGTGAAGCCAAGGTTGTTGTCAAGTTGTAGATTTTAGTTGTAGTTGTAGGCGCAGCAGCAACTGCAGTAGAAGTAGCAATTAGTAGTGGTGGTGGTCGTGGTGGTGGTGGTGGTTAAATATTGTATGTTGTTGTAATGTTTGTAGTTGTAGCATGGTGTAGTATTTGTTGGTAGTCTTATTGCGATTGTTGTTGTCGTTGCTATTATTGTTCATTGTTCTTGTTGTTTTTTCCGTTTTGTTGTTATTCCGCAGTTATTCCCGTTGTTGCGCCGTATCTTGTTTTCCTTCTTTGTTGGATCACCCAAGTCCTACAGTTGTTTAAACGGCAGCATTCAGAGCATTCAAGTTCAAAAACGGATAATCAAGCAGACTCAATGAAGAAACAGTGCATAACAGTGCCAATGCCAAAGAATGTCCACTAGCAAAAGGCGGCAATAAAATCAATCTACGTTCAAAGTTCCGCGAATTTGGTGTGAGTAGTCGAAGTCTTACAGTGGTAGAAAGTGAGTGGTTCTTACTGTTACGGGTCTGGCCTCCATTGCACCTGAAGACGTTAGACTCAGACATCGTTAGACTCTCGTTACACTTCCTTCGAACCTTCACATCATGTTCAATCATGTTTTGATCAGTTTCCAGAATACGATGAATACGTTTCTCTTGAGATCTGTTGAGGCTCCACTTTCAGCACATGCAGCACGTGGCCGCACGACAGGCTGGTAGAAATGGCTTGCGGGGGGCCGACCGCGCAGAGGGATGATCAGGGGTGTGTAAGGATGCACGGAAAGCGAGGTACAGCCATGCGCAATTCTATTTCAAGATATTTCAAGTTGTTCTATACTTGTTTGACATTGTTTGACTTTGTTCCAAAGTCTTGAGTCTTAGAATGTCTCATAGGCAAGGTTGGAGGTACCCAGCAAGTGACCTTGCAAAACCGGATGTTTGTGCTTAGTTTATAATCGTTCTGTTCAGGGCTCAGTCTGAGATCATATTTGCAGGGAGCGCGTTTTCGTCGTGGCAGTGTCCCAGCACCTGCAGAGGTGGGGCCTCGTGAAAACACTAGGCATTGATCATAAACCAAAATTCAGAAAGTGATGTGTCACTGTGATTCACTGTGAACTTGATATGAACGTCAACACGATCAAGAGGACAATAAGAATTAATAAATACTAATAATAATGGATGATGGACATAGAATATCATATCATTTTGGAATCCTGAAATTAGATAAAATTAGGTGTTGCGCAAAGGCGTTGTGGTGGTTGCTGATGGTATGTAGTGAGGCCCAAAAGCAAGCGATGATCCAGTACCAGCAACAGCAGCAGGCACATGCATTTGAAGCTTGCTAGTTGTTTCTGGAACTTCGGCGGCGCCCATGCTGGGATACCATGGGATTTCAAATTGATCCAAGCTTTTGTTGGCACATACACACACACAACATTCATATAGAATTGCATACGGTCTCTGTGTGTGTTTGTTTGTGTGTGTGTGCATCGATACGTTTCGGATTCACAAAGGTTCCCATCAATATCCGAGTTTGGCGCTTGCATTGGGATTCTACTAGTACACTCTGCAATATCCGCAATATCCTGAAATTGTGTGGGAAGCTTCCCAGGACAGTACTGTGTTAGATTTTGGGATGCTCACTAGAGTGCCACGGCTTCGACCCACCAGATTGGCCTCCAGGTCTTGCTTCAGCGACGACCGCCGTTGCAGGTGGGATGTCATGATGTTGTGGAGCGTTTGGAGGTGTTTGCAGCCTTTGGTCCAAATTGATGCAATTATTTGAGAGAGAGAGAGAGAGGGCACCTGAAAATTCTCAAGAAGCATGATGATGAGTGATGATGGGCTGTGTTGGGGGGAACAGGGACATTCATCGAACAATAATCACTTTGACACCAGCCATGATGTTGTGAGATCGTCGAACATGGCATGAGTCAAGCTCCAATGCTCAAGCCGAGGGTGTCCTTTGCCACGCTGAGACAAGAAATGTTGTAGCCTTCGGCCGTTTGTGGTGCCATGGCAGACTTCCCAAGCACTGTGCAACGCGTTTTGCTGATGCGTCATGGTCACCGCTTTGCTGCCGGCGCAGACCCGCATCTCACAAGGAGAAGCCTAACGGCCTAACAGGTGGAGGGTTGAGCAACGACGGGCACGTCATGCAATTGGTGCAACACTTCGTGTCGTACAGCTCTTCCTTCCTGCCAACTCTTGCTGCTGTAGATTGCTGTAACTCTCTTGCGGCCTTTCAGTCTCTTTGTTTTTTTCCTGTCTGTTTTCGTGCTTTGCAGGCTCATGTACTAACCTCACATCTAATTTGAACCTGCACGCACGCTCGCTCGCAGCACCAAAAGAACCCTTCTGGGACGAACCAACTTACTAAAGCCATCTAAAGCCCATAGTAGAAGTTAGAAGTGGGGAACGAAAACCCGACCTAGAAATCAAATCAACTACAGTAAAATAACAGACCACGTGCGTATGCCCCCACTGTGGTACCTTCACAACGCCAAGTTTATTGATCAGCAAAGATTGTTAGAAAGGACACAAGGGCTGGAGTACATGTGGGCAAACTCACATGAAGGAAAGATCGCTCAATATCCCCAACAATAAAAGCCTCCTTGAAACCTGATCCTGACTGACCTGCGCTGTGTGCAGTAGCAGCGACAAAAACAACAACAGCAACAACAACAACAACAAAACAACAGTGTTTAGGGAACACGCCTTGAGCGGTGGCAAGACTCCGGTTGTCCGTACTGGAAGTTGTGAGAACATGTTTGTGAGAGATCAAGTTTGCATGCATGCATTGCAAGCTCCCTCACAACACCCACCTCTACCCCGGGCATCCAAATTGAGGCAAGCATAGACTTTATGATACTTTATGACTTTAGCATTTTAGCCTGCTAACACATGCTAACACCATGTCACATGCAAATGCACAGAGTGCGGACACTGACAGATCATTGCTCATCCCATGGAGATGTTTTGCCCAGAGAGCTTCCTAGTGCAATGTTTGACATTATTTTGACATTATTTGACACTTTGGGCATTTTTTTCACTGTAATTCGACTGACACATGTACTGACGCTTATGCATGCGAGCTTGGTCGGGTTCCCTGTTTTTGCACCAAGTAATCACGCAGATCATTCTGGATTTGCATTTAGCAAACGATGTTGCAACTTCGCAGGAAGGGTTTTTTTCAAGCTGAGCAAGTGGCGCAGATGTTCAGGCGCATTTCTTTCCCTGCTTGGGTTACCCCACAATAATATCAATAATTTGAAATAATTTGAATATGGTACTGTAATGTTTGCAGCCTGACTTGTAATCCTAGAAGTATTTGCATTCCAAAGCAGGGCCATCGACGACCTTGATGCTCGTTCATTCATGTTGCTATAGCGGTTGATTCGGGGATGTGCTCTTGACTGTGCCAGCCAGCCAGATCCCATTTCGGTTGGGTTCAAGATGGTTCAAGGATGTTCAAGGTAATCGGTCGGTGCGGAACAGGTGCTTCAATTGGCATCTCTCTCTGTTTTGTGAACGAATGTGTGATGATTCTTGTGCGTTCATACATTGTTCATACTTAAATGATTGTATCAAGCAAAATGCCCCTAATGACAGTCCTCCTGTTTGCAACCTCCTTGATTTGCTGCCAGTTGCAGCGGCCTTCACATTGATGCGATATACTCTTCACCCTTCATTCGGTGCCTGCAAACCGCTGCGCCACTCGCAAGAGCTTTGGGATTCTTGGCAAAGTTGACATTTTCTGCGTAATTACATGCATGAGTATGATGTGCACTCAACTGAATTGGGGGGTGCATTATGGTGCATTTAACTTTGTGTTTTTTGCGCCTGTGAAACGGCTACCTTGATCCATTGAGGTGTCTGGCTTGGAATTTTATCAAATGTCATGCAAGTGTAGGCAAGCAGTTCTTTTGCAGTTATATGCATGATTAAATATATATATATATATATAATTAATTACGGTATATTATATAGTTCTCTTCCCTGGTCTGTTTTGTTTTTCAACCGCACAGGGTGCAGTTTTTTGTTTGTTTCCCAGGGACGCAAACTGCACCGTGTATGTATGGACTTAGACTGTATGTATTTGATTGTATTTGTATGTGATGTATATGTTAATGATCGAAGGAAGTTTGGAAGTCCCGACATTATGGACAGATGAAGCAGCAGAGGTGGGAAGAGTCAGAGAAGAGAAAGAAGAATCAAGAAGATCAGAGAAGAGAACGAGTCAGAAGAAAGAAGATGCAGGTGCGCGAGAAGATGGACAAAAACACGGTGTTTTTCCAGTGTGTTGTGGCTCCGGCGGGTCGAAAAGTAGGCTCGCAAAAGCGGTGGGTGAGGAGCCATCTGGGGAGATGAGAGATGAAAAATCGCAAGCCGTTGTCGCGCGAAGCAGATGTGGAAGCCAAAATGCTTCAAACATTCCATTCTTGGAGCAATTTTGGAAGTCGAGATGCCGTAAAAGTGCACATGGCTGTGGCGCAAAGCGCCTGTGGAAGTAAAAATGTTAAAACCACCTCAGTCGACCGTTAGACACTTTTGCGAGGTAAGCTTTGCAACAAGTGCACGCAGGTGTGGCACGAAGCACATTTCGAAGTGAACATGCTAACAGCACCGCGGGTTCGGAGCATTTTGGCAGTTTAGATGTTGAAAAAGAGCATGCTGTTGTGGCGCGAAGCACGTTTCGAAGTCAAAATGTGCAAAGCACACCACATTCAGAGCATTTTTTGGACATTGCAACGGCATTTTTGGTGGTGCGCGTCATGGCTCCTACATCTTTGCAAAATTGAGCCAAAGCTTTGGGTTTGTAGTAGTTTCAAAAACGATTGCAGTCATGGGACCGATGGGACGTTGGAGGATCTGTAAACATGCATTTCGCGTGGCAGGCGCAGTATAATAAGAGACATCTCCACTAGACATGTTAGGAGGTCAGGGCGCTGATTTCCTCAGAGGAGTGGCATTTTAGAGCATCAGACCCTCAGGTTTGCTAAGATGATTTTGCGTGACATGCGCAGCACTTCGTATGACCTGGCCTTTCTTTTTCGTGGCAGGCGCAGTACTTTGGAGATGTGGGCTAGAAAAAATTGGAACAACGCAGTGGTACGAGGCCGTCAGTATAGAAAGACAGACAGATCGATAGATAAAATGATAGACAGATCGATGGATGGTCAATAAAAGAGGTAAAGAGATGGATAGCTGGATCGATAGATGAAAGGAAATGGTAGAAAGATGGGCGGATAGATATATGGGTAGATAGAAGCGATATACCTGCGTCTTCCAATGTATGCAAAATTATTGCCTTTCCAGGAATTATTGCTGGCGGCATGTTTTTTCTGCCTCCGAACAGTTTTTGTATGTTTGTCATTTTGCATGCGTTTGCCGGTTTTGAAACGGCGAAAAAACCCAACGAAACGGCGAAAAAACCCGACGAAACAGCGAAAAAAATAAAGAACCTAAATTGTGGAAAGTGAAACGGCGAAAAAAACTGGAAACGGCAACCGGCGATATTTATTGCTGTTTCGGATTTCGAGCGATAATTTTGCACAGGTAGATTATCCAGGTATAGAGACATAGGCATCAATAGAAAGAGAAGGATCTAGATAGATCATCGGAAACATGGATGGACAAAGAGGCGAGCAGGCAGATAAAGAAAAATGACGAGAGTTGCGAAGAAACGAGCAGGAGAAAAAATACAGAGTGCGAGACTCGGAGCCTCAACCACCTTTCGATCCATCAGTGGGCTCGCTCTGCCATCAATGTGTCCCAACAACCAAACCTCTCCTATAAGCCTATAGGTTTCCTATCTTTGAAACTTCCGCCACCGCCTTGTGCGGTCCTACTGGTAATTTTTATTATTGTTGAGAGGGATGCCATAGGATACCAAATCCATAACATTGCTGCAGTGAATAATTGTGTTTTTCAGGCCGAGGTTGAGTTCATGTAAACATGATTACTGTTGAGCCTCTGTTTTTCAAAAGCTGAAAGGACATCCTATATATTTTTTAAATCTCCTTTATAGATCTTTAAAGTAGGATATGTGAGCAAAGAAACAGAATTTCCTCGAGCCTGTTGGCCAATGGCGATAGCCCGGTTTAGACCCTTTTTGTCAAAACAGTGTCAAAATTTGCACCCAGGAATGAAGATACGCGTTGATCGAGGATTCTGCGAAGTACTTGCCCACAATTGGGTTTTTGCATCCAATCCCTTGCCACATTTGTCCTACGAAGAGATGAGGAGTCTGGAGGGTCAGTCCAAGAATCTTAGTCTGTAATTATAGTCTTTGGATCGCTCAATTCTTCGCAGAGGTGAACGGTAATTGGAGAGTCATTGAGAGTCTTGGACTACTCTCGGACTGTATTGCCAATTCGCGAGTTTGTTTCTTGTTTGTGGAAATTCCAGTCAGAATCAATTTTTGTAGCGTTGGGGCGTGTGGTGCGACTTCTCCAGAAGCATGGGCCTTCACACGGGTGCTTTCCAACCCAGTTTTTGCTCATCTTCAGCTTTTGCTCAAGCAGCACAGGCAAAAACGGCCAAGGAGCTTAGAGTCCAGTCGCAATCAGTTGCGTGTGTTGGCCATGTTGCGCTGGCATTGGTGCCTCTTCCTCGTGTGGATTGCGACATTGTCGCCTGTGATTAGCCAAGAAGAGGATGAGATGCCGGATGACCAAGACATTTCAGAAGAGGCCATGAGTCCGGAGCAGTTGCGGGCCTTACACGCCAAGTTTGACCAGAACGGAGATGGCAAGGTATCCCTCTCCGAGGTCTTGGATTTTGCGCGCCACATGAGCAAAGCGATCGCGGGCAAAGATGTCTCTGCCATACTGGAGGAGATTGATACTGACAAGGATGGCAACTTGCCAGAGCTTAGTTATAGCATGTTATCGCCCTCAAATGCCCTCAAGGGTTTCGGGGTTAGGTTTGCAAATTGAGGGGATGCGCCCACTAGGTAACACACACTTGACTTTAACATCGTTATTAAACTGGAAACAAACCTGGGAGCTCCTTGCACTGTTCCATGCCTTTCAGTTGGACCCGGCCAGTTTTTTTCATCCTTTTTCCACCTTTTGCCCATCCACTCCCATCCACTTGTTCGCTGAATTCTGGCGCATCAGTGAGGAAAACTCTCCTTGCAGGAACATCTCAATGATTTGCATCAACAGGCTGATGGCGGAGATGAGGCAGAGATGAAAGAGCTGGAAAGCCGAAAAGTGGCTGCTTGCCTTGCCATGCCATTTGCCATACCTTACCTTTTTTGACGAGCCCATATATGAGCCCCAAATAAGCAGGATTCGTTTTTGTGCTATGTTTGTGCTCCTTTGCATCTACGTTGAGATTTTCCTGAGGTTGAGACGGCCAAATTCAAAGCTGCAGATGTAGACAAAGACCAAGTCTTGAGTGCTCATGAAGTGGCCTCGCTTTTCTATCCAGAAGCTTGGCATATGTTTCATCGCGTTAGATACCTGCAGTCTATTTCATCAGCAATCTGCCACTACGAAAGCTAAGGGTTTTCAAGTAAAAACTTTGATTTCTTAGTAGATTCTGCAGACAGCACCATTAGACCTATGTACTCGTATCAGATCTATCAGCGAATATAAATCTTTGAAGCATTTGTTGTAGATGAGCACTGTTTGGAACCTCAACTAGTTGCTTATCACGTTGTCATCATTACATGCTATTACTATTACTCCGAAGGGCCCAGTGCTAGCTCAGGCTTCGTTACGACCCTGGCAACTTGTTCATTAAACGCAGGAAACAAACACCAGTTATGCGGTCCATGTTCAATAATTACCATTTGCAACACTTGCTTCGATCTGATGACGATGCAAAGTTGCCGTCATCACATGTGGTCGTCGTTGTCGTCATCATGATGATGATGATGATCATCATCATCATCATCACCACTACCCTCACCCTCACCCTCACCCTCACCCTCGCCCTCGCCCTCGCCCTCGCCCTCACCCTCACACACGCATGCACGCACACACACACACACCACATCTATAATTTATGTTTTTGATATATGGCGATAATCCTTGTTACCGTCCTTGTCGATGCCATTCCGGTCCTTGTCAATGAACTATGGCCCCATGTCAGTCAATGTCAGTGACCAGTCTGCTGATTTTGCCCTTGGTCAATGACTGATACGCAGCTGTTGAAAGTTGAAAGCCCCGACACACACACACACAAAAAAAAAAGTCAGCACTTGGCAGTGTGGCACTAAGGAGACTAATCCAGCAGTTTTGGAGGTTGTCGTGCAGGACACCATGAAAATGAAGGACAAAGATGGAGATGGAGTCCTTAGCGCCAAAGAATTCTGGGAGTTTGGTGAGGAGGATGGTAGCTCGCATCAACTCTAGAGCTTTTTCCACCAGATGTTTTTTGCAGACACATTTGGAATAATGAAACAACGTAAAATTAGATAAAATAGTGTACAATTCCGAGCTGTTTTGTTTCCTGGATCTTCTGGGATGTAAATTAATGTAAATGGATGTAAGGGCTTTCGTTCATGTGTCTCCGGAAGGTGAGGAGCAGCTGTCAGAAGAAGAAATGCAAGACTTTCAGAAGCTGGACAAGGCGGACCTGTGCCATGCGGCCATGCCACGCTTGAGCTGCATGGGAATGTTTGCTGCTTTGTAAATTAAGCACATTTAAGTACATTTAAGAACCTAATAGTTGATCATGTGTCTCAACTGGAGGAAAGACAAGGCTCAAACTGCACCCAAAGATGCCCACACAAGACACAGACACACAGACACAGACAGACACAGGCAGACATAACTTAACTTAACTCAACTTAACTTAGTAATTCAGAGCATGTCAAAGCCCTTTCAGGATGGAAATGGCGTCTTGAATATGGAGGAATTGCGAGCATGGGAGTCAGGGCTGTTCCACACAGAGGCTGCAATGATCAAGCTGATTCAGATCGCAGACAAGGATGGAGACATGCAGGCGACTGCAGAAGAGCTGGAGAATGCTCGGGAGGAGAAAAGCTACCATGATCTACCCAAGACATCCCAAGACTGCCCAGGTTCAATTTCATCAATTTGTTTATGTAAACATATTATTACCATACTAAACATTATAAACACCCGAATTTATTTGTTCATATCGGTTCTTACTTGCCATATGGTTGGATGAGAACATCCACGGAACAGCATCGTTGCATCAGGAGCTTGCAAACAGTGATGCTCAGTATCACCTCATCGAGTGGGCGGAGCACCATGAGCTGTAGACCTGACCGATGATTCCGATGCAGGGCTCCCGAAGTAGAGCTTGTGCGTTGGCACTCGCCGCCGAAGATCTTTAGCTTGCGTAATATTGCGTAATGCTCCCGAAGCCCATCAGCGGCTTCCATGATGCCATAGCAGCTGCCTCGACGTTGCTCCGGGAATCAGCAACATTGAAAGAATCGACGACAATCATTTTTTGGAATCCTCGATCATGATTCATGATCCATACTAGACTACCGGCCTTGTTGCCCAAGAAGTCAGGTGCAAGTGTAAGACTTTTGATAAGTGATCAGTGCAGCAGCCAACTAGGAATCCACAAAGGAACATCCCAGCAATGCCGGAACTCAGTTTGGGCACATGCTTGGCTCCCACAGACGGAGCCAGTTGTGCAGTGCTGAAGACCTTATCAAGCCGGCCACAAAGAGATACCACGCTCAGATTCTGGTATACTCACAAGAATTGACATGAAGCCCAGATCAAGGGATTTGTCCGGTTTTTCAATCAAGTCCAGTCCAGACTTCTCCTTTCCTGCCCCCCAAAGCTGAAACTAAGAAAAAATCAGAGCGAGAGAGAGAGAGAGAGAGAATCAAATTACAAAAAATGCATGTATTGCACTTCGCGTGCGACACTGAAGCCGGTCTTTGCACTGTTCCAGGAGCAAACGATCAGCCTTGCCAGAAGTCCAAAGTGACTTGATTGACATGGACTATGACTCTCCAGTGCCCCAATATCCAGATTTTGTGGGCGAAGCTCAGCCAGGCAGGTTCATTCTGTTGCAGACATTGTTATTTGAAGCTTGTTGATTGGGCTGCCAAATTGATGCTACAAGACTCAACGTCAAGCCACATTGTGATCATGCCAAAGCTCAAACTGTTGACAAATGCTGACGAGGCCTGGAGGAGCAGCGCGCCACTCCCATCGCACGCGCCAAAGCAGCACTTCTCAGGGCTTTGGCAACTCCATGGCCCAGACGTGGTATCACCGTACTCGTTGTGTGTCATGGAGCTTCGCATGACTACGTGACAGAGGCGTTGGACCTTCTGAGTGCAGGGAGTGGCAGGGACTGGCAGGGAGCCGGACAGGCAAGATCAGGATAGAGGTATAGAGAGGTGGTATGATTCAAGGACAGATAATTTATGGATTTGGAATGATTTGGACACATGGGGTTTTCATTGAAACAGACAGATGAGAAAAACACTATTATCGAAAGATATCGAAAGATTGTGCCAGTGGCCTTTGACATTTTGAAGTTCTTTCTGGTATTGTGGACGTGCTGCAAGTCATTGGTTACCTTGGTTACCAGAGCTGTTTGCCGCGCAGGCACTGGCACCCGGTTCGGTTCGATTGGATCGACAGGTGCCCTTTTGCGTGGACCACGTTGCTATAACGACATTGCTTCGGCAACCCGATGGATTGTGACTCAACATGACTCAACGTGCATGTTAATTCTGAAGAGTGGTCGTTGAGAATGCAGCCTTTCTTGGCAGTGGCACGAGCCGCGTCGTTATGCTGATGACTTCCGCAATTGTTAGGTGACCAAGCATGCCTTCAACATAACTTCTCTCCTGGTATATTCGTTTGCGCATTAAAACAGGCACGAAGACACTCACTTGATGGTCCACTCATGTGCTTCCTCATTCGCTCAAACTCTTATATACTTGCTCATAATATATAGATTTCAATTATATATAGAATCACCTACTGTAGACTTGAGAACCTTGGCGCACAATTGTTGCTTTGCAACGGACACTGGATGGCAAGAGTACTTACGCTTACATCAGGCCATGCCTATACGCTCCCCAGACTGGCATGGTTCCTAAAGTATGGCTCTGAATCTTTACATCTTATTCAATTCTTTACATGGCCAATCAGGATTCAAGAATGGTTAGCATTTCCCATCTCCAGCCATTCGATCCAGCGTTTGCATGCGATCGCCATGTCCTCAGGTTTACACTCTACGGCTTCAACGAGAAGGTCCCTCGACTTCTTGCGTCTGCTTGGCAGCGCACCTTTCGCTGGCGACTACAGCCGGGCGAAATGTCCCTTGGATGTGGAGCTGTGTGGAGGTAAGATGGGAAAAGGTGATGAACTTGCACTAAATGACAATTCGAGTGACCATTCGACCGGAGTATGTGGAAAGACTTGGTTCCGCATTTTGTGCCCACAATGTAATAGAGTAGTTGTCACCTAGCACCAATGCCAGACCTTCTTTCAGTACCAAATATGGCCGTATATCGCCGATTGAAGTTTATTGAATATTCTGTTCGGCGTGTCAGATCAGCCCAGCAAAGTGGAGCAAATTTGGTTGACTGTCTTGAACCAAGTGACCTCAGAATACTCAAGCTACCTTTAGGATCGGCCAAAGGATCCACAAAAAAGGATAAAAGGGGATCCTGCGCCCTCGCACTTCTGGCTCAAGCCTGGAACTGGACTGAATCTTTTCATGTTGATGGGCGTGTTCACATGCCAACGTTGCACCTTGTGGCTACTTCATGGCTAATCCTTTGTTTCTGCAGTCATTCCTTGGAGAGTTGCGAGGGCTCAAGAATTGAACATGAGGAATCATCGAGTCTTGTGACGCATTTGGCACGCCAGTTTCAGACCACCGCGTCGACAGAGACAGAGGTTTTGCCCCTACGGATTCCGAGAAAGCACTTTGCCATTTTGGCATTTTCTTTTTATATAGATATCTTTAAATTTCTGTTGTAGTGTTGGTGAGTATCTGGAGGGGATAGCCTGCCTTGTTGTACATAGTGTGTGAAGCGTTGTGTGTGGTACCATTTGTTGATCATTGGCTTGCCAATAGCAACCTTGCCAAGGTTGCTCTTCAACTACAAGATCAATTTGTTTAAAGAAGAACATGGTGATTTGACTTCTCAGGAGAAGATATTGCTGACCAACATGAAGCGCACAGTGAAGTTGTTTCAGAATATCACTGGTGATGCATCAGAAGTTGAAATGTGGGACGACAACAGTTGCCTCACTGCACTCAAGGAGCTGCATATGAAGGAGGGTCTTCCGCTAGCTTTTGCCTTCAAGACAGAGGTGGTCGGAATGATTAGGTCCGACCTTTGTCGCCTGGTGATGCTGTACAACAGTGGCGGCTATTACTTTGACACAGATCTTGCCCCATTAGCTGCGCTACAAAGGGCATTAGACCCTCGAGCCACTTTTGTGACGGTCAGGACGTCAGAGCGAAGTCTCAGCGGCGGTGGTTTTTTCCAAGCTTTCCTGGCTACTGCACCCAAACACCCTGTGATCAGGAGGTCTTTAAAGAATCTTGTTCTGATAAATCTGCATTTGATATTCTTTGAGGATGTTTGAGGCATTTTTTTAACCTTAGTTACTGGGAAAATTGAAGCAATTTCCAATCAAGCTGTAAATCTGATGTGTCTGGTTTGATTCGTGTTCTGTTTAAAGTGAGCAGGCACAGGGCCTGTGAGTCATTTTGTGCGGGATTGTATGATTCTGCACATGCATGCGCGATTGGTGAGGAACTTCAAGATCTGGTACGACAAGTATTGGATACCCGGACAGGATCAGAATGATTTTCGCATGAAAACTGCCCGTGGAGGCTAGGGCTGCATTTAGATGAGCGATTTGTTTATGTTTGGTTTTCTTGCTTGTCACATTTTTTCACCATTTTGTATTCATTTGTCACCACACATGACCCGACCAAGGAAATATCGGCTGTGCTCTGTTGCAGAGGTCTTTCCAAGAACCTTCTCTTTTGATTTCGTCACATCATGTCACATCATGTCACATCTATATCTATCTATCTATCTATCTATCTATCTATCTATCTATCTATCTATCTATCTATCTATCTATCTATCTATCTATCTATCTATCTATCTATCTATCTATTTGTACATTGCTCATCGAAGGAAGTTTAGAAGTCAAACTTCCGACAATATGGACAGATGGAAAGCAGAGGTGGTAAGAGTCAGAGAAGAGAAGAGAAGAAGAGAGAAGATCAGAGAAGAGAAAGGGTCAGAAGATGTCAGAAGAAAGAAGATCCAGGTGCGCGAAAAGGTAGAAAAGTCGCGATTCACTGTGTTTTTCCAATGATTTGTGGCTCCGGAGGGTCGAAAAGTAGGCTGGCTAAAGCGGCGGGTGCGGAGCCATGTGGTCAGATGAGAGATGAAAAGTTGCACGCCGTTGTGGCGCAAAGCACATTTCCAAGTCAAAATGTGCAAAGCACACCAGGTTCGAAGCACTTTTGGAAGTTGAAATGTCCAAAAAGTGCACGCCATTGTGGCGCGAAGCACATTTGCAAGCCAAAACGCGCAAAACATATCAGTGTCGGACCGCCTTTGGAAGTTGAGATGTCGAAAAAGTGCACGCCGTTGTGGCGCGAAGCACATTTCCAGTCAAAATGTACAAAACACATCAGTGTCAGACCGCTTTTGGAAGTTGAGATGTCCAAAAAGTGTCAGACCACTTTTGCAAGTTGAGATGTCGAAAAAGGGCACGCCGTTGTGGCGCGAAGCACATATCCAAGTCAAAATGTACAAAACACATCAGTGTCGGACCACTTTTGCAAGTTGAGATGTCCAAAAAGTGCACGCCATTGGGGCGCGAAGCACATTTACAAGTCAAAATGTTAAAAGCACCACATGTTTCGACCACTTTTGAAGGTTCGGATGTGGTTTTGCGTAGCAGGCGCAAGGGATTCTGCACCTTGCCAAAAGTGAGCAAAATGTGAGAGTTTTGTAGGATTTCCAAAAACAATGGCAGGCGTGGGAGATTGCAGAGGATCTGAAAAGAATTGAAAAGATGCATTTCGCGTGGCAGGCACAGTAGGAGAGACATGTTCATCAGAGATGTTAGGAGGTTAGGGCGCTGATTTCCTGAGAGGGGTTGCATTTTGGAGCATCAGATCCGTAGGTTTGCTAAGATGATTTTGCGTGACAGGTACAGCACTTCGTATGACCCGGCATCAATTTTCGTGGCAGGCGCAATACTTTAGACAGATGGAGTGGAAAAATCGCAAAACGCACTGGTACAAGGCCGTCAACTTTCCATTTTTGAAGGAAGTCTCGCAGAATGGCTTTGTTTTTGACGTTGCCACGTTCATACCTTGAGGAAGTCTTGCAGAATAGCTTCGCTTTCAGACTTGCAGATAGATAGATGGATAGATAGATAGGTACATATACAGAAAGGCAAATACATACAGATAGATAGATAACTGCAACTGCACCACACCACACTACAACTACAACTTCAACTACACTTCAGCTACACTTTAACTACACGAACTACAGCTACTACCACACCTACACCTTCGACTACACTTCAGCTACAGCTACAACTTCAACTACAATTACTACAGCTACAACTACAATTACAAGTGCCACTACAACGACAACTGCAGCTACAACTGCAACAACTACTGCAACTACACCACAATTGCAGCTGCAACTGCAGCTGCAACTACAACTACAATTTCAGCTACACTACAACGACACTTCAACTACAACTTCAACTCCGACTACACTACGAAGAACACTTGCCACGACACTACACTACAACTACAACTACAACTACAGTTACAACTACAACTACACCACAGCTACAACTACACTACAACTACAGTTACAACTGCAACTACCACTCCTACAACTATTGGAGCTACTACAACCACTACAGTTAAGACAATTACAACTTCAACTACACTACAACTACAACTACAACCACAACTACAACATTACAACTTCAACAACATCAACCCCACTACAACTACAACTTCAACTATAACTACAGCTGCAGCTACAACTACAAGTACTGCACTACACCACACTACACCCAGGAGTTGTGAGTGAGGTGACTACTGCAACCATGGCAGCCACTCCAAAAAACAGCTCCAACCACCTTCGCTCCATCAATGGATGCGCTCTGCCACCCAGGCATCACAACAACTCACCTCTCCTATAGTGTCCTATCCTTGAAACTTCTGCCATCGCCTTGTGCGGTGCTACTGGTTCTGGTATTTATACACCTGGACGCCCTAGCAAAAAATATGAACGCGATTAGACATTCAATAGTGTACATATGTATTGGACATAAACATTGTATGACTATACATTTAAATATACATGTATATTAGGTATTGTTAGGTATATAGTTTAGATATAAGAAAATGTTTATAATATATATATATATATGTATTTAAATTATATTTTACAGCATATATATATATAATATATATACAGTATATATTGTAGCCTTCTTCATGATTGTGTGTGTGTGTTGATGTCAATACTTTTGCTTTTCGACCGCTTCCTCTTTCGGTTGTCAACCTTCTGTTGAGTGGTGACCTTCTATGACCTTCCATTGGTAGCAAACTGATTTTTGGGGCTTCCAATATCTTTCAATGAAGACACCATTTTGGGCATTTGGACAATTTCCTCAAAAGGGAGCAGGTCAGCCTCAGCCGGGCAGCTTCAGTCAGGAGTGGTCTGCAAGCACGAGTAAAAGCCCCTTGCTTCTCCATCAGAGCGGGCACGTGTCGCAGTTCTTTGACGAATGGCAGTTCAAGGTGCGAGGTTCAGGCATCACCCCGAAAGAGCCGGACGAGTTCTCATCGAGTCTATGTGACTGGGGTGCCGTTGACAGTCGTACACATACCATGGTGGCGGTCTCAAGGGTTTACAGCAGAAAGGACCGCTGGCTCTGCGAAGTTTCAAGTTGGCTCGGAATCGGTCTGGCTTGAAGCTGAATAGTGAAAAAATCTGAAATGCAGGCTGCTGCTTTGGCTCCGGCGTGGGTTTCTGGTGCACCAAGCAGCATCTAATCTAGAAGGTTTGTGGATATAAATCCAATGGATTCAAAGGACTTTGCTGCGCAAGAAGCAGATGAAATACACGTCCAGCGCTTCCTGTTTTATTGGTGTATCCCTGTGCACTGATGCAGCTATGACATCTTGTGATTGCACGTTTTCGACTTGATAGGGCATTGAGGCTACGTATGTCTATGTTGCTCAGAGAAACCTCTAAATTCCAGACTTCCCTGACACAGTCAGTACAATGTTTCTGCCCGCAGATTTGAATTTGGATAAATTTTGCAGAAAGTGTTTCCGTGATTTTTCTCTGTCACGCTCCTGATTGATTCATGCACGGGAACTCACGCAATATCACGCAATTTTTTCTGGCACTGCCAGATGTGCCATCAAGACCCATAAAGTGCTTCATGTCGATTTATAGTTCCGGGCCTTGAATTGATGACTTGAACGTACTTGAACATACTTGAACTAGTTCTTCCTTCAAGGATTTCTTTTTTGTGGCAACCGCCAGATGTGGCAGCCCAGGCCTACTGCTGAAACTTGGACAGTCAATGAGTTGACTTGGATATCGGGAGCTAGATCCACGGTCTGCAATTAGATGTGGCTGGTTTGGGATGGGGATTCATCCATCGCAACTGAGAATCCTATCGAACTTCCCTTTTGGTATCTTTTTGCATGTTGTCGCATTGTGAGATAGTGCAGCTGGTCAATTCGCGACCTGATAGTAGAGTCCGAAACACATTTCATTCACCAACATTCCAGAAGCAAGAACAAATCCAAGATGTTTCATTGCGGGCGCCCACGAGGAACACTAATTGAAATCCGCCACTCGCCCCACTCGCCCCACTCGCCCTACTTGCCCTGGGCTAGCAAATTAATTGAAATCCGCCACTCGCCCCACTCGCCCCACTTGCCTTGGTAGGAAAATTAATTGACTTTGGCCCCTCGCCCCACTCGCCCTACTCGGCCCCACTCGCCCTACTCGCCCCACTCGCCCGACTCGCCCCACTCGCCCGACTCGCCCCACTCCCCCCACTCGACGCACTTGCTGCGGAGGTAAGCAGAGCAAGTGCAAGCGGGGCAAGCGGGGCAAGCGGGGCAAGCGGGGCAAGCGGGGCAAGCGGGGCAAGCGGGGCAAGGGGGGCAAGCGGGGCAAGCGGGGCAAGCGGGGCAAGCGGGGCAAGCGGGGCAAGCGGGGCAAGCGGGGCAAGCGGGGCAAGCGGGGCAGTCGGTCTGGATTGTTTGAATACGGGCTGACGCGCATGTCGTGAGAACGGCTTCTCAATGCTTCTTGTTGTCGGTACCCTCTGTACCCTTCTTTGGATTGAAGAGTGTTCTTTCTGGAATCTTCAATCCACATGCAACCCAAGGATTGCAACGTTGTATGAAAGTATATAAATTCGATAGATGGATGGATCGAAAGATAGATAGCTAGATAGATTGGTAGATAGATAGGTAGATAGGCAGATAGGTGAACAGATAGCTAGGTAGATAGATATGTAGATGAACGGAAAGGACGGATGGATGGACAGTATGGGTGGATGGATAGGATGGACGGACGGACGGATGGAATGGAATGGAATGGGTAGACGCCCGCCTGATAAACGATAATAGTCAAAATTACTTTCCTCGAGTGGCCCCGGTCAACTGGCATTCTAGTTGACATATCATATATATATATAGAGAGAGAGAGATTCTATCGGGCATTCTTTCTGGCATTCCATCTGCCATATATTTTGAGATTGTTTCTGATTATTTTGATATTCTCTCTGGCATTCTATCTGATATTCTATCTGGCATTCTGTCTGAGATTTCATCTGACATACTGCCTGACATTCTATCTGGCATTTTTTATGGGAGTCTATGTGGCATACATTCTGACATCCTATCTGGCATTCTTGCCGGTCTGTGTGTTTCCAGATGCATGTTTCCCAATGTGACTGAACTTGCAAACATTGGCTCTATCTGGTGGTGCCACTTGCCACTGTCAAGATTAGCGGCCCTTGGCTTACCTGTGCTCTCTGAGCCGGGCTGTCGATGGTATCTCGAGCATACAAAAGTACAATCACAAGGATGTATGTTAGTTACCCGTACTTGGTTAGGCAGTGGGCTGTATGGAAATATACAGATTTGGTACAGTGGTTCGAACCAAGCCAGTAAGTAGCGACGCAAAGTGTGCTGGTGTATATAACGTCTTGGGCTGTAGATTGCAGATTCTGTTTGTGATTGGGACATCTTGAAGTCAACAGCGAGATGTCAGGAAGTAATCTCCCGACGACAGAAATTCATCATCTGTACCATTACCACGACTGCCCTATTTGGAGTCGTTTTCTTTGCAGCTAGGTGAACGTAGGAGGTTCGGGTTCAAGCGTTGCAAGAATCTTGTTTGCAGACGCTGCAGGCCGCAGACCGCAAATTATCCGTACCTGATTAGCGCCGCCCTGGCTTCGTCCACTGCGACCTGTGGGCCTCAATGGCATGGACGATATTGTGCAGTCCTTTTGTACACTAGGCCAAGCAGTTTTTGATAATGTCGCGAGGTTAAAAAAATTCGCTGCGCGCTACAGAAGTGTTGAAACTGAGAGATGTGGAGGGCATGTGAACATTTTCACATTGTTCCGGCTGTCCACGCAGCGCAACATGCATGAGACCCAGTTTGGTTGCATATTGTCGATATCACGCTTGGGACTGCAAAGGCAAATCCGACAAATATGACCATCATACCACGCATTGACAAGTGCTCTCCGGTACCCAAGCCGCGCCATCAAGTTCAAGTTGTAGGAGTTAGCTTCCTAGACATGGCCACGTGTGAAATTTGTGGAGATGGTTTCGCAGACGATGCGGAAAAACACTTGTGCTCCCCGAGCCGAGCCGAGACTCTTGCTCACACATGTGCCAGGCGGATTGCTTGCAGCAATACCGATTAAAGCAGGGCTGCCCTATGCATGACTCCCCATTCTGTCTTCAGAATGAAGATTCCCAGGAAGAGGCTGATGATGGTGGTTTGCAAGAGATGGAGATTGAGGCAGCAATGGAAGCAGAGGCTGTGGCTGAGGGGGTAAAAAGAAAGACCAGAGAAGAGGCAGCTTCGCCTGTCCGTGCGGGTGGGGGCCCAGCGGGCAAGAAGTTAACAACCAACGCAAGCCCACCAGCAGGACAACGCAGCCCAGTGCCGCCCACCCAAAGGTCCCCAAGCCCAGAAAGCCCTCCCTTCACACAGGGTGGAAGTGAAGCAGCCCGCTTGTCCATTCCAAGCTTTGGGATTGACATCTACGACCTGAGTCAGACCAGCAAGGCATCTACCACGGTGAAGGATCCTATGCACGACGCCATATCAAATTACTTGGCTTGCATGGATGAAGCACAAAGCCTTTCATTCCTTCACACCAAGAGCACATATCAAGGGCTTGGAAGCCCGGAGGCTTCTTATCAAACCGTTCTGAATGCAGCCTTGAAAGACCCCAGGGTTGCTGTGGCATCAGACTTTGCCTTCCGAACTCGAGAAGTGCTGCCCGCGCCTTTCGGAGTCAGCTTGAGAACCATTGCCCGCAAGGAAGGTTGGGAGCCTGAGACATTCATGGCGCCGATCCTCAGCAACATTGGTTGGATGGAGCATCCATGCAGGCACGCGGCTTCGATTGCAGCCTGATGAGGAGCACCAACGTGGCTGCGTAGTCCAGATTGTTTGCGCAGGTGACCCCAGCATGCGCAAGAGTTCTTTGAAGGATTTTACCAGCAAAAAGCTTCTTTCCCATGCAGATGTCCCTGCTGTCATCAAGGCAGGTGGCGCCACATGCACGGATGCCACCATCAAGGGTATTCGTGCTTCTATCAAAGAATATGTCCGAGCTGGCATCATTTCGGATGAGATTGCCACAACAATATGCCGTGACATCCGGGAGGGAGACCCGACACTCAGGTCTGCACTACGGCAACAAAGAAAAGATGTGCACTTGGCTGAACTGCGAAGGTGACAAGACAGTCACTGGAGATGGTGCCACTGCGCTGACTCATTACATCTTCGTTCACCACGTGTATGGACAGGTGTCGCTTTGTGAGTATGTGCTCCAGCCGACTGCAAGCATGTTTTCCAAGAGAATCCATGCGACGTGGCAAACAAGGCCAGTGACAAGTGACCCTGATCAGCAGAGCCAGTCCAGCAAAGAGTTTCTGATTGACTTCTTTGGTTGGATGGGGCGCGTGGCAAGCAACCAGGACAAAGACCACTATTTTGACAAGTTCGCCTTGCCCGTGCTCAGGAAGGCTTTGCAGGGAATCTCCGACTTCTTGCACGAGAATCACGAGAATGTAGAAGAACCAATCTAACAGAAGCTACGCTATGCTGACACAGATGCTCCAAGCAAGTCCAAGCCTTGGTAGGCCCCAAAGCCGTGCCAGATGTCAAGACCCCAGGACTTGCAGATTTGGATGCCAAGATGAAATTGCAGCAAGTCATTCTGTCCAATCCTCGATGCGCTGGTCCAACCTCCACTGCGCACATTCGCTCTGTTCTGAAGTACCACTTTCAGAAGGAGAAAGAAGAAAAACCAGCAAAGTACGTCTTGGCAGCAGTCAAAGACCTCTTGAAAGTTGGCATCTTGCAAGAGGTTGACAAGAAGGAAGTGGAAGAGCAGGCGCCCAAACTTAAGGACAAGAAAAGCGCCAAGAGCAAGGAGGCCACGCTAAAGAGCGAGCCACGAGGCCCGCCACGAGGCCCGCCAGGTGGCCACGCTGTCCTGTACTACCAGACATGTGCCTGGGAAGACCTTTTGACTAATTCGGAAGCTCAAGACATGATTGCCAAGCTGCAACTGAGTGCCAATGATTTCAAGTAGGATTCCAGAAATACGAGGTCTTGCACGGTCCCATGTCTAAACTGCCAGCCCAAAAAAAGAGTGACAATGTGCTCCAAAGCACTTGTTGTATATAAGTCTTGTTTCCAAAGATACGCGTCAATAATGGTGCGATTCCTCGAAATTAAGCTCTGGCTTCTTTCCAGCCCGAGCGTGTTCCTGACCCTACGAGGTGAATGCTTTCAATCAAGACTGTATGGTGGCTGCAACATATTGTGCGTCAATTTCAATCAACCCACCCATTTTCATGACAAGACATTGTGGTGTGAAGATCTTACATAGTGGTTCATCATCGTGTCCAAAGCCACATTCAAAACAGTCTGCTCGGCCTTCTAGTGTTCAATCGTGTGCGCTGGTGGCATGAGATTGACAAAGGCCCAATCTACTCTTTTTGAGGCAAAGCGGACAGCCAACACCGCGGCTCCGAAATAGTTTGCGCGGCGCATGTGAAGCCACTGTTCGCTGAACATAGCCATTCGAGATGTTGAAGCAAGACACATGTTTTATTTGTTCCTGATCCAGTCCAAGAAAGAATTGAAACTTGCACCTGTTTTTTCTGTTTTCTACCATCCTTTCCGACTGCGATATATTTTTTCTGCTTCATGGGGGAAAGAAGACTCACGGGAGTCCTGTCCACACCGACCATGTCGCTGACTCCTGCGTCTGCAGGTGCCGATGCTAAGTGGCACCAGGACAACGGCTTCTACCTTAGGGATTCAGCAGATGCTGATGCCAGCATGCGTGATGTTGGTACGCAATCAAATAGAGATGGCACAATAGTCCACTCCTCACTGTGACCATCGGGTCTGTGGTCCCGCGGGGCCCGTGCACTGCGCGTCGGTGCGCATTCCCGGAATGGCTGGAGGTTGCTTCCGGTGATGCTTGATGCACATTGGTGTCAAGCAATGTTCAACGCAATTTTTCGAGGACATGTTTAAACATAGTCGATCTTTGTTTGGGCTCATACAGACCTTGTACAAAAGGATCTTGCACAGCAGCGTCTAGAAAGAACCTGTCAAGGAGATCTTGCACACGTCTTCTACAAAGGGAACTTGCAGAATCCAATCTGGTATTGATGCCACGGTGTTTGGAGTCGCCACTTAATCCCCGTCGGCCGCTCCACTCGCCCCACTCGCCCCCCTCGCCCCACTCGCCTCCTCGCCCCACTCGCCCCACTCGCCCCACTCGCCCCACTCGCCCCACTCGCCCCCCTCGCCCCACTCGCCCCACTCGCCCCACTCGCCCCACTCGCCCAAACATTCCATTCACGTTGCCACCTCTATTCCTTTTTCATACTGCTGTGTGCTGAAACCAAAGCAAGCAGCAAGCAAGCGGGGCAAGCGGGGCAAGCGGGGCAAGCGGGGCAAGCGGGGCAAGCGGGGCAAGCGGGAAGAACCACCGATCTTCCCTCGGTTTGCAAGTAGGGCAAGCGGGGCAAGCAGGGCAAGCGGGGCAAGGAGGAAGATTCACTTATTTTCCCTAGAAGCGGAGCAAGCGGGGCAAGCGGGGCAAGCGGCAGAAATCACTTAGCGGCCCCGCGGGGCACCCACACTGAGATGTTTCCTGTAGCTATACGAAAATATACGAAAATTGTGGTCAGCTCCCTTTCCATCAATTGCACGAACAATCGTGTATGATCGCGTATAAAGTTGGTCCTCAGAGCACAGTTCGACAAAAGATGTCCCTCCGAGGACGCCAGGACGTCCGCGTTCTGACACCTCACGCCCTTCAGTCAGATGACGATTTGTTTCTTCTCGACAGTCTCTCTGGCAATGTCAAGGTCATGAACGGAGATCTGGTTCGCGAAGCAGAACCTTTGTAGTATCACGGAATCATGTAGCATTTGGAACCATCTGGAGCCAACGGGCCAGACTTGACCAACCGATGCATGCTGACAGTTCTGCTTCAATATCCTTCATTCAGCAGCCTGTGACCCAAAGAATTTCAGCCGATTCTCCAGGGAACAAGTTGTGACTAACCTCAAGCCTCAAGCATCCCCTGCGCTTTTTGCAGGAGGACTCCTCAAATGCAATGGAATCAGAAGAGCAGGAGGGAGAGACAGGGAGACGTAGACTCAAATGGACTTGCCATGAGTTAGGAGCGCCTTGTTTGCCTGAGATACTTATCATTTCCTTTTGCCTGCTGCATGTTCGTCTTGAGCTGAACGAAGACTCAGCTGACCTTTGGCAGTTCAGTACCCTGTGCTTGCTGCTCCAAGTACGCTGAAGCAGCTGCATGAAAGGAAGTCCTAGACCAGTGCGCGTCCCAAATGGTCTTTATTTGAGATGATAGTGACTGAGCAGAGCAAAAGCTGGTGGCCAAATGTGGGCGACGAATACGAAGGGTATTGTTCAAGCTTCACGAGCTTTGTGCAGCACCACCTTGGAGTCACGCACGTAGCTATAAGTTGTAAGTTGTTAAAGTCTTTGCAATACATAGCTCCAGTGACAGCTGATGCATATCACCCACTATCACTAGGCCAACATACATTTTCAGCAGTTCTTAGGAGTCTTACTGAGATTCAACGGAAGTTGCTGCCACCGTAAAAACCTGGCTATTGTTTGACATGTCTTTAAATTTCTATGCATGTCTTTCATCCTCCAATTTGTGCTGCTGGTATTTGTTGGCCTGGTTGGGCCAAGAACAATGAGCCGTTTGAGCTTACAGTGCCTGTAAAGTGTTTGAGCTCGTGACAGGGCCGGGCCTTAACTTTACCTTGCTCATCTTGGCTCCTGTGTTTCCTGCTGTCGACTTGTCAGAGTTGAGCCTTGGACTTGTTGAATCAAGGTGTTCTACTTTCACCAGCATCACTAGCTTTTTTGGTCTAGAGTTCAGACCACGGCTACAATCCATCCCTCAGAATTTGGGTGTAATATTGGGCGATGAGCATGCACCTTGAAGCCCCATTTCACATTGGACTTCGAAGCACTGCTTCACATACATATGTCAACTCGAATCAGTAGTAGTCGTCATCGTCGTCGTCGTAGTAGTAGTAGTAGTTGTAGTTGTAGCTGTAGTAGTAGTAGTAGTTGTTGTTGTTGTTGCTGTTGTTGTTGTTGTTGTTGGTTGTTGCTGTAGGTTGTTGATGGTTGTTGTTGGTTGTTGTTGGTTGTTGTTGGTTTTTGATTGTTGGTTGTTGATTGTTGTTGTTGATTGTTGGTTGTTGATTGTTGGTTGTTGTTCGTTGTTGGTTGTTGTTCGTTGTTGGTTGTTGTTCGTTGTTGGTGGTTGGTTGTGGTTGGTTGTGGTTGGTTGTGGTTGGTTGTGGTTGGTTGTGGGTGTGGGTGTGGGTGTGGGTGTGGGTGTGGTTGTGGTTGTGGTTGTGGTTGTTGTTGTTGTTGGTTGTTGGTTGTTGGTTGTTGGTTGTTGGTTGTTGGTTGTTGGTTGTTGGTTGTTGGTGGTAGTTTTGGTTGTTGGTGGTAGTTTTGGTTGTTGGTTGTTGGTTGTTGGTTGTTAGTTGTTACTTGTTGGTGGTTGGTTGTGGTTGGTTGTGTTTGGTTGTGGGTGTGGGTGTGGGTGTGGGTGTGGTGGTTGTTGTTGTTGTTGTTGCTGTTGCTGTTGTTGATGTTGATGTTGTTGTGGAAAAAGAATAATATCGATGCGTTTTTGACGCTTTCTGTATATTACATTCACACAGAATCGCTGAAAATAAATGATCATAATACCAGTAGCACCGCACAAGGCGGAGGCGGAAGTTTCAAAGATAGGAAACCTATAGGAGATGTCCGTGAATTATCGTGATGCATGGATGGCACAGCGAGCCAACTGATGGACCGAAAGGTGGTTGAGGCTCTGAGCCTCTCTCTCTGTCTCTCCTTCGGACTCTCTCTGTCACCTTCTCTTTGTGTCTCTCTATCCCTCCCTCTGTGTATCTATGTAATTACAGTATATATTCGCCTATCTATCTATCTATCTATCTATCTATCTATCTATCTATCTATCTATCTATCTATCTATCTATCTATCTATCTATCTATCTATCTATCTATCTATCTATCTATCTATCTCTAGTGTAGTGTAGTTGTAGTTGTGGCTGTAGCTGTACTTGACTTGTAGTATAGTGGTAGCTGTAGTTGTAGTTGTAGTAGTGTGGTTGTAGTTATACTTGTAGTTGCAGCTGTAGTTGTAGTGCAGTGTAGTCTAGTGTACTGGAGTGTAGTGTGGCGTAATGTAGTTGAAGCCTAGTGTGGCGCAGTGTAATAGTTGCAGTTGCAGTTGTTGTTGCAGTTGTAGGTGTAGTGTAGTGTAGGCTAGTGTAGTTGTACTTGTAGCTGTATTTGTAGTGCGATTTATTCTGTAAAGTTGTAGTTGTAGTTGTAGCGTAGGGAGGGCTATTTTATTTTTGTTTTTTTTTGATAATGTTTAGGATGTTTTTTTTATTCCTGCTTTCCTGCTTCTCTGCTTTTCTGCTCCTCCGTCTTTTTTGTTGTCCCTGCTTTTCCTGCTTCTTTGCTTTTCTGCTTTTCTTGCAGTGCTTCTCTGCTTTTCTGTGTTTTGCTTTTCCTGCTTTTCTGCTCTTTTGCTCCTGTTTCCTTTCTACTTCTACTTTTTTCTGCAGTCGCAGTCATGCGTTTTTGCTGCTCTGCTTCTTCCTGCTCCTTTGCTTCTCTGCTTCCTTTCTTTACTGTCTCTTTGCTTTTCTTCTCTTTCGCTTTACTCTTTCCTGTTTGCATCCTTAATGAAACCCTAGAGACCCCTAGATGAAACCCAAAGACACCCTAATCAGAACCTGCAAACGAAACCGCAATGAAACCCTAAAGGTAAAATACTCCGTAAAGAAACCTTTAATGAAAACCGAAAGTTTTTAAAGAAACGCTAAAGATAGCCTAAATGACACCATAGGAAACCCGAAGTGAAACCCTAAATGAAAACCTAAAGAAACCCTAAAGATACCCTAAATGACACCTTAAAGAAGCCGTAGAAAAAACACTAAAGAAACTGTAAACAAAACCCTTAAGAAACCCTAAATAAAAACGTACAGAACCCCTAAATGAAACCCTAAAGAAATCTTAAATGAAACGGGCCCTAACGAAATCCTAAATGAAACAAGCCCCAAAGAAATCCTAAAAAACCCTGAATGAAACCCTAAAGAAATCCTAAATGAACCAACCCTTAAAGAAACCCTAAAAGAAACCCTAATAACACCATTAATGAAACGTTGAACGAAACCCTAAAGGCAAGCCTAAATGAAACCCTACACGAAACCCTAAATATAATAAAACTTTACATGACACCCCAAAGAAACCCAAGAAGATTCAAAATTAATCCCTGACGATAAATTAAATGACACCCGAAAGAAACCTGCAACTCTAAATGAAACCCTAAAGATACCCTACAGATACTAAAAGTGACGCCCGAAAGAAACCCGACATGAAAGTTTGTTTGAAGTACTAACATGTAGCACATACCATGCAAAATGAGAGATATGAGAGGTTGAGGTGCCAAAAATATAGCAAATACCGTGCAAAATGAAGGTGGACATGCCACAATGTAGCAAATACCATGTAAAATGATCCGTTCTACCTCCAAACTGTTGCAAATACAAGGCAAGTGGTGCCAAGAAAAAAATTGCCCAAAAAAACAAACCTTATCCAAAAAATCCTAAAACTATTCTTCGCCATATAGTGTTGTGTAACGCAATGTAGTGCCGGGTAATCTAGCGTAGTGTAGTGTAGTGTAGTGAAGTTGTAGCCTAGTGTGGTGTAGTGTGGTTGCAGTTGCAGTTGTAGTTCTAGCTTTGGGTGTAGTTGTAGTTGTAGTGGTATTTCTAGTGTAGGTGTTGTTGTAGTTACTTGTAGGCGTAGTTGTAATTCTAGTGTAGTTGTAAGAAGTGGCAGTTGTACTTCCTGCACCGCCCAGTGGTACAGATAAATGTGTACTTTTAGGGTGTTTGGTACGCTTTTTTGGTAAACGGTCAGTTTCTGAAAACCGCCTCATTTTCAAGCACATTTTTTAAAAGGCAACGATGCGGACACATTTTTTCATGCGGCCAACAATCGGTACGTTTTGTGCAGTTTTCAGTTTTGCCAGCCCCTTCCCAACTTGTGCTCAAACATATACGTCCAAATCAGCCCTGTTGGCAAGCATGTGGCTGTGTTTGAAGCCTAGTTGGCCTATAGTTACTTTCACAGTGTGTTTGTTGAAAGATGACATGGGCACAGATGATGTGACCGACATGCAGCTATTAATATGTGCCAAATATCCCCATACCCCATATATAGCTTTCCCATGACTTACCTCAATCAACGAGCAAGGCTGCTGCGCACGATATTGAAGAAGTCCTTGTTTCCATGCATGGCTGGATGCATGACTTATCTTTCAGACGGTTGCATCTGATTCCTTGTCCAGGATAAAAATCGTATTTTTCCGCTCGCTGTGAAAAAATTGAAGCCCTGCCCATGGGTAACTCAGTGCTGGATGCATGGGACTATCTGTGGAAACTCCTCATTAGGTGAGCTGTGGCATGGCTGTACATGACAAAGTTTGACCGTGAACTCTGGGAAACACGGTCAGGTTGAGGTTTGCTTGATGAAAAATGGCGCCTTGCATTAGGTCGGCTTTGACAGGCATGATGTTCGGGCCTAATATTATCCGAAAAAAACAAGTGTACCACTTGACCCTCTTGTTTTGACCGTCATGACGTGCCGCGTGTTTTTGAAGACCTTTTTGCGCATGGTCCGAACAGAAGGCATGGTCCGAAGAGAAGGCGCCGCCATGTGGTCTTGAGCTTGTGGGGGGCATGTTGTTTCAGTATGAGCCAAGCCAGTTCTTCCATCGCACCTTTTAGTTTTAGTTCATGCATTGGCTTCATTCCCGTTTTACTTGGACTCCCGGTGCGCATGTTTCTAGATTTTGTCACGTGTAGTGCTCATATTATGTACTTGCTTGTTGTGACTGTGGTGCTTTTGTGTTGCATGTTGAACGCCCTGCATGAGGATTCTTTGTGTGAAAAAAATAATGCCCGACTGTTGATGTGGTGTTGTGAAAATTGCGCTATATATATATATATAGCTGAAGGTTGTTTGCTTGAGGGTATTATGGCATATGAAAAACATACGTGATGTTGAGGTGGGTACCTCAGATTTACGCTGTCCAAAGCTCGGTTGTTTACATGTGCTGCGATGCAACCCATGTTGTCAGGCGTGGCTGTTCGAGGTCGTATTTGGGGCGGTAGCGCGTGGCAAAAGTGTCCTTTCGAGCCTATGGAGAAAGAATCAGGTTGATTACTATGGGGAGCCACGGAACTCCGGACGCCTTTTTTTTTTTCAGACCCCTAAACGGGCACATTTTTTGACATCGGGCAGAAAAAAATGGGAGGTAGTTGTAGCTGTAGTTGGCACGAAAACTGACAGTTGCGCGTCCAAAAGTGGCCCGAGCATGTGGTGTTTTGATCAGTTTACTTCAAAATGTGGTTCGCGCCAGTCTGGCGTGCACTTTTTCGACATCGCAACTTCCAAAAGTGCTTGTTTTGGTCATTTTGACTTCCAAATCTGCTTCGCACCACAGCGGCATGCAATTTTTGATCTGCCCTCACCAGATGGCTCCGCACCCGCCGCTTTAGTGAGCCTACTTTTCGACCCTCCAGAGCCACGAAGCATCAGAAAAACACAGTTTTTCGCGACTTTACCTTTTTGCGCGCCTTGATCTTCTTTCTACTGACTCTTTCTCTTCTAGCTTCTCTTCTGACTCTTTCTCTTCTCTGCCTCTTTCCACCTCTGCTGCTTCATCTGTCGGAAGTTTGACCTCTAAATCCCCTTGAAACATATATTATATATCAGTGAACTAAACAATATGTGTATATATATATATAGAGACGTATATATATATATATGTATATATATATATATACATATATATAGAGACTTATATACCAACACATTACCACACATCACCTCACCCACTCGTTTTGTTTCCTTGACATTTTAAGTGCCCAGAGCTTGGCCACAGCATGCCGCCTTGAAGGCCACGTGAAGGCGGTATGGTGAATGTAAAGGTGCACACCTTGGAAGATGAACTCTGCAGCGTGGAGGTGGAAGCTGGTTGTACTGGCCGCCAATTGAAAGAAGCAATTGAAGAAGCGACCAACTGGGTGGAATTGGTTTGCACTCAATGCCTAGCATTGGGTGTCAATGCTATTCGTGACGATGAGGTTCCTTGCTTTAGATCTGGTCTTGGCGTTGTTCCCCTGGTTCCGAAACTAGCCAAGGGAGCCTACTGGAAGCAAAGGATCAACACACGGCCAATTTCCCACTTGCACAGAAAACAGTTCCAACTGTAGAATCGCTGTTGCACGCCCAGAAGATGCCGTGATGTTCTTTAATTCAGATGCATAATCGCATGGTTGTATTTTGATTGTGTTGTTTTGTTTTGATTCAACGTGCCAGGTGGTCGATTTTAATGGTGAGGAGACCGTGTTTGTGATGGTGACCCGCAGGCCCTTGCCTGCCAAGATTTTTTACCGCCCAGCTGGAGAGGCGAAAGAAACCCAACAGAAAGCTCTGGCACTTGCCATGCGTCGCTTTGCATCTAGCCCTGTAGTGCTAGAAGTGCCATGGCACGGCCTTGTGTTTGGCACTGGCCAAGAGGAATCTTCGGAAAGATTGTTCGATATTGTTTATTTCCGCAAGTGGGATTTTTCTGTACCCACTATTCACACTTTGTTCAAGGTAAGGGTTCAGCGGGCTTCGGGCGCCCGCTGGTGCATCGCTCTGGGCGCCCACTTGTGTACGTCTGGCGCCTTCTGTAACTACCACGACTGTACCGGTAGGTACAGGTAGCATTAAAACTACCACAGACTACCACTATGTACCTTGCAACATGGTGAAAACTGCGTAAATCCAGTGTTTTTGCTAGGTGCTGTCACAACAAACACTGTAAATGCCGTGTTTTTTTGTTACCAAGGACAGAAAACATACTGTAGTAAATACCGATGTTTTTGGGCTTCCGAGGCACAAAATACATCGATATTTACGGTGTTTTTTGTTCCGAGAGTTTCAATAAAACGTGAAACACAATCTATTTGAGGACTTTTGGACACTACGAGACTGGAGAAAAAAGCTGCAGGGGCAACAACAACAACAACAACACCAACAACACCACCACCACCAACAACAACAACAACCACCACCACAACAACCACAACCACATCCACAACCACCCCCACCACCACAACAACAACAACCACCACCACAACCACAGCCACAACCACAACCACAACCACAACAACAACCACGACGACGACGACGACTTCTACTACCACAACCACAACCACAACAGCAACAACAACAACCACAACAACCACAACAACCACAACAACCACAACAACCACAACAACCACAACAGCCAACTACCAACAACCACAACCACACCAACGACAAAAACAAAAACAACAAACAACATCCATGGTGTTTTTCCCCACCTGTTGGGTGAGGGTTGTTAGATTTTGTGTCAGCTACTTCTCCTCCTTCTCCTGCTCCTTCTCCTCCTCCTCTTCCTCCTCCTCCGCCGGACCTGACCTCAACTGCAAGCTCTAGATCGCAGTGTTCCCCGCCGCAACGGCGAGCACCGGATCAAAGTGTTCCCCGCCGGACCTCAACCACAAAGAATCTCTCAAGATATACCACATAGAATGCCAGAAAGAATGGCCGAAAATATGTAAGATAAAATGTGAATGCCAGATAGAATGTCAGAAAATCTCAGAAGATATTTTTAAAACGGTGTCACTTGGTGGGGATCATTCGGAGAAGTAATTTGTCCCGAAGGCTTTTAAACATTGACTTAACTAACGCAGCCACAATGACGCCTTGTGGGGCCTTGCGTGCATCATCGCCATCATCAAAAACGGTAGCGACAGCAAGCATTTGAGCTTGGATTCTTTGGTTTCATTTTTTATGCGTTTTGGCTGTGGTGACGCATTTTGCACCGATGCGTTTCTACAAACAGACGACGTTACGCACAGAAGCCTTTACACACAGCAGCTTTTACGCGCAGGTCTGTGCACAGAGAAACTTTTGCACACAGACGCCTTTACACACAGAGGCTTTTAATTACGCAAGAAGTTGCACACCGGTGCTTTGCACAAAGATGCCTTTGCCTGCATGAATCAAGGAGCACAGTCGTTTTTACACACAGAACATACCCCTAAGTTGATCCTCTATAAAATACACATGCTTTACTGCTTTACGTCTATAAAATGCTGTTCCGGGACTCATTTTACAGAGGACTTGCTTGGCTGTCTATAAAATGCCCCTCCAGAGCTCCCTATTTTTATCATTTTATAGAGAGCTTCCTTCCCAGCATCAAAGATGATAGAGAGGTGCAAGATGTTGCAGATGGATGATGCATTTTATAGGAGGGGTTCTTTGCAAAATGTTACTGTTTTTTATGGACCATGTTGTGAAAGGAAAGTGCATTTTATAGAGGGAAACTGGGGGCAACCTTGATCTTTAAGATGCTTTCAGAGCATATATTGGCTTCTATGGAACGGGCATTTTACAGAGGCTTTATTTTCTTGGTATTCCGTAGGTGGCAGTTTGAAGGATGTACATGGATGCACAGTGATTCTTGCAACTGTAGGGTCTGAGTCGAACACACGCGTGCGCCTTGCAAACTTTATTAAATACCGCTGGGCCAGCCGTCTAAAATCCTGGGCTAGTGATGCCCACTGGCTATAGCCAGCTAAGAATTTAAGCCAGGCAAATCTTGAAGTCCCTGGGGTGAGGACAAAGAAATTTCAAAGAGATCAGCATTTCCAGAGACTCATCCGGGGAGATCTGCCTGCTATTCCCGGGAAACGTCTCTATAAAATGCTGTCTCCGACTAAGGGAGATCCGCGGATGGACGGGTAGGGGGCATCTCCAGTCGGAAGCAGCATTTCATAGAGAGTCATGGGGGGAGATCAGCCTGCTATTCCCGGGAAACGTCTTAATATGTCTCGATATGTCTCAATAATTTTGACGTGCTTTGCATTTTGAACACTTTTGACTTTTGAACAATTTAAATATGTTATTAATTGTTTCTATTGTGTATACAAGTTTGTTCGCTTTTTAACCTATTTTATATCATTTTACACCAAGACGTTTTAGATGTTTTTTGCATGATAATGTTTGACATCAGGCCTGTACTTCTATTTTGATCGTTGAATTCCCGACTCATTGCATTCGGATCACCGCTACGGGGAAGACGCAATGGGGTGTTACAACGGGGAGACAACGGGAAAATGATGCAAAATGAGAAATGTCACTTTGATAGTTGGTAAACAAGAAAAAGTGCTTTAGAAACATACTGAAATTGTAAAATTGTGCATATGTGTTGAATAATTTGATATATATATATATATTGTTAAAAAATAATTTCTATCCATAAATTATGTCCACAATCAGTTTTAAAACATTCAGTGGTTCATTTTCAAGGTGTTGGAATGAATTTTTATTTTTTCAAAATATGTTAGTCATATTATAGCCCCAGACAAAAGGGGTCGTGCATAAAATTATGGTTTTTGGGGCACCCGTTATTTAAAAAAAAAACGTAGAATTTTATAAGCCATGTCCATGTAAAAAAAACAGGAAGGCTTCGGTTCGTTTAGGTTCGTTTCGGTTCGTGGAAACCTCAAACACGGGCGGTTCGGTTCATCCGTGTGCCGGTTCGTTTCGGTTCGTGTGACATGGCGGTTCGGTTCGGTTCGGTTCGTGTTGTGTAGTGTTGCAGGACGAGAGGTCTTTGACAGAATGGGTGCGGATGAATATCAAATAGTAATGTTATGTTGCAGCAGAGGGATTTTGTTTTTGAATGTTTGAAACTGATGGTGGGGCCGAGTGTTTGCAGCATCTAAGTAAGCAGTGTCCAAAACCACGGTTTGTTGATGACTAAAGTGCTTATGCTGTTTCTTGGATTGGGGATAATGATTATCATCATCAACTATTAGAATTCTTACATCTAACCAGTTTACAGTGAAATTGACAGATCCATTGCCAACGGCATTTTCATTGCGCGAAAATCACTTTCAGCTGTCGAAATCCAGCCGTGGCCGGCAGAGGTTCAATCAGCAGCCAAATGCCATTTTCATATGGCGAAAGTCGTTTTCAGGCATCGAAATTGAGGCAGTGCCTGCAAATCTCAAACATTAGCCAAACATCATTTTCATTGTGCGAAAATCAGTTCCGAGCATCGAAATCAACACACATCAGACAAGGACCAAAGCGAATTTTCGTGTTTTCCTTAACTATTAGGTGTTTTCCTTAACTTGATTTTCACTGCGCGAAAATCATTTTCGGAGTTGTTTTGGCAAAAAGAGGAAAAAAAGTAGTAGTAGTAGTAGTAGCAGCAGTAGCAGTAGCAGTAGTAGCAGCCAGCACTGATCATTTGCAATTCCTGCTGCACTTTGGCAGATTGTGTTGCGCAGGAATCCACTCATTACAGTTGATTCCTCTTTCCAATTTGATTTTCAAGTCGCGAAAATCATTTTCGGACCCCCCGGAAGCTGACAAAATTAATTTTGAGAATGTGGAACCGGTTCGGTTCCATTCGGTTTGCGTAAGAATACTTGGCGGTTCGGTTCGTGCCGGTTCTTAGCCGCCTGCCGGTTCCTGAACGGTTCGGTTCACGGTTTGTTTCCTAAGCCATACTGGGAACCGGTTCGGTTCCATTCGGTTTGCATAAGAATACTTGGCGGTTCGGTTCGTGCCGGTTCTTAGCCTGCCGGTTCCTGAACGGTTCGGTTCCCGGTTCACGGTTCGTTTCCTAAGCCATACTGAAAAAAAACGGGGAACGGGACCCTATAAAAATTGGGTCCCGCCCCCCGGGTGGCGGGATTTAATGAGAGAAATTAAAAGGGGGATGTTATAAGTGTTTTGTTTTGCACCCCCAAGGTAAAATTTCATGGTAATCCCTCTATGTCTTACCGGGTATTGCCGGCATAGTCAAACAAGTTGCACGTCTCTGCGCCATTGAATCAAATCAGATGGGTTAGCAACCGCCTGTGGGAAAGGCATTTTATAGATATATGTCTTGCCATATTGGAGCAGCGCTTCGAAGATCACACCTAGATTGGAGCAGCATTTTATAGAGGATAACTGGGTTGTTGCCCGATGTTGCGCTGCGTGTCTTTGCACACGCGTCGTCTGCGGAGAAGCATTTCATAGAGATGACGGAGAGGTCATTTCATAGAGGGTTCCCACTTGCTGTCTGGATGTTGGCTGACGGAGGACCATTTTATAACTAATTTTCTCTATAAAATGCTTCGTAAAGCATCCTAGGGAACAAGTAAGGGGTATCACAGAACCTTTTCCACAGCGAAGTTTTTGCACAGAACAGTTTTTACGCAAAGTTTTATTTCCACAGGAACACTTTTGACACAAAGAAACTTGTACACACAGACTGCACAAAGACGTTTCTACACACCATTTTTTGCACGCAGAAACTTTACCCAGAGCATTTCTTTACACAGCAACAACTTTTCCGCACAGAAGCCTTTACGCACACAAGTTTTTACGCACAGCAGTTTTTACAAACAAACGGTTTTACACACAGAAACTATTCCAGACAGAAGTCTTACGTTTTACGCACAGCAAGTTTTACACACAGACGCTTTTACACACAGATGCCTTTACACAGAAAAAATACACACAAAAACTTGTGCACACAGCACGCTTTTACACACAGCCTGCTTTTACACAGAGAGGTTTTGCTTCCCTTCTTGACCACCTACCTTTCGTGTTTCCCCTCTCAAGTAAATCTTTGTGACCACAAGCTACTTGACATTTTGGGTTTTTAAATTGGACCTGCCTATCGGGAATTGCTATAAAATGTAGACATTGTTGCGTTAACTTAGGTGGATTTCAGTATTGTTGTTACATCCATTCGCAGCGGCACACTTGATGCATTTATGCTGAACCTTGGGATCGAGCCCAGTATTGGTCTGGTAGTTGCCGTCTTCTTTCCATTTTTCGCCAAAGCAAACGTGCCAAGAGCTGGACAAATTGATTTCAGTAGCATGCATGGCCTTCAGGCGAACTCTTTTCATACATAGATGACTGATACATATTTCTTATATCTGGATAGACATTTCATCTTTCCATAATTGGACATTGTTTGGCGACCTGATGAAGGACGGTTCTGCCTGCATATGTACAGGTTGGGACCTCGTTTTTGACCTCGTTTTTTCCCTGCATTAAATGCCGTTCACAAGGGAACCCCAAAGAGTGGGAAGGTACACCCAAGAAAGAGCTGATGGCAAGCCAAGCTTGAAGGCCATGCGTACCACTGAAATCAATTTTGTCGCTCTTCATGCGGCAAAAAAGACTTCTGCCAAACCCAGTATGGTCAGTATGGTACTTGGCACGTCAATCCACATCTTGAAAAACACATTCGAAGAATAGTTCACCATGACCATGCAGTTTTGTTGCCGAAAACATGTTCACAACATTCATGGTGAGATCCTCCAAGATGCCGTGTTTAACATGCCTGTGCCATGCGAATTTGGAAAGCAACGCATGTTTTTGAGTAACAAAGAACCAATACGAGGGTTAAACGCCTATATAACACTGTGCCATTGGGAATAGCGACAAAAGCTTTTAATTACGTATTACTTCGAGTGACCCCCACCGGGACATTATTTTGTCATAGTTTCTGAGATCTCATCTGGAAGTCTATATGGCACATATTTTCTGACCTTCTATTCTGACATTCATTTCTGGCATTCTATCTGGAATCTAGTCTGACATCCTAGGTCCTATTTGGCATCTTTTCTGTCATCTAGGCATTTTCTCTGGCATTGTATATGGCGCTCTTTCTGAGAAGATATACCTGGCATCTATTCTGACATTCTATCTGGCATATATTCTGGCATTCTATCTGACGTTTCATTCTGGCATTCTACCTGGCATCTATTTTGACAGTCTCTCTGTTCTCTGTTTCTCTGCCATGGGAACTGCCGGACCTCAACCACGAGATCTGGTGCTCGCGGTTGAGGTCCGGCGGTGCCCACTGAGATCTGGTGCTCGTGGTCGAGTGCTCGCTGAGATCTGGAGCTCGCGGTTGAGGTCAGCTGGCAGTTGTGAGGAGGAGGAGAAGCAGGTGGAGGCGGGCACGGAGGAGGAGAAGAAGGAGAAGGTTGTGATAAACCATGATAAAATCTAGAGAATCATCATATGGCAGGTGGGGAAAAAATCTTGAAAAATCAACGTTTTTTCGATCGGGCTTGTAGGTGTGCCCTTGCAAGGATTTGCAAGGACCCACTTTACGACACTGTGCCATGCTGATTTGGAAAAAAACGCAAAAGAGTTGAAAGGATTTCCGCGTTTGGGAGTACGTTCTGCTTCGTACCACTATGTACTACGATGTACATACTACATACCATGACGCTATACTATGCACTACTGCGTGCTATGACGTGCTACTACGTACTACGACGATCTACGACGTCCTACCAAATCATATTACGTATTTCGAGCACCTCTAGAAATACTATATTACTGGGGGGCAGTAAAAAATAATCTTCAACTTAACATAACTTACCATATGAACTTTCTTCACACACTCAACGTATTGTTTTGTAAGGGAGGGGGGCCGTAAAAAATATATGTCACTTGATATAGTTTACCATGTCAGTTTTCTTCACACTATCAACACGTTGTTTTGTAGGGGAGGGGGACCTGTATATAAAAATTTAATTTTCACTTGATTTTACTGACAGCAGTCTGGTGTATCCCATCCAGAAAAGTTCGTTCTTGGCGTGGAACCAAAGTTTTCTTTGAGCACCTTAGTTGTTAGTGACATTCGATGCCAACAGATGGAATTATATATTTTTGTTGCCTTTTGTTAAGCAGGCCCATCGTGTTTGTCAACATGATGCCAACATGCAGAAATCTAGCATGCCCAAATACCTCAAAGGCAGATTCATTCTTGTATACAATTTCATGTTGTTCAACTGTGTTTCTGAGCGATTGGTCCATTTGAGAACTATTTGCGGCATTTCGTTTTTTTGCAGACATTTGTGGCCAAAAACCGAACAGTATAGATTTTGTTAAAGTTTGGAAGGTCTATGTTCACTTAATTTTTTAATTGTACTTGCCATGTCAACCTTCTTCACACTATCAACGTATTCTTGTGTAGGTGCGCCCAATGTGATGCGTTAGTAATCGGGCGCCCAAAGTGAGCGTCGAAAGTGTGATGAGTGTGACATTTTAGGTGGGCACCCAAAGTGATGCGCCAATGCACACACACAGGCTTTCATTCGCAGTCTGGACAATCCGAGGAAGTCAAAGCGATTTACTCAGAGCAATCTGAACATTTACGCCAAGAAACTCCTGGCAAAGACATGAATTTTGAGCATCGAGCTCTGGATTGGGAAACATTTGAAATCTGCTTGCCCTGGAAATATGTTGCAGGCAGTGGAACTAAAATTTGACCGAAAGTCTTCGCCCTCAAAAACCCATACAACCCATGACACTCCAATGACATAGACTTCACCACTCTGCACCTTGGCGGGATTCCTTGACAATCCCTGACGCAGGTGTTGCAACAGATGACATCGTAGCTGTACTCGCTTTGCAGTCGACCTGTATGCTCATCGGCGACGGTCACAGCTCAGCAGCTGCTGTGTTGCTGCTCAAAGATGGACGCTTTCTGGCAGCGACAGCCCGTATCGACGAAGCATCTGGTCTCGTGAATTATGGCAGCGTTATTGTTTCGGCAACTTTCTATGCAGACACTTGCGAAATGCTATTTGACGCCCTTCCCTCCTTTGCGCAGGCAGCATCCATTCAAATATAGCAATTGTTTGTTTTGGGATGGTGTGCTGCTACAGTAGATGTTGTTAACGGAGTTTTGGGAGTTGTTTCGCTTCAGAATTTGACACCAAACATTAACAAGAAAAAGGCGCAAACTTGTCAAGCATGTCTACACTCCTAAACCTGAAGGCCATGTCTGAACCAATGACTCGCGACTGGCTGAAAGAATATGCGTTCGAGATAGAGGAGTTCTCGCATCCCTGGTCGGTACAAGTCCATGCAGTGGATCTATATGGTTGGACTGAAGGCTGGTGGCCAAGCGAGGATTCTATTAGATTAGTTGTTGGTAGAGAGGGCCTGCCAAACATGCCGTTGATGAAGTTCAGGCCTGCATTTCCACAGAGCGTGCTCAAGCCTTTTTGCGACCTGAGGGGCATCAGGCCGGCGTTACAGACAGCCCTGCACGAGGTTCTGTCTACGTGTTGTACCAAGGGCAAAGGCAGAGGCAAAGGAAAAGATGCTGACGATGCCAAAGATCAGCGGCCGTTCTCCGAGGCCATTTCGCTGTTCAAAGCAAAACTGGAAGCAAAATTGAGCCAAATCGCCTTGACACAAGAAAAGGAAGTCAAGTCATTGGAGCCTTACCTTGACAAGTTGGAGCAGACAGAGCCTCCCGAGAGCATTGACTACGACTTGCAGACGCGATTTGAGACGTGCTTTCACACCTGGGAGACAGATGTTGTTTTTGGTTTAGGGAGGACTTCGGTTGAGATATGAGATGCAAACACTCTGCAAATTCTAGCTTGTAATGCTACCTATATATATATAATGCTGCATGCTGCGATTTGCTGCGCTTGAGATGAAATCTCATCAGCGTTGCAACTGTTTGAAGTGCATACTGGATCCTGCAAAAGCTCTGAACATCAGGCTTTTAGATTAGCGCTGTCATCACATGCCGCGAGCGCTTCCACATAGAAAATATCAGCGGTACTGTATAGGTCTCAAGATGTCAAGTTTCAATATGTTTGAAATCTGCGGCAGGTGAAACTTGATTAGCCCCACGTACATCTCACAACACATTATTGGTAAGCTTGGCAAATGGATGGGTCACATAATTCTAGACAAACCTAATTAGACATGCTTATCGATTCTTATCGTGTACTGCGACCCTGCGCCTGCCTATCTTCTCCTCACTGACAATGTCATTGAAGAAGAGAGGTGCCATTAGATGCCAATAGCAAAGTTTTGGCAGGTTCGGCGGCATGGGCAATTTGAAGAGAATGATGACTCACAGGCCTGGTGGCACATTTGGTGGCTCTGCATTTGCACGGTTGACGTCTACAACGGAGAACATTTGTGATCTCTCTGAAATGACTCGAGGAAGTTTGACTTCTTTGTTGCATTGAGGGATCTACACTTTTGTCTTTTATTTGTCTTTTATTATATTGTATTGAATAATTCAATTCAGATGCAGGGCTTCTTTGATGCCTTTGAAGGGTTGCAAGCACATTGGTGCACACTGCGCGCACACACACACATGATTTGGTTTATCACGCTTTCAAATTGACATGTAATTGGTAAATATATTTGATATCATACATGTATGTGCATGATATGAATGTCACATATTTGTCAAAGGATGGCTATTTATTTTTGGAATTATTTTTTGGATAAGGTTTACAATAGTTTTTTTTAATTCCTGCTTTTCCGCTGTTCCTGCTTCTCTGCTTCTCTGCTTTTCTGCTTCTCCGTTTTTTGAGTTTCCTGCTTCTCTGCTTTTCTGCTTCTCCGTTTTGTTTTTTTTGTTTTTCCTGCTTCTTTGCTGCTTTTCTTGATTTCTCTTTTCTGCTTTGCTTTTCCGCGTTTTGCTTTTCCTGCTTCTCTGCTTTTCTGGTTCTGCGCCTTTCTATATACTTCTACTTTTTTTTTGCAGTCATGCGTTTTTGCTGCTCTGCTTCTTCCTGCTCCTTTGCTTCTCCTGCTTCCTTTCTTCACTGTCTCTTTGCTTTTCTTTCTCGTTCGCTTTATTCTCTCCTGTTTGCGTCCTTAATGAAATCCTAGAGAAACCTAGATGAAAAACCCTGAGCAAATCCTAGATGAAACCCTAAAGAAACCCTAACGGAAACCCTACAGATACCCTACATGACACCCTAAAGAAACCTTAAGTGAAACCCTACATGATCTATGGTTTCTAACAGGTATCAGGTCTAGATATGCCAAGCCATGAGCCACCGCGCTACAGGACCGTGGACCGCTGCCTCCGGTTCCTCAGCCATTGCCTTCGCAATGGCGTGTGGTGCACTCAGCTCGGGCTGTTTCCGACAAAACGTGGATGTCTTGAGATGTCGTCGATGTAAGTCATTTTATATCATTATCATTTTATGTAAGTCATGTATATATTTATCATATTCATATGTACTGAATTGTTGTCAATAATGTTAATATAGTATTTCTTTTCCAATCAAATGCGTTCGACGCGACTTTACGCCGGGGTGGGAAAGGATGGCCGTCCAAGGCTGAGTTTGAACTATGCCTGGCTCCGAGGGTGCATGACCAGGAAGTTGATTGTTTCACCAGTTCTACCTAAGGTCCTTACAAGTTGTGAGTCCAGCGCTGTCAACTCTTCTGTTGCGATTCTTGAGACCTCCAAAGTCATCATGAAAGCACAAACTAGTACATTCAAATGCAATCTGGATCAGGTCCAAGGACCATCGTGAGTTTGATATTGCTTGTTGTGTGCCCCTCACCTCTTTCCAGTGACTTTGCATAATTAAGCAGCACCTCATGATCTGGAGAAAGCCCGAAAGTTCCAAGGCCCAGGTAACCTTGGCAAAGGTGCCTTTGCAGAGGCATGTTCTGTTGACCGCTGTCATGTGAGGACTCGTGTTGTTTGAAGCTAAATAAAGGCGTAGAATGGCGTATATAGGCGACATCATCGCTTCAATAGTGAAAAAATGGAAAACATCTAAAAAGCTTCAAGTCTACCAACTGGCAAACCAATCTTTGCACATCTCTATTTCTGTATTGCTTCTTGGGGCCTTGCTCGATTGACTCTTTAGTGCTAAAAGGTGTTTCGCGTTCAGCACAAGCGGACCCAGCAGAACTTCGCAGTGAAGGTGTCGGACCATGCTTAGATGTGGAGTCTTAAGCGGCAGTGCCTAGCTATGCCGTTCCGATGCCGTTCCCGGACAGAAGCTGATGTTCTGGTGATCGCAGAATACTGACTACAAAATTCTACGCAAATTTAAATGATCAAATGTTTGTTCGTTTTGCAGTGTTTGCAGACGAAATAAAATGCAGATGAGGACGCGTTACTCACCCAGAATTCCAGCTTGGCATACTTTGTCTTTTATATTGGGAGCTTCTGCAACTTGGTCCTTGATCAGAATGCTACCAGATGCTATCAGAATGATGCAAAGAGCTTCTGCTTGCGGAGATATGTCAAATTGAAACCTCACTGCATGTTTCCGCTGGCTTTTTTGCTCCAAGGTCCAGACGGTCTTGAAGTAGAATATGTTTTGAATGGCACACAATGCAAATATAAAATTTAATAGTTTTTAATATTTTTAACGCAAGATTTCCAGATTACCAGGGCACATATATGGAGTGGTTGCAGTGCCAGAACTAGCTGGTTCTGAAGCAGTTCCTCGGTTGTGAAGATGCAGCGGCTGTCCCTTCTTTGCGGTCTCTTGCTAGCTGCTGTGGCAGTGTGCGGTCTTCAGAGGTCTTTCCTGACGATTGATGCTCGTCCGAATTCTCGGTCACAGACACCATTGATGCATCAAGGACTTCCCCAGATGCCTCGAGCATCATCCCTTGGCACAGAATGGACATCGTGGGCTGCCACAGGGGTGCTTGCAGTTGGCGCAGCTGCTTTGGCATTGAAGTCCCACCGTCGTGATGAATCCTCAGCCACGATGTTCTCGAAGCATGACAAGCGCACCTTCCGCGGCAAGCTGCATGCTCACACCTTCAGCAAATACCGCCTCAGAAAGAACAAGGCTCGGCGCATTCAAGCCATCAAGAACGGGACCTTTGACCCAGAGAAGGTGGTTCAGAGGGGTCAGCCAGAGCCAGAGCACCCATGGGATCTTGACAACATCCTTGAGAATCCGATCCTCATCAGACAGCTTAGCATGACTTTGCATTCTTAGCCATGATAGCATCATTAGCATCTGTAGGATGCCCCCCTGCATACTTTGTTCTACATGCTTCTGATTTGTTCTGCCTTTGCCTTAGTGTTGTGCTAGAAGTGGACGGTGCAATTCCATAAAATTCCGTGGTTTCAGATAAGTCCGGCAGGCACAGGCAGGCGAAGGCAGACATTCAATTGTGTGCGTGTGTGATTGCCCATTCTAGGATCTACTATGCTCCGGACTACTTCAAGGAGGTGCTCTACGACTACTGGGATGACGTGAATGAAAAGATGCGCGAGAAATGGCAGGACTACATGGGCATCAAGGGGAACCAGCGGTATTTCAAGAACTGGACTCCACCTGATGTCAATGCTGCATGAGGCTGCCATAAACCGTCATACAGTATCTGTTCTAGCAGCTGTGTTGAGTCTTCCTTGTGGGGTTGGGCTGTGCAATGCTTTGCGCCTTTCTAGTTCCAGTTCATTTCACCCCGGGCTTGCGCAGTCGACACAGCCTGCTGCCCTGTTGAGAAAAGGAGTGCTGTGCTTTATGTTTTTTTTTTTGGCGGGGGGCAGTCCGAACAACCTTGGAAGCCAATGTGCATGCTGAGCAATTTGATGGGGGATTCAGGTTTTGCGCCCAATATGCACTGTCGGTTCATGGCATTGATCATAATTGCAGCTAGGGACTTTCAGACAGACGTCAAACTCGGTAAAAAGGTGTGCATGCCCCGGTTGTCAAGGGACAAGGTGACCTGTACTTGTCTCAACGATATGAACGCATGTGAGTACATGTAAACGCTGTGCGTTTTGGTGTGATCGGTGTGACCATTCATTGCATGAGAAGTTGCTATCAACGTGGATTGCATTTTCGAGTGACGGCTTGCAAGGCCTTGTAGAGTTTGGTTTTCTCTTGCGGAGCAGCTCGCTTTGAGTCTGACACAGCCAGCGTAGGCATCAATTCCAAACCCAGCATTTGAGAAAGGGAGCTGCTCATTGGTAATTATTATCAGGGAAGCTTGCCCATTCAGCGCTGCCCTAATTGCTTGAATCATGATGGCTGCCGGCAAAATGCAGCGGCTGTCCCTTCTTTGCGGTCTCTTGCTAGCTGCTGTGGCAGTGTGCGGTCTTCAGAGGTCTTTCCTGACGATTGATGCTCGTCCGAATTCTCGGTCACAGACACCATTGATGCATCAAGGACTTCCCCAGATGCCTCGAGCATCATCCCTTGGCACAGAATGGACATCGTGGGCTGCCACAGGGGTGCTTGCAGTTGGCGCAGCTGCTTTGGCATTGAAGTCCCACCGCCGTGATGAATCCTCAGCCACGATGTTCTCGAAGCATGACAAGCGCACCTTCCGCGGCAAGCTGCATGCTCACACCTTCGGCAAATACCGCCTCAGAAAGAACAAGGCTCGGCGCATTCAAGCCATCAAGAACGGGACCTTTGACCCAGAGAAGGTGGTTCAGAGGGGTCAGCCAGAGCCAGAGCACCCATGGGATCTTGACAACATCCTTGAGAATCCGATCCTCATCAGACAGCTTAGCATGACTTTGCATTCTTAGCCATGATAGCATCATTAGCATCTGTAGGATGCCCCCCTGCATACTTTGTTCTACATGCTTCTGATTTGTTCTGCCTTTGCCTTAGTGTTATGACGTAAAATGCCTCATCTTATTGGAAACCAACAAATATTTTTTTTATAAAAATACTTTACTTCGTGTGATCCCCACCATGACATTTATACATGTTCTTACTGGCACATCTTCTGGCATTCTATCTGACATATCTTGTGACATTCTATTTGGCATTCTATCTGGCATATCTTCTGGCATATCTTCTGGCATTCTATCTGGCAAATCTTCTGGCATTCTATCTGGCATATCTTCTGGCATTCTATCTGACATATCTTCTGGCATTCTATCTGGCATTCTATCTGGCATTCTATCTGGCATATCTTCTGGCATATATTCTGACATATCTTCTGGCATTCTATCTGGCATTCTACCTGGCATTCTATCTGGCATATCTTCTGAAATATCTTCTGGCATATCTATCTGGCATATCTTCTGGCATATTTTCTGGCATTCTACCTGGCAAATCTTCTGGCACTCTATCTGACATTTCATCTTCTTACACGAGGTCCGGCAGGGAACACTGGGCGTGGATGGTCGTGGTTGAGGTCCGGCAGGGAACACTGGGCGTGGATGGTCGTGGTTGAGGTCCGGCAGGGAACACTGGGCGTGGATGGTCGTGGTTGAGGTCCGGCAGGGAACACTGGGCGTGGAGGGTCGTGGTGGAGGTCCGGCAGAGAACACTGTGGATCGCGAGTCGCAGTTGAGCAGGAGGACGAGGAGGACAACGAGACGAGGAGGACAACGAGAGGAGGAGGACAACGAGAGGAGGAGGACGACGAGAGGAGGAGGAGAGGAGGAGGAGGAGCAGGCAACTTAGATAAAATCTAACAACCCTCACCTGGCAGGTGGGGAAAAACACAAAAAAAAACAAACCAAAAAAACAAACCAAAAAAACAAACAAACCAAAACAACAAAAAAACAAAAAAAAACAAACAAACCAAAAAAACAAAAAACAAACCAAACAAAACAAACAAACAACTATAAACAAACCAAAAAAACAAACAAAAAACAATAAGCAAAACAAAAAAAACAAACAAAAAACAAATAAAAACAATAAACACATACAAAAACCGAAGAAATTTCAAAACAATGGTACAAACTTCAAGACGAGGGAAGACTAGAACGACCACGGGAACAGCAAAACATAAAGCATTGGCCCGGACCAACAGATGGTCTCCAAGATTCCAAGCATCCGAACTGATCAAGCAACAACATATGCACAGGCATCTTTGTTTGTTTTTGTTTGTTTTTTGTTTGTTTTTTTTCATAAATTTAATTATTTTCTGTTTTCCAAAATGAATGAAGGTCTCTCGACGTCTTAACCTTAGTGTTGTGCTAGAAGTGGACGGTGCAATTCCATAAAATTCCGTGGTTTCAGATAAGTCCGGCAGGCACAGGCAGGCGAAGGCAGACATTCAATTGTGTGCGTGTGTGATTGCCCATTCTAGGATCTACTATGCTCCGGACTACTTCAAGGAGGTGCTCTACGACTACTGGGATGACGTGAATGAAAAAATGCGCGAGAAATGGCAGGACTACATGGGCATCAAGGGGAACCAGCGGTATTTCAAGAACTGGACTCCACCCGGCATGGAACCACCGCCAGCAAAGCCCGAGCCAAGTCCTCCTGCACCTTCAGGATCCCCCAAAACACCGAAGTCAGATCCTCCAGAAGAGAAACCAGCTTCGAAAAAGGCCGCACCAAAAGCGGAAAAGAAGCCTGAACCCAAGCCGGAGCCAGTGGAGGAGAAGGCTCCGGAGCCAAAGACAGAAAAGAAACCCGAACCCAAGCCAGAGCCAGCAGAGGAGAAGGCTCCTGAGCCAAAGGCAGAAAAGAAGCCTGAACCCAAGCCAGAGCCAGTAGAGGAGAAGGCTCCGGAGCCAAAGGCAGAAAAGAAGCCCGAACCCAAGCCAGAGCCAGCAGAGGAGAGGGCTCCTGAGCCAAAGGCGGAGGAAAAGAAGCCCGAACCGAAGCCAGAGCCAGCAGAGGAGAAGGCTCCTGAGCCAAAGGCAGAAAAGAAGCCCGAACCCAAGCCAGAGCCAGTAGAGGAGAAGGCTCCGGAGCCAAAGGCAGAAAAGAAGCCTGAACCCAAGCCAGAGCCAGTAGAGGAGAAGGCTCCGGAGCCAAAGGCAGAAAAGAAGCCCGAACCCAAGCCAGAGCCAGCAGAGGAGAAGGCTCCTGAGCCAAAGGCGGAGGAAAAGAAGCCCGAACCGAAGCCAGAGCCAGCAGAGGAGAAGGCTCCTGAGCCAAAGGCAGAAAAGAAGCCCGAACCCAAGCCAGAGCCAGTAGAGGAGAAGGCTCCGGAGCCAAAGGCAGAAAAGAAGCCCGAACCCAAGCCAGAGCCAGCAGAGGAGAAGGCTCCTGAGCCAAAGGCGGAGGAAAAGAAGCCCGAACCCAAGCCAGAGCCAGTAGAGGAGAAGCCAAAGGCGGAGGAAAAGAAACCCGAAACCAAGGCTGAAGCCAAATCCTCCGCAGCCCCTAGTGCAAAGGATGTGAAGGCACTCCGTGAAAGGTCCAAAGCAGGCATTCTGGACTGCAAGAAAGCACTGGCAGAAACAGATGGAGATATGGAAAAGGCTATGGAGTGGCTGAAAAAGAAAGGAATGGCAAAGGCCGACAAAAAAGCCGGAAATGTCGCCGTGGAAGGTTGCGTTGCGTCATACGTGCACTTCAACAACAAGATCGCCGTCTTGGTGGAGGTCAACAGTGAGACAGTGACTTGGTGATTCAAAACTGGCTTTCCGCTTTTTCCTGCTTCGGATTCTGATTATGATTCTTCTTCTTGTTCTTGTTCTTGTTGTTGTTGTTGTTGTTGTTGTTGTTGTTGTTGTTGTTGTTGTTGGGGGTCATTTCTGACGTCTGCACCTTTCGCCGGAGGATTTCGTGGCCAACAACGCCATTTTCAAGGAGTTCGCAGCAGATGTTGCAATGCAGGTGGCTGCCAACGATGATGTCGCCTATATGACTGTGGATGACGTTCCAGTAGAAGAGAAAGAGCACTTTGGCATGTATTTAACCTGCATACAATGAGATGAAACGAGTGAGTCAATCATTGCCAACAAGCTTCGCTGTGGTCCGCAACCGGGACAGACATGGACAGACATTCTTGACATTTCTTGAAATTTAATTGTACCGTGAGTACCGTGCGAATGCATGCGAAAGATTGTAGTACATTGTCGTATTGTAATAGGTTGTCGGTTGTAGATCGTTATAGGTTGAAATGGATTGTGATAAATTAATTGGTTTGCAATAGTCTGCAGACCAGTAGCCACCTTTGTCACCCTCTTCCATGAGGGATTGGTGGCTTGATGTGGCATTAGAGAAAGTGTGGGCAGTTTCTCCCAAGCAATTGTGATCGGATGAATTGCAAGAAAATGGCTAACTGACTTGCGCAAGTGAAAAGCTATGAACAACTGGTAAGAATTGGGTCCGTCGAAACGTACCCAGGAAAGATCATAAAAGTTATTTTACACACACACATACACACACACACATATATATATATAAAAATACATACCATCACATACCGTAAATGATTCTAAGACCAAGAACAGTCGCCGCTAAAGAGGAAAGTAATGGCGAAACAAGGTGCCAGTTTTGGATGGTTTTGGTATGTTTTGGTCATGTTCCCATGGCCTTTGAGAAAAGTCAGAGTCATCAGAGGTTGTGCCCAATGTTTGAGGTGTAGGAAAACTTTGTGGTAGCAGTTGCCTCTAAAGCCAGGCTGCCAGCACATACGTGCATGTCCAAGAAATACTGCGGGTTTATAAAGAATTTGTCGACCTAGACGCTCCACGTACTATCTTGGCATTGAGGAAAGAGAAGGCACTGGAGATGAAAAAGGAAGACTTGGAAGGAAAGCCAGACCAAATCAAAGAGAAGATCGTCACTCAGCTCTGAATTCTTTGAATGCATCACAAAACAAAGTGGTTCCTTATTGCTTGTCGCTGTCGCTGCTCGTTTCTTTCTGTGTGTGAGCCACTTAGATGGGATGTGTTTATTGCATACTGGCATACTATTGCTTCGTTGCTTGTTGCCATGGACTTGAAGCTCAGCCCAACCGGTTATGTGGAGACTTTTGTTGTTGAGACAGGTTGCGGGCCGGTTGTCGAAGAAGTTCGAGGAGAAAACGTTGATGAGTCAGAAGTGGCTGAAGGACGAAGCTTGCCTGAAATGCAGAGGGTCTGCAACGAGGGTCCTGTCTTGTACAATGTGGAGGTGTTTAGGCCATGCCGTTGCCCTGCTCAAATTTGACTTTCCCCTATGCACATCTATGCACAATGATGCGCGCATTTAAAAGCGGATGCTTCAAATCCAAGAAGCGCCTTCCATTGATGCAATGTCATGCCTGGGTCATGCATGGGTCATGCCTGGGTCTATTTTGTATTATTTTCTTGTTTTTCTACGTTTTTCTTGTTTGTTCTGGGTGTGTTGCGTGTGCGGGCGCTTGCGTGTGCCTCCAATGGTCCACGTGCCAAGGTGTGCCAAGTGACATTTGATGATGTATGATGATGTATGATGATGCATGCACTTGTATGCGCATTGATTGCGTGCTACGTTGCTTATGTTAAAGATACAGAATAGGCAACTTTTTTTGGCACATTTGGTACCAAACTACAAAACCTTCATTTTGGTAGTTTTCATTACTGTAGTTTTCAATGATTCTTCTTTTCTATTTTGCAGTGAGTAGCCATTTTGGGCACCATAGATTGTCATAACATTTTTTGGCAACAAAGTCGAAAAAGCAGCGTGTGGTGCTTTCTGAAATGATTTGGGGTCAACCTATACCAAGAAAAAATGTATTATATATATATATATTCATGAAATCTTGCTAGTACCCCACTCTTGGGTTATTTTGTCGGAAACTAGTCTAGATGGGTTGGTCGAGTAGCATGTATTTAATTAATCAAGATGGATGGTTACTGCGGCTGAGCAATGAATTTCGGTACCTCGACATAACTCAGATGCTTGGATTATATGTTTATTATAGTATGTTATAGTAATTGAGGTGGGAGACCACCCTGGGAACCCTTTAGGAGGGAGAGAGTCATTAAGAAATGCACCTCTTATTAGTGTCATCTTAATTGAATAGCACAAATCATATTGTTTAGATCTCTTGTTGCATGGTCAGTTGTAGAGCTGTTTTGCCTTGTTCCGATGCGTCGCTATGATGTAAATATGAAGCGAATATTGTTGGTGATGTTTTCCTTGGCCTGAATGGGTGGACCTCCTCATGATTTGCAAGATATTGCAAGACAAGCAGGGTCTTATGGTTCTTTTCTTGTCATGTTTTTGCTTCTTGTGGATGTGGTTGGGTTTGCTACTTGAAATTTGGATGCCGTTCCTGCAGCTGCCGCGCTTGTCGAGGTTGCTCTTCGCGCTCCATCGTTCTCAAATGAGTCAAACAATGTCAAACATTACCGTTGGGGTCGTTATGGTTAGCTGATGTTAGCTGGAAGGTCATGTCCGTGCCCCAAGGACAACATTACAGTCCAAGAGGCCGTCAAGCAGATCATTGCAAAGCCTCTCGGATAGCAACTCAACAGACTGGCTTTCACTTCTTTTCTGGCACTGGGGGTCTTCAATCCCAGTGCTACCATGGCAAACTTTGAGATCCGGAATCGACCCGGATGAGACTTGATATATTTTGAGTCCTTAGAGTCTTTACAGTCCTCTGAGGCTTGGCGAAAACATTGTCGTGCGACGATTTGAGCACCTTATCTTGGGAGAAGGCTTGGAGAAGAAGGACAGGGCCCTGCAGAGATTGCAAGAGTAATTGAGTAATTAGAGTAATTAGACACCATGTTCCAACGAACGAGGCGTTCATTTGAAAGCAGGACATCATTTCCTATCAGTTGCTGGCAGAGTTTCCAGGGAGAAGAAGCAAACAATGTTCAATCCAAACTGCTACTGAGTACCTGCTTGTAGCACAACTGACATAGCACAACAAATAGCAAACACACAGTGACCGCTGGGGAGAGAATCTTCTCGGTATAGGGACATCATGGCATGTCTCACCTCATTCAGGATCAGGACTTTGCTGCTGGCGTTGCTGCTTGTCTCAAGAAAAGGGTTGAGTGCGGGTTACTGCGCCTGAGAAAATTCATGGAACAGGTGCGTGAGAGTAGCTAATCCTGGCACAGGCATGAGACAAGTGAGTGTTGCGAGCCACTGTCACTATTTCTGATCATGAGTGTTTCGCAGTCTTGGGCAGTCAGCTCATACGAGCTTCAACAGAGAAACCTCCATAAGCGCTAGGCCAGATGCCTCATGTAGGCCTAATAGGCCCAAGCAGTTGAATTTGTTTGCTCTTCGCTCTTAGCTGCTCTCTTGTTATTCTTGGTATTTGTTGATCTCCCTTGTTATTCTTCCACTTGGATTCACTTGGCGCGGAGCTTTTGGCAAAGCCTACTGGATTATACTTTTTGAGACTCAGGAGAAAGAGTTAGCCAAGTACAAGACTGAAGGAGAAGCCAAGGAAGAGCCGCCAAAGGAAGAGCCCAAGGCAGAGGAAAAGAAGGAAGTCACTCAGCAAAATTTCATCAAAGCTTTGCGGCTGAGCCACCAGTCGGGGCCTTACCCCGCAAGTAGCTGCTGAAATGTTGAAATCCTTTGGTTGTGGTTCAGCCCAAGCTTCAAAGAAACGCACGGAGAGCAGTTGAAAGATGTTGGAACCTGAGCCATGGTGAAACACAAAGCAAGCTTTCATTCTTTCTCACCACGCCTAGTTCAGCCTCATTGGGAAATTTAGATCTCAGGAAAAGAAAGAGGAAAAGAAGGAAGAGAAAAAGGTGGTCACAGTTGGGAGCCCAAGTGCCATGAGCGCCCCTGAATGTTTTCCAGAGCATTTACCAGGCAATACCATGCAGATCATTTATTTGAACCCAGTCAGGAAGCAAGTGTGGTGTCAAGATGTGTCAAATGTCCAGGTGACAGCTGCCCAAGTGAAAGAGCTGCGTGGTCGTTCAGGCAGCAACGATCACTTGTTACACTTGTTGAAGTGCCAAGGGAAGTTTGCCAGAAAGTGCAATCTGAATCTGGTCAACAGGTTTTTAGCACTGCTGCCTCAGATAGGATTCTTTGCAGATTCTTTGCAGAAAGTGTGAGGGATTTCAGCTTTTGCATTGAGGGAGGGTTTGTGCCATTTGTATCCATTTGTGCCAACGTCGGCAGGAGCAGGAATCCTGGATGCCAAGAAAGCCCTGGCTGAATGCGATTGCGACATGGAAAAGGCCATGGAGTGGCTCAAGAAGAAGGGCATGGCAAAAGCAGATGCTCGGCCAGACCTGTGATGCCTGTTTCTTCCGGGTAGCTGGAGAGGCAAGGCGATAGGCAAGATTAGTCGCGAGTAGATGTGAGTGGATAGATAATCTGAATCTTGAACCTGAGGCATCATTTCATTAGGAAAGTGATCCTGAGGATGTGAATGGCTCGCATATATACATAATATATATATAATTATGTATATATATGTATGTATACATATATACATACATACATATATATAATATTACATTATATGTATAGTAGAATTATAGAGAGCAATTTAGACTATCAGAAAATCAAGGAATGATTTGCAAGAGGAAATGATAGAACTGCCATCTCACGATCTCTCAGAACCTTTGATGTGAATGTACCAAACAGGAAGTGTAGCAATGCGTGATGACATGTGATGACCTTGATGTGATATGCCATGATATGCCTTTATAGTCCTGGTTCCCTTTGTCAGATTTTGTCAGAAGAGATTTGGTCAGATGGTGTGTGGCTGAGGACAAGAAGGCAGGAAACTTATCTGTGGAGGGTGTCATCGCATCCTACGCGCCTCTGGCACTATTTAGGAACAAGGGCAACATGATACGATGACGAGAGAGAGAGAGAGAGAGATGCAACATGTGTGCAGGTTCAACGGCGCACATGTCATGTGATCAATTCTTTTCACCAATCATCACCCCTGATATCCCCCGATGCATGTTGAAGATGTTGTCCGATGTTGTCCGTAGCCGTAGCCACTGTATTTTGTGTCATCTTTCCAGGGTCAGCAATTCAATAAAACGTTATTCGAAAGGGATGACAAAGATGTATACCTTACTCCAAGAACATTGCGAATCTGATAATATGTTGACTCGTGGAGATCCTCACGTGGTTTTCCTGTTTATCTATGCTCATGTTCTACGACGACAAACTTCATCATCCCATGCCTTCTGCGGAGATTCTGTCAAAAATAAGAAGACTTTGCGTCCTGAAAGCTGGATATTTCGCAAGTACAGTACTATTTCAAGGTCTGAGGGCTTCCACTATGAAATCGGCCGAATGGTTGTTTGGCAGAACGGATATGATATGGTCTATTGGTCTAATGAGTCTAATGGTCTATTGAGATTATTGAGTATTGACAGGATAAAGCGCTTTTGATAGAAGGGTATTATATGGGTATGTTTGTTACATCTCGTCGACCTCTGTCAATCTCCTTGGCGCTGAATCCTCGCTTCTCTTTATTCTTGCTTCCCCGATGCCCCGATCTCTCTGATCGTCCTTTCCCCAACCCTACACCATTAATGTGCCAAAGTCCATGACACCCTCCTTTTTGCTCTCTTTGAAAGCCACTTTAGGCTCCTGGCACCTTTATAATCTTTAGACTGTAAATCCCCTCGAATGCTGCTTCGCCACAGAGCCAGGTGCATTTCAACTCGAAGTTGGGTGTACTGGTGGAGGTCAACAGCGAGACGGACTTTGTGGCATTGAATCTTGTTCCATCTTGTTCCAAATAATTTTGTCACGCTGCAATAACATCAATTTTCCAGACAAGGTACTAATAGTATTCAGTTGGTCTGTGACATAGACCTGGTGGATTTTGCTTGCAGCACTGCAGTGATAGGACAGAGCGCTCCTCAATGATTACATGATTTGAGGAACGAAATCTTCAAGGAGTTCGCCGCGGACGTTGCTATGCAGGCTATCTTGCCATAGCTTGCCCTTGAAATAGCTGGCAGGATTTGATGTTCAGCTCTCAGCTATACACTTACCGTATTAGAAGCAGGCATCAAACGATATATGAGTATATATGAGGTACTAACCAAATTAGTGTAATACTCATTTAGTCTTGCTTCGCCCTAGCCTTGCAGAAGGATGTGCAAAACCTTGATTACTGATAGGGGACGACCCTGTACCAATAGCCCTGTCATGAGTCGCCTCAAAGTCTGTGAAAGCAGAAATTATCACTGACGATAGGAGACGATCATAATTTGCGTACCTGAAAATGAGCCAGCAATACCAAGTAATTCCGTCCGCCTCCGCCATTCACATGGGGAATCAAGTTTTTCTGGCACCCATGCTGGAAGCTCCGGGATTTGTAGACACTTTTTCGTACACAGCTGCCGAGCTTATTCTTACATGCTTATTGAATTGTATCTCATTACAATTATTATATACGGTCATTCGCATCCTCATGGGCGTATGGTCATGAAGCTCCCACTAGCAAGCCACAATCTCCGACCATTTAAATCTCATTTTGTACTGGATGTCCCCAACGGCTTAGAATTCACAAAGGATTATGGTTTTGGACAACGCTACTTGATGTCTGCATTTCTTGCTGATTTCGCAGGTCGCTGCCCAGCCCGATGTGAAGTTTATTTCAGTGGATGAAGTGCCGGCAGACTTGAAGGAGAAGGCTGCCCATCAGGGTCAGTCCAAGTTGGCGCTGTCCAAGATGCAGCGAACTCAAAGTTGCTGGATAGAATGTGTAGCAGAGATAGAGCCTGAATGGAGCAAGCAATAGTGCTATGTGTAACTACGGGTACCGTATGTGTAACTGTTTAGCTCATTGGGGCTCCATTGCCCACTAACTCTTGAAGTTCTCGTATCATGGAGTCAGCCCTGGAATGAAAGACTCGCCAGGAAAAGGCACTGGAGATGGCGAAGGAAGATTTGGATGGAAAGCCGGACAACATCAAGGAGAAGATTGTTGAAGGCGGGCGCCGATGCAGAATGATTTTTAATATAGACATGTTTTCAATATTGACCGCATCAGAACCCGCTCTTCACATATTTATATTTTTTCCGGATTGCCGCGTTGCTAGCCGAAAAGTGTGATGATATTCTGAAAAAGTATGGCATCACCGTGAAAATCATGTAATGTGAAGACGCACGTAGGACGTACATGGTAAATAATGGTAAATATCTGGAGAATGGAGAGCCACTCTTCTGTGGGTCTTGGCGACCTTTTCGAGATTTCATTCGACCAATGACCAAAGCAGACTGGACAGGCCGCTTGAAGAAGAAGTTTGAAGAGACCGCCCTCTTGGGCCAGAAGTGGCTGAAGGATGAAGATAAGACGGTTCAGGAAGTGCTGAAGGACAGGGGGTTGGACACTGTCGGACCATGTTGAACCATATTTGATATTATTTGATGCCAACAGGGCTGTTGCAATTTCGCGGTGTGGCGAAATGACATGGGGGCTTTCCATTGAGATTGGTTAACTCATTGACCATCCACAATAAAATTAAATAATAAAAAAACATATGAAAAAAATAAGGGCCTCGTATCAGATGTGTTAGGGGATGCTGATGATTGTAAACAGCCTTCCAGTACACAGGAGAAAATTGCCAAGTTGGGCGAGAACATTGTGATTCGTCGCTTTACACGCTTGACCCTTGGTGAGGCACGGTATGCATGCAGGCTGCAATCGTGCGATCGATTAAGAAACACTAAGAAATCTAAGAACGCAACTCGGTTTCCGATTCTTGAGACAACATTCCACTGCGTCGAGAGACTCTCGCAAGTCAGGGTCAGGTCAGGATGAAACTAAATTAGCTGGCGCTGGCTAGAGGGCTAGTTGTGGCATGTCGTGGCATTCTAATGCATACTGTTTGGCTCGGCTTCTGGTTGTTAATGGTCATTTGTATTGAAGGGCTTGGACAAGAAGGATGCGGACTTCGCTGCGGGTGTTGAGAAGGAACCCAGTAGTGCAAGTTCAAGCGAGCATTGTTTTGGTGTACTGTATATGCATGCAAGGGTGGAACATTGATGATCGGAGTTGTTTTGTTTTGTTGTTCCTTTTTGTGCATTTTTCTTGTACTAGTACCTTCCTGGCATCGCTAGTTCGACTTTCAAGTCATGATTGGTGGTTGGAAGTGCTCGGACATCTTCTGAACGTATTTCAATTGCATTCAAGTGCAGATGCAGTGAATCAGGAGCTCGCAAAGTATCGGAAATGAGATGTGAATAATTCACAGCGGCATAGCTTCTGGAGTGGCCAAGTGGCAGCCTCTGAGACTGGGAGGGCCAGTCCTTCCCAAGATTTATGTCTTGTTCATGATTTTCATACATGTTTTCATGTATTCTTTATGATGTTTATGTATTGTTTATGTATGATCATGCAGCATTGGTTATCATATGTTTGAAAGGGCTTTTGGATGGCCTTTTCAACTGGATCCTGGAGTTTTCTGCTCCAAGTTTTTCGGCGCCTTTGCCCCCCCTTTCACGCCGTCAGCGGGGCTGGGAAAAGAAGGGTGGATGGGGTGGTGCCGGGGCCAGGAGAATGACCTGCCAAGCCTGGCATGTGACGAAAGCCGCAGGTGATGCATCGCCCCAACTTTGCAATGCGCGGCATTGAGCTGTCGCCCGAGCTGGGAACAGAGCAGAATCAAGATAATCACGACTCATCAGGAGAACTGAGTATCGTTCAAGTTCAAGTTCACCCAAGTTTAGCGCCGGCAGATGCTTGCAGTTTCTCATGTGTCAAAACATGTCAAAACAAGCAGCCAGCGTCAGTAGTTGTGGGAAAGTTTGTCAGAGCTTGCAAGGTGTGTGTGTGCGCATCCAGCTGGTAATTCTTCGTCTCCACATCAATGCAATTTCATGTTTTAAAACTATGCTCATTTGGCATGACTCATTTGGCCAGACAATCCAGGAAATGCTTCTGCTGTTTTGGTCATGTCAGGATGTCACACCGCACTGTTCTACCTTGTAGTTTTGCTATCCAAACAGTACTTAGACTCAGTACTTTCTATGTCAGAGTTATGGTTCTTTACTAACTTTTACATACTTTTTCATACTTTTCCTATATATTTCTCTTTCAAGGTTTTCCCAATTTTTCCCAAAATCTTTCCTCTCGCCATTCTTAGGTGCCAGATAAGTGCTGAGATCGAAGCCATGGCAAAGGCTGCCCGATCTCGGAAGCTCCAGGAGCAGATGCCGTGAGCAGTGCAGAAATCTACAGAATTTCTGATGAGAAAATCTGCAGAAATCTGTTTGATGATGGTTTAACTATGTTTAACTCATGATTGTTGATACATGTTGATACTTACTGTAAACACATTTTTAACTCATCTTTACAATTCTTTACATATTTATTTATACTCTCATTGCATGATATTGCACATGACCTTAAATGACCTGTGAACCGATCAGGCCAGTATTAGGGCAAACCTTTTGAGATCAGCAATAAAAATACCATCATGACTGTCATGACTATTACAATCTATATAAACTATGATCAAACTATTACAATCTATTACATATTATACACTATACACTCTGACTATGCTCCATATAAAGATCTATAAGCTGTTTCCTGTATGGAAATCGCTTGTGGGCATTCCATTCTTGCGCGATGTGCTGATGCCATGTGTGTCCTTGCCGCATCACCTCCAAGGAGGATCTGTACATTTTGCAGCTGCTGGACTCTACCAACGAAGGTGAGTTTGCCTGGCACTCATTGGTAAACGAGAAGGTAAACTTGGTAAACGTTCACTCGTGCAGGATCAGGATGCGTGGCTCTCTCACACCCCATTGCCAGTGCTAAGACTTAGTCAGGGTTTGGGCAAGAATTACTAGGTACTAGAGAGAAGCAAAGAATAATGGTAGGAGGAGCTCGTGCAAGGATTGCTGCAACATTTTTGGTCACCAGACTGTACAAAGGTTCACACGATTTTGCATGTCTTAAACTGTATGGCTTTTGTTGTTTAGCTTGAGCAAATGACATTGCTGAGATGATGAGATGTCTTGCTGGTACTTGTGGCTTCAGCAGAAAATGAAACTGAAACTGAATCCCGACAGCCAGTTGACGCCACTTTCAACCATGGTTTGAAGGAAAAGAACTAGGATTTCAAGGTTGAAGCTAATACTTGCAACGTTTTCGTGTAAGCTGCTTCTGCATACCGTATGAAACATTGCAAGTGGCGCCCATTGAGGTGTATCTCCTGCTTGAGCTGTGCGAGCAAGGCAGGAATTCAGCATGGAATTGTTCTGGCTTGAAACTTGATTCTGAGAAGAAACAACTGCTGATCTATGCTGCTCTTGTTTGTCCTTTCATTTGAGTTGTCAAGGTAGTGGCCGCAATGACCTAGCATATAGATTGGAAAGTTTTGGATTGTGCTTCGGCATTTAGCCCCTGCTGGGAGAGACTGCATTGTGTTGAAATCTTAGCAACGAAGACTAGCAAAGTTATCTCTCCTGCACGCTCTCGCACGTCCTGGTTCGGAAATGGAGTCGGAGCCCGAAGAAGTTTTTCCCACAAGGCTTAGCAGCTATGCCATCCTCAGGCTTTCCTGCAAAACATGGACAAGTCTCTAAAAACATTGCTTACTGCAGTAATTTGTTAACAATACATACCGAACACTATATCACATCATACAACAATAACATACAATAACAATAAGAATCACAGCAGGGTGAAGGTAAGCCACGACAGTCAGCCCAATAGGGCGACAATGCGACCTGCGCCGTTGCCAAGCTGCTGAGAGGATCAAATTGTCATCGTGATGGAGGAATTCGCAAAGGCGGAGCAAGCAAAAGCCGATGGCAACAAGTACTTCCAAGAAGGCAAGTATGCCAAAGCCCTCGCATCCTACTCTATGGCCATTGAGTTGTCGGAGGATGATGGGTTGGACGGGTTGGATTCCTTGGACGATACCAAGCCAAAGAATCCCAGCATCCAGATTTACTACGCAAACAGAGCATTTTGTCACATCAAGATGGAGAACTTTGGCTCCGCCTTGGTAGATGCCACCAAAGCTATTGAAGCAAAAGAAGACTTTCCAAAGGGCTGGTACCGACGAGGCTCCGCCCAGATGGCTCTAGGACGGCCCAAGGAAGCTCTGAAAGACTTCATGCAGCTTTGCAAGTTGGCTCCAAACGACAAGGATGCCAGAGAAAAGCTGAAACAATGTCAAAAACAAGTCCAAGCTGACAAGTTTGCCAAAGCCATTGGCTGTGAGAAGACCAAGCCCGCAAGTGAAACAGTGGATGTGGCAAAGATGGAGGTTGATTCAACCTATGATGGGCCAATGTACATCTCTGGCTCATGCACCGTTGACTTCTGTCAGCACCTCATGGAGCATCAGAAAAAGGAGCAGTGCATTGCCAAGAAGTTTGCCTATCAGATTGTCTTAGATATGATCGAGATGCTGAAGCAGTCAAGCACATTGGTGGACATCGACGTTCCCGAGAAGGGTGAGGTCACAGTCTGTGGAGATGTCCATGGGCAGTTCTATGACCTGCTGAACATCTTTGCCCTCAACGGTGTTCCTTCAGAGGCGAATCCGTATTTGTTTAACGGTGACTTTGTAGACCGAGGATCCTTCTCTGTGGAGGTGATCCTAACCCTCTTTGCCTGGAAGCTAGCGTTTCCAAATCACATGCACTTGGCTCGGGGAAATCACGAGACAAGAAACATGAACAAGTTGTACGGCTTTGAGGGGGAGGTGACCAAGAAGTACGGTGAGGAGCTCTACCAGCTCTTCTGCGAAGCCTTTTGCTTACTACCACTTTGCCACGTGATCAACCAGCAAGTTTTCGTGGTGCATGGTGGTCTTTTCTCACAGGATGGTGTCACCTTAGATGCCATCCGGAAGGTGAATAGAGATTGTGAGCCACCTGATGAGGGCCTTATGACGGAAATGCTGTGGAGCGATCCCCAACCCGGCCGAGGCCGTGCACCTTCCAAGAGAGGGGTTGGGGTGGCCTTCGGCCAAGATGTGACGGAGAACTTTCTGAACGTGAACGGCCTCAAGATGGTGATCCGTAGCCACGAGATGAAAGAAGAGGGCTACGAGATCGAGCACAGCGGAAAACTGGTCACAGTTTTCTCGGCTCCGAACTACTGCGACCAGATGGGAAACAAAGGTGCATTCATCAGACTTGATGGGAAGACCATGACACCAAAATATACCACCTTTGCCCATGTCAGTCACCCAAATGTGAGGCCCATGCAGTACGCCAATCCCATGCTTGGACAATTGATGGGCATGTCATAAGTCCCTGGAGTCCCTGGCGGCCTGAGATCCGTGGCAATTTTGTACTGAGCCCGGCCGGAGAAAAATGTTTCAAAGCGTCAATGAGCACTGGCAAGCAAATATTGATGGACATGTTCACTGTTCCTTGAGTTATTAACGATTTCATATGATTTCATTTGGTGGTGGTGATTATTGATTCATATTGATTCTTTGAGTCAGCTTGAGTTTGGGATTTGTTGCATTGGATCGCCGTATGCTCATCCTTTTCGCCCAGTCATCGGTGCAAAATCATCTGCATTGCGTATGGCTGACCACCGCCTATACTAGACCTAGTTCTTGACGCGTTGCTGAAGTGCGAAAGGGCCCCAGTGCTGTCTATCCGAGTCTATCCTGGCTGATTCTCATGCCTCTGTTCCCTATGGTGCACATTGCAAGACATTGCGAAGCATGATGTGAACCTGTGGACATTTGTCGACCCCGAATTCCGGACTCCATCCAGTGGGGGATCGAAAGGAGACCTGCTGAGCAAGCTCGCAAATGAACCTAGTCAGCGCCTCCCTGAGCAAGAGGTCGCCGTCATTGCAACTTGGCACACACACCGGGGTTCTATCGCTGCATATCGCGGCAAGTTGGTAGTAGTTTAGTAGTGCAACTTGTCCATCCAGGATGGACAGTGGACAGACAGTCTGAAAATGATTGCGTACAGTGAATTATGTTGAAAACATGCATACAGGCGCACAATATATAAGAACACACACACACACACACACGCATGTATATAATATAATATAATATAATATAATTATTAATTATAGTATAATAGTAGTATATATAGCTAGATTGATTGGTACAACTGAGCCATAGTTGTCGTAGCTGGTGCAAGGACCTTGTGAAACATGAATCAACATGGCACTGCCCAGAAGCCTGCAGCAGGCACGACAGCTGATGATTGGACTCCAGAGAGTTCATGAGTCCAGGGCCTTGGGTCACACAACTTCAGCTTGAATCATCTTCAAAGTTTTTATCTTAATCAGATGGGTTTACAAGGGTTTACGTACGCCATTTATATTATATTCTAATATATTATTATATATAAATTATATAAATATATGTATATATATATATATGTATATGATGATGATGATGATGATGATGATGATGATGAGTAACCGAGAAAATTAGCGGAAGACTGAAGTAGTATGGAGTGGACATGGGATGTTCAAATTTGTGTGAACACCTTCACAACCGATAGGGGACCACCCACTTTGGCCATGTCCATCGCGAGTAGTCAGTAATTTTGTCCGCCCTTCATATACATACTGTGTATAATTTATAGTATATGCTGATTATGTTTTGTGTGTGCGTGTGTGACAATACAATTAATGTTTCATATATTGGTTTGGAAGATTGGTACTGGCAGCTGGATGTGAATGTCATGCAGAAACTTGTAATTACTTCAAATGATTGCATTTTTGCCCGATAGTGCCATTTGATGCCAACAATTGTCGTTGTATCTTGTTACGAGACTTTAAGATCTACAACTTAAGGCTGGGCTATATTCATCGCGATATCAAGCCAGACAACTTGCTGGCAGATGCCGAGGGTAGGCCCCCTGCTGAGATTTGGCCCATTTTGGCCCCAGTTTGTTTATTTGTTTTTCGGATCCAAACATATTGTTTGAAGCTATTGGAGGTGCTTTGCTTTCAAAGAGAGCTGTAATATGCTGTGTGCAGAGCCAAAACCGATGCTTATCCATCCATCCATGATCTGTTGCTTTGCTCTGTGCGTGAACCTTAATCCTGCCTGCCTCTCTTGAATTCAATGATGACATGAATATATACATGAATGATCGTGAATGATCATTGAGTCAATGGAGTGACTGATCCCAACTCGCGATGTGCGTTGAGACTTCGTATTGCTGACTTCGGCTGGTGCTGCCTGCGAGAAGATCACCCAAGCTGTTTGGTGTGGAATCTCAGCTCTTCGTAACTTGTTGCTGTGCAGTGGGAGTTGCTCTCTTTGCAGATCAAAGGGGGCTCGGACAAACCAATGTGTGTTGATCATAATTATTGATGTTCGTCTTGAAAATTTTTGAAGCGTTTGTGATGTTTGTGTTGGAATGCATCTGCTCCAAGAAAGACAACGCAATGCAGTTGGAAGAGCCTCCGAGCTATGGGGAAAGTGTTGAGAGTTGTTGAGATTCGACAAGACAATGAACTGGTCAGCGTGATATCAGCACCGCGTAGCATCGCGTAGCTACAAAATTAGATAAAATTAGGATATATAGGCCTTGCTGGCATCTTCCAAGGTCAGGACTGCCAATGCCCCTCATGAGATGCAAAAGCTTCTGTCACGTTGGAGAGAATCCCCTCGAACATATTGAAAGATATTGAAAGTGGGATGGTGTGGTTGCATTCACTAAAGTCATATGCATGCGTATTGGCTAGACATCCTTTCATGACACTTTCGGGGCTTTGTGTTTGAAATGATTATGATTTCAATATTGCAGAATTTGGATCAATTTGGATTATTGACTATATAATTTCTGCCAATTGCAACCTGCCACTGACACTTCCATGGCACTGCAAGGCCGGAACCTTGCTGTACATGGCGCCCGAGGTGTTGAGAAATGAACCTTGGCGATGTTAAATCGGGATTCAGGAAGCTGGCAGCAGCTGGCAAGGCGTCCACATCGTCCACGATTTGCAAACATCGGCACTGAAGGTAGCCACGAGCACTGACAGTATTGTGACTTCCTAGCCATTGGGCTCAAAATCAATACTGTTTGATATGTACAGTACATGTTGATCATCTTGGCTTAGCCTTTGTGCACGATGCCTTCGGCCTGGATGTGGCTCGGTGCAGTTTTGTCTGTTCTGTACAGACTGCCATGAAAATTGAACTGCTTTCTTTCTCCGAATAAAGACCTCGAAGCAGCTGGAAGCAAACCATGCACCAAGATTGACCAAGGTCGTCTTTCTTTGCAGTGCTCTTTGTGAAATTTGTGAAATTGGCTGGCAGTTTGCGAGAGGATAGAGTAGAAAGTTTGCTCCAAGAGGCTGGGAGACGTTAGGTTCATGTCCATGTGCGAGCCTGAACGGGTTGCTACAGCTTGAAAGAAAGGTGATGTGATCTGAAGACCCACGAAGTTGGTAAGACATGCTCTTTAGAGATGGGCTCAAAGGCTGAAGCTCATGGGATCACCAGATATTACCAGGGATTGTATTTATGGTTTATATACAACATCATGAACATCAACAACCATTACCATGAACAATTGGGGGGTTTGCGTTGGTGCTATCATTGAGCCACAGCCTGGAGGCAGCTGAATCTGTTCTACAGCCAGTGGTGAGTCGCAAAGGACATCACAAGGGACTGGACAGTGGCCACACTTGCAACACATAGTTTAGACCAGCGTATTTCTAGGTGTTCTGTGTTTCCGATGTGTTGCCTGCATTTTTTTAGCAGTTTGGACTTTGGTGTTTTCCTCGAGCTTTCTTCCATCATATAGGTTTGTGCCTCAATCTGCTTCAGATGTGTTGAAACTCACACACAGACACAAAGACCAAATAAGACCAAGCTCAATTCACTGACAAATGAAGCTGAACCCCTGAAACTTTCTCAAGGGCCGACTGGATCACCAGGTTCTGAACTCCTGATCTCTCCTGAATATACATGAAAAGCCGCTTGCCATAGCCGAACAGTTTGCTGACTGATCCAGATGCAACCGCATCATGGCTGAATATGGCTGAGCTATGTTGTAGGAGTTGAAGTGAGCGGCAAACTCCGCGCAAAGCTCTGGGAAGATTGCCAGAGCGTGCTTGGGCAAGTCTCCGAGAGCTTGGATGGCTTGGATGGCTTGGATCAATGCCTACAAGTTTGCAAGACTGGAAGTACAGAGGACTGTGAAGAGAGATGTCATGCCAGGCCTGTGGGTGAGGGATGGGTGGACAGATGGACATAGATGGACATAGATGGACATAGATGGACATAGATGGACATAGATGGACATAGATGGACATAGATGGACATAGATGGACATAGATGGACATAGATGGACATAGATGGACAGATGCATACGATGGGCGATGGGCGGCGAAACCTTGATGTGAATTGCATGGTTTTGCATGGGCACAGAGTACATGTCCTGGATCAGCAGTCTTGAAAAGACTGCATCGTTTTTCTTTCTTATTTAAACTGTAACATGCACATGAACATATTTGGTTTGTGAGTGGTGCATGTTTTTTGACTGAAAATTGAAAATATAGTATGTTTGCGAATAGCTAGGCGCCTAAAACAGAGGCCCAAAGAGTTTCTAAAGAGTCCTTTCCCAGCCATTCCCTGACGAGCACAGGCACATGCTGCAACAAGAGGAGGCAAACTTCAACAGCTTTAAGATACGCTCGGCAAGCTCGGCAAGCTCGGCAAGCTCGGCAAGTGGGACGGGCTCTCTGGGGACACAGTCATGTTCTGCACCTTGGACCTGTGCAACAAGTTTTGCCATGCTGTGCAGGCTATCCTGGCCATCCAGAGCATCATGCTTGGATTTTTAACAGAAGAGAACGGAGGAAATATGAAGTAATTACAGACATGGGTACGAACTTAATTAATTAGATCTAACTTGGCTAATTAGTCATAATTAATCCATAACCATGTTCAGTACTGCCATGGGTCGCCTGTGCTATGGGAACTGTTCGCCCAGGTGTTGTTAGAGGTGCCTGTCGGAAAGAGCAGCAAGGAGACAAAAGAACTTCAAGTTGCGTGCCCTGTGGTGTGCGTTGCGGATGACAAGGACTCTTGGCATTTCTCGGAGGGTTGGGCCGACAGAAGCAGAGTTTGTGCTGGATAAATTGGATAAGTTATGTCCGCTTTTCAGGTGCTGGAGCTCTTTGAGCACAGCATTGAGAAGAGGCTTTGCACTGAAGTACAGAAGTTGCGCAAGGACATGTGGGTTATTTGACGAACGGTGTTGATTCAGAACGCTTGATGATTGAGGTTGAGTTACCGTAACTTTTCGAATGCCGTGCAGCACAGAGAGCTAGAAGATATTTTGTGATTTTTACAGCCAATGTGAAGGATCGGATGCAGATGTGCTCAGTGATGATTGAGGCTGATTGAGGAGAAACAGCCGCGCAGGCTGCGAGGGAGTGCCTTGAACCTTCTTCTTGTTTCTTTTTCTTTTTTCTGGTGGCACATGCAGCAAGCTTTTAAAATTAGACTGTACAGACACTCCGAGCTGGCGTGTTGGATAGCCCTACGTTGGTGCGTTGCCCCTTCTCCTGAAAGCATGGTGTTGGACTGAATAATTTGAGCTGCAAAGCTGCAAAGCCTAGCTACACAATAATGCCCAATTTCTGTATATTATATCATATTATATACAGTACATCATTATTTATAAGATCCATGTAAGATCAGGGCGATGGAGAGAGAGATATAAGATCCTAAAAGTAGCTCAAATGGTTCAGGGCCCTGCTTATTTAGCAGCACAATGATCAGAAACCATAAGGGAACTATGAATCTGTGTCCTGGATTGCTGCGCAGCTGTCGCAGAAAAAAGAAGTGCCGTGTGACCTCCCTTGTTGTGAGGCTGTGGCCTGCTATATCAACGTCATTAAGATCGCAAGAACAGCAAGATACAACAAGTTCATCCCTTTTGTTTGACAAATAGGAGTTTCAGAGAGGCTTTCATGGACCTTTGGCTTTCACGGTTTTTCTTCCTCCACGCTCATCATGGCTGTGCTTCACTACTGCTTTGTTTGGTACAGTTTGTACATCCAAGGAGCCACAAGACGTTGACACCTCAGCCGAAAGGTCCGTTAGATTGGAAACTATATCTCACATAGACTACATGGCCAAGCTTGGGCTCCACATTAAAAAAAAAACTTCGTTTTCTCCATGTTGACAGTCTGATGCGACCAGATGCCTTTTGACGGTTTTGATTTATTAGCCCAGATGGATCATGATGGATCTAATTGATCTGTGTCATCAGATGTTCAATTGGTTGGGACGGTTGGGATGTTCTCAATGAGCAATTCACTTTAACATACTTTAACAATGTCTCACAGCTTTAACAAGAGATAATACAAAAGGGAGGCTAGGGAAAAGTCCACCAAAGCCATAGGAGCGCGCAGAATCCTAAACAATCGACGAGTGAAAAGTCAATGATGTAGGTGTGGAATTTAATCGTTGAAGCCTGTTGAAGCAGTATCTTAATCACCTCAATCCGGCCCTTCAGCAGCTGAGGTCGATGCAGACGTTTGGAGCGCAGGAATGACCCTGTACCAAATGCTAGTTGGGTTAGCTGCTCAGTTGACCCGCCCAAGCATGATATGAAAGCCTGTGCATCAAATGAATACGTAAAAGCTCGGGTGAATCAAAAGTGTTGACTTTTACAGTAATCAGTAATCATCAGAAATTGTAATATTCACAGGCTAGATCATCATAACATATCATCATAACATAACCATGTTATGATATCTAATCAATATCAACAGTTCCGTGATCCTTTGTGATCCAGTGTGATGCTTCGCCCTCCAAGGAGGCCTTTGCTGCAAGTCAACTTGAGTCCTGGCGCGCATGGAGCCTAGTAGGGGCCAAATCAGATGAGTTTCACCCAGTTTTGCGATGATTTGCACAGGAGTTTGCAATGGTTCATGTTCGTGTCGGCAAATCTATAACATTACAGTACAATGTAAAACAAATACTATCCAAATATCCACCTTCGACGGATGAGCACCTTGGAACCTTCTGCATTGGATTTCGTGCACATTTTATTTGGGGATGCAATGATGCAACGGTCAGTGGAAGATAGTGGAAGCGCAACTTCTCAAAGATTGCTCAGCGGCCTAGGACACGCCTCTCAGAGCGTGACCCGCATCAAGCCACAGAGATCAAACAGAAGTGGCTGCTGCAGGACAGTCAAACCATGTCAAACCAACGGTTGGTGTTACCAGTGTTATACAGTGTTAAGCTTATCATGGTTTATCATAGCTTATCTCTTTGTTTTCGTGTCTAAGCTTTTGGCGTGTTAGTGTCCTACTGCCTCGTTTTCGCCCCAAAGCAGCAAGAATGTGACAGAAAGTGTATGTAGCTGTTGGGCTTCTAGCTGGAGGGTCATTTCTTGAATCAAGGGATGATTAGCACCAGCTTGGGTTGGCAACTGGGCCCGAAGCTGGGCACAGGAGATTTGCAGCGTTTGCTGGAAGCTTGGTAGGACAATGAGAGGATAATGTAGGACAAGTATGGACATGTTCGTTTGGTACAGGGTCAGGGTCGGTCACTACTTCCAAGTTCACCAGTTGATGAGGATCCACCCAAGTTATCCCAAGTCTGCATATTCAAGATTGAGTATTGTATATATATATATATGTATATTATGTAATTATTGTACTAACATGTTAACAAGTAAGGCTTCAGCTAAATTCAGTGAGGTTTGATCATCCAACGATGTACCGGGTACAATCCAAGCTGCAACTTGATCTTTGCGCGCTGTCGCAAGATGAAGGGGTGTCACGTTAGAGAGGCAAATTTCTTTGTCAAGGCCCGCCATCCCCTGAGACCAAGCCCAGCAATATTAGTGGCAGCCTGAGGGGAGTGTGCAAGAACACTGACATAGAACACTCTTCAAATTGTTTTTGCAGCATCATTTCTGTGAGCTCTCTTCCAGGATATTCCAGGATGCTTTAAGTTTCTGGTCACTGTGACTTTAACTTGGGCAACTTGGGTCGTCAAAGTGCCATCGTTTCGTGCTGGGTAGTAACTACCAGGTGAAGAGTGCTGGGACTTTCTGGGCAGAGTCTTGACCGTGCAGCGAGAATACCGCAGCTTGGTGAATTCGACCAGAAGAGAATGACAGAGTGGAAATTCATGGAATTCCATGGAATTCCAGTGTTTCTGCTGTCATGTGTGTCATGTGCTTGTTTGCAGCTTGGCTGGACTGCGTACATCCTTCGCATTTTCGCCGGTCAGAAGCAAGCTGCAAGGCATCAACATCACCGAAGCACTGCAGCATCCATGGCTGCAGTATGCAGTGAGACAACTCAGATGGTCCAGTGTTGACTTGCCAAGTGAGCACGGGTGGGATTTGCACGTTTTAGTGAAGGCACGTGCAGGCGGCAATTGGTTGCTGCCAGTTTCTGTCAGTTGTATTCTTGCCATCTTGCGGCGGACACATGAAACAATATGAAACAGGAGGCTAGCAGCGGCTAGCACGATGTCTTCTCTTGGTCATTATGTTTATCTACTGTATTTGCCGAGGAGAGGGTACAAGAGGAGAACGAGGCCGTTCAGGGTAACTTTGCATAGACTTTGTGTGACTGCATGCATTGCGCAAAAACGGGTAGCAGGATCATCATCAGGATGTTGAATTGTTGCATGATTGCACCCCCTTTGTTTATCTTTGTTTTCTTTGATTCACTGGATATTTGCTGTGGGCTATGAAATATCCAAAAGATGCTGTGAGAGATGGTTGCTTCGGCCCCTTTTCTTGGCGTCTATCGGTCTATCGTTTCTTGAAGTTTTTTTTTAGAATGCCTTGCATTGACTCTGTGGTCTCGTCATTTCCAGTGCCACTCTGCATGTTTGAAGGCAGCCGCAGCCAGGCGTGCTCAGGACCCCTTGTGCAGCCAAAGGATCACAGTCAGTCCGAGGCTTCATATAGGCAGTTGAACCATGTTGAACCTCTTGGCTTAAATGATGTTCTGAGTTCCACTCAGTGTTGTAATCCTCTCCCCCTAATACTAAACCCCGCCCCCCTCAAATAATAAACACCTCAGGTAGTTTTTATTATTGGGGGATGTTTATTATTAGAGAACCAAAGCGGACCCTAATAATGAACTAAAACCCTTAATAATAATGTTAAAAAAAACGAGTTCAAAATCAATTAGATTTCCTTTTATAACGCAATTAAAATATTGCCAAAAATTGGATTTCGAAGCGGACCCTAATAATAAACTTAAACCCTTATTAATTAACAAAAAAAAGAACATTTTTTTCGATTTCAAAATTAAAATATTGCCCAAAATTGGATTTTGAAGCTTCCCCCTAATATCAAATAAAAAAACGCTAATAATAAAAACTAAAATTTTCGGACGGACCCTAATTAAAAACATTTAAAAACACCCCGGGGTTGACTAGTTTTTTTATTGGGGGGTGAAACCCACAAATAGTACAGTATATAGCTTTATTTAAAATTGTTTTCTAAAGGGGATCAATTAAAAGTTAAATTGGCCAACCTGAAATTTTCCAATATTGGAGATGGACCATAGTTTTTATTTTTGGGGGGGTTAGTAGTAGGGGGAAGGGATTAGTAAATTTGCATATCTGTAATGTTGCCAGTCTTTATGGCTGGTTATTGCCAAGGGTGAACACAGCTAATTATTGAATTTTGATTGTTGTCGTTCTCCGAAGCCGAAGCATTGCGCCCTTTACCATAATTTAATATAATTTATGTGTAATTCCAGGACCCAGTGACCCAACCATCACTATCACTCAGCTCCTCAAGGAGCTTTGCGCAGAGATGCCGCAGAGTCCACCACGCGCCCGGCCAAAGGTCGCATGCAAGGCCGGTGTGGGTCACACTGGCTTCACCCCTGGCGAAATTCGAATGAGGCTTCATAAGAATGGGTGTTTTGTGAGCCCTACTTGTAGCTACGTTGCATGGACAAACCGTAGCGGCACCCCTTAATTTTGAAGTCTTTGCGGAGCAATTTCTGGCTCTTTTGAATGTGCTCCTATTTCTGATTGAACGCATTTGGATTGCCGATATGGATGCCTGAACGTGTAATTTCGTGTCATTTCGTGTTGGGTGGCATTCTGCACATGTGCAGTAAAAGCACCCCTTATCCCTAAGCGATGCCGTGGTGGCACCCCTTAGTGCGTGTTGGGTGGTTTTTGGTCCACCCCGAAAAAGTGTCAAAACATGTCAAAACGTGTCATGTTTTTGTTCATGTTTCTTGCAAGAAACGGAGAGATGCACATTGCCAACACTGAATCGCGTGCTTTCTGTGCAAGGGCGGTATATTGTGGATGTGATTTTCTTTGCATGCTAAGGGGTTGCACAGCGGCACCCTTGGGAAACCATCATTTCAAACACGTAGCGGCACCCTTTGGAAGTTCCTGGTAAAATGTATAGCTGTTTACCATAATATAGACTCTAATGTACATTTTATATGATTTAGATTGATTTATGTATATATATATATATAGATTGATTGAGTATCATTCAGTATTTGATTGCCTATATTAATCTTGGTTTGGGCTCGAGGGCTAGGAGCTGTTTCCAGTCTCATGCAGGCTGGAAGGTCGCCAGGCCAGGACGTCTCGGTCCCCACACCTGAGAAGCCCAGATCATACGATCCGTGGGAAAGCCTGGCACTAGGGATGCAGGGCTCAGTGGTTGATCATGGTGAACCATGGTTAGACCACCTGAAGAGTTGCCGGAAAACATGGGATACACATTCATTTAAAACTTGATAAGATTTTCATACCTGGATTTACCGTATGTATCTGTATGTAATTTCATCATTTCATCCTTTGTATACCAGTTTTTTTCCTACCAGACTCCACGAAACTTGGTGGGGAATAGACTAGCAGAAGCTGATGGTTCCACCATGTGAGTGCAACAAATAATTAAGAATCAGAGATATATACAGTAATGCCATATCATGTTATTTCCTTGGGGGGAGCATTCGTTAAATCGAATGAGTTCCTGAAGAGCCCTGAACAGCTCCCACATACTTATATGTATTTATATATCATATAATCATCATATTAGATCATATTCAGATCATATTTCAACTCATCCTGCTGCATGTTTGGCGAAGCACTGAGGACTCGCAACAATGCATGGTCTCCTCCAGTCTCGCCCTCAGCTCATGCCCTGCGGCCTTCAACATGCCTTGTGCCTGACCAGGGGCTGAAGACTCGACCTGTCACTGTAGACATTTGATGACAATTCTAAAGTTGAACAATGATAAATGGACCTGGAACTAACATAAGAAAGAAACTATGATTTTCATCATGAAGGAGCAAAGCATGTCCACCAGTTTTTTCTTGTGATGGCATATGACACTCCGTTGATTAGCTGAAACTTCTGGTCGATCGACACACACATGGATATTAAATATCTCAAGGTATCCCAGCTTGAGGGAAGTGCTGATCCCTTCTTTGTTCATCAACTTGTCGGCTCAAGTTACCTCGAATTTTCCGCTGGGTTGAGCCACGCAGAATATCGCAGAATGGCACCCATGGCGCTAGCCCGAGTGACGACTGCCCTTTTAGCACTGCCTGCTGTTTCAGCCGTGGCAGTACCAGATGTTGAGATCAGCCCTGGAGTCAAGATGCCCATGATCGTGCCTGGCCAATTTTGGCCCCAGCTATTGCAATATTTAAGATTGGATTGCCCATGTGGATGTTACATGATGTTACTATTTACTAGACTGGGTATCACTAGTTGTGGCTTGTGACACTGCAAACGAGTGTTGCACAATCATTGTCGGATATTGTTGGAGACGTTTGGTATGAGCCGTGGCTTTCCACTTTGTTTCTGTGTTGACGGTGAGCCCAGGCCTTTGGCACCTACAGGGGCTCCTTGACCACTTGCTCAGTGGTTGAAGGAGTGCACCAATGGTTGGAGATCGGCGGCCGGCACATCGACACAGCACACAACTATGGTACTGAAGCCGATGTTGGCAAAGCTCTCCGGGAATCCGACGTAAACTGCTGACTGATTATTGAAAAGGATCAAAGGATCAACAGAAATTGTTGTTTCTTTATTAGGATTTGCATGGATTTGCGGCTGAATGCGGCTGAGCTCTTCTTCAAACCTGAGTTTGTGGCTTTACTAGCAATATCTAGCAATACTTCTCAACTTTCAATTCAACCTTTTCCCGAGGTGAAGCGTGAGGATATCTTCATCACGACCAAGATCCCTGGACCAATTGGTAGCGATGCTGTGCAGAAGATGGTGCTCAATGAGACACTTCCAAAGCTCGGAGTTGAGTACGTGATTCAGATGCAGTTCTCATCTATCATTACTATTTGAATACTATCTATCTACAGACATTTACAGACTCTATTGGGCTTTATTTGTCGTTGCATCCAAAAGGCAATTTTTATCAATTGTTGTTCTTGACTTGTACACCAAGGGTCACCAAGCCATGCTGCACTTGCTCAGCGACTTACTGACATTTCGCTGATCACCCTTGCCACTCTGAGGTTGACCTCCTGCTGATTCACACACCATGCCTGGATTTTAAAGACTTTCCGAACAAGTGCGGGTCGAAGCTGCAGAAGGAACGTTTGGACACATGGCACGGCATCACGGAGCTTCGAAAGCAGGGAAAGGTTCGGGCAATCGGAGTCACTTGTTTGTTCTCAGCGAATGTTCTTTTTATCTCTTTTTGCCTACTGTATGAATTTGTATGAGGCATCGCAGGCTTGTTTTCTTTCAGGATGCTTGCCATTGCTCGGCTTCTTTCAGATGTGTTCTGCAAGTATCCTGTGAGGTTAGCAATTACCTCGCGGAGCAAGTGAAGGAAGCCACTGAGCAGGGCAAAGTGATGCAGGGTGTTATCGTGGGGCTGGAAGCATTAGGAAGGGTGCAGAGGTTTGAGTGCAATGGTTGTAACTTGTAACGCAGCCTTTCGATGCTTTCCCTGCCTGCCCCAATGAAAGTCTTCCAAGCCTCTCCTGCAGGCACTCTGCCACAAACATGCACTTGTGCCAAGCCTGCAACGGAGTGATTCCAAGCCTGCAAACATAAGGTGATTGATGAGTTTAAAGAAGCTCCAGCTGTGAATCAGGCGAGGTGGTTGGCTCCGGAGTGCGTTTGAGGACGAAACCCGTCGACTGTACGCTGTTTAGCTGACTAATGCTGATTAATTACATTTAATTACCATATGTATCCGATAATCGGATATGTATCCATATGTTTTTGCAGCAGTTGTGGTAGTGAATAGACCAGCTTGGCTTGAGCATGGTTGATCATAGAACCTGCATCTGAACTTGCTGAACATGTTTTTAATCCAGAAGAAGCGTCACCAGGTGCAGTGGCACTTGGCCCACCACGACGAGACCTTGAGAAGTGCCATGCATTCGCGCTCTGCACCGATACAGTGAGCACTTTTAAATTTGTTCATTTTGTTCTATGCCTTCTGTCTTGATCCTTCCCAATTCCCTGTTCTTTCTTGGTTTGGAGATGTTGGTGGATTTTGACTTTCATTCTTCCGGTGCTGTAGGTATGGCGTTACTTTGGAAGCTTGGGCTTCATTGGGAGGTCCAACAGCTCAAGGCGGCACAAGCATATCTTTGGGAGATGAGAGGCTCAAGAAGTTGGCAGGCGCAACGATTCTTGACAAGTTTTGACCATGAGGAAATCCAAACCAGACGAAACGGCTATCTACCGTGAGTTTTGAACGTTACTGAGCAAGCATGGGAAAGCCAGATTGTGCTTGAGTTTTTGTCTCAGACATTCATGGAGTCGGTCTCCATAAGTCAAGAAGATATATTTCCCCAGATCTCTGATGTTTAGTACTGGCAGCGCCCAGCTGCAGGAAACTGCATGGAAATGCATGGAAAATACTGTCCACAACTATCCATAACTTATGTTTTTTTGGGTTGGATTCATGTTCCTCTTTTTCTTGCTTGTATTGTCAATGCGGAATCTTCAAAATTATAATCATGAATCCGGCCTTTTTTGAATACTTATGAGCAAACAGATATCGAGTGTCGATATGATACTTATATAATCTTATATACAATATTATACAATACTACTATATATATAATTATGATAATGACTTTGTGACATGCTGTGTTGCTTGTCATGCAGGACGCTATGGCATGAGCACTGCTCAATTAGAGCTTCGCTGGGAGACGCAGCGCGGAGTGGTGCCAGTGACGGCCACCTGTACCAAGGACCATGCTGTTCGATGCTCAGTACCCGCCATGGGCATGGGCATGGCATGGGCATGGCATGGGCATGGAACTGATGGAACTGTCAGGTTGGCGACCTGAATGCTTTTAACTTTACTCTCTCTGAGGAGGACAGCGGGTGAAACATGGTGAAACGGCTGGAGTTGGTTGTGGAGTGTTATAATTAGTTGGTTGAAGTTCAAGTCTTGTGTTTGAAGATGGCTATGTATGCAGAATTCTCTTTAGATACCCCTCATCTGACACCAGCAGCTCCGTACCTCCCCTGTGAGGATCTGGAGTATTTGGATGGTCTCAAGGCGGACTACGTCCCGAAGATGTTCGTTTGATGACATGGCATGCTTGGTAACGCTGGTAAGGCGGCTTGACCACCTTGACCGCCTTGACCGAGCTTCTGGTAGGTCCCATGCCCCCAGGGACAGCGAGGAAAGTTGCTCACTGGAAGGCCAGGGCACTGCGAGTGAAGCAGACCGAGACCACTGCAGTGTGGGAAGAAAAAGATGAGTTCAAAGTATTTCAAAGTTCAAACTAGTGGTGCGCTGTTGGCTTTGACAAGACAGACCAGCTGTGTGGGAGAAGCATGGTTTGCATTGTAATTCAACACGCGCCTTGTACGCGAACCCATTTTATTAGCAGGCAGGAGAGCTGGAACCTGTTGTCTTTGGCAACCTCACGGTAATCAATATTCAATGGGCTGCAAAGTGTGTCAACCATGATATATAATAATATATAATATATATTTAAGCACATGCAGTATGCAGGCATGTTCCTCTTGCGTTTTATGATGGAGAACCAAGAGGTACACTTGGAAGTCTAGAAGTAGAGTACATGCTCTGCATTTCCGTTCCGTCCATACAGCCTTGCTGCTCCTATGATAAACTGCCTGTTTGTATCGGCCGACAGCTGGAGCATCTAAGCGGACACATCTAATTGCATCCAATTGCAGTATACTCAGTATATGTTTGATTGATGATATCGATGCAGAACATATACGAAAATGAATTTGGATATAATATGATATAATATACTATTACACTTACACTGTGATTATACTATATACACTGTGCAGACATAGATTTGACATTATTTGACTATACATTTACATTTGGCATGATGACTGGGACGCGCATGTGCTGAGGTTTCTCCTGCTGCCCAGGTTTCTCCAGAGCTGACGCCAGAACGAACACGCTTTGGACAGGACTTCCTGGGCAGTGTGCAGTGTGAATTGGACTAATGGTGCTGCATGATCCCACGTACACTAACGTGTGCACTGTTTGCATTCCTTTGTCGCAAGTAGGGTTGCAGCAAAATACGTGACATTGACATGTCACTTTGCGTTCCATCCTTCAACGAGGTGCGCAGGATTAATAAAACAATTCTGTGCATGTCCTTCACGCTATCATACGGAATAGACGACAACCTGCATTACTTGCACTAGCTTGGTTTCAGCATGCTCCCGCATGAACACACGCACAAGTGAATCAACTCCTTGAGCAGGAGAATTCGCCGGATTTCCCAGCTGAAAAAGAGAACAACGCTGACCCTGAAGTGTCACAGACTCAGCGCCCTTCAGGCCAGTCAGATGAACCGCCACCTACGCTCAAGTGGCAGCCCAGGTCGCCAGAAAGAAAGACCAAACTGCAGAACTTGCAGAAGCTTACAGCCAAGTGGAACTCGCCTAAGGACGCATTGACATCATGGTGACACGAGCATTTCGAATTCCACAACTGTATGGCAGATCAGGAGTATCGAGCATGAATTCTCCTTTGATCTTGCACTGACACGGCTTTCTCGTAAAGACAGGCGGAGAGCCTCCAACGCTTGAAAATGCTGGCAGAGCTTTCAAGGGATTTCCGATCCTTTTGCCAGCCAAGCAGGACGATCTGACTGAAAAGATGGAGAAACCTGACAAGATGCAGGCTTGCCAGAGGGGGCTGCTAGAGACAGCCTGCAATTCATGGTTATCATTGAGTTATCGTTCTCATCCAAAGGATTTGCAGGACATAATCGATGATATCGATGCACAATTTTGGAACCAAGGAGCGTTGCTTCAAGTGTCTTTGAAACGCATCAATTGCAACTAAAGGCCAAAGCTATGATCTCCCAGTTGGCGTTGGCGGCTTAGTTTTGTGGTTGACATGAGCATTCAGATCGTTGTGTGTTGCTCCGAGAACATGAGTAGTCCAATTCACCACCACGATGCAAGAGCGTCTGCTGTTTGAATTGAGTAAGTACTGATGGTGCACAGTCCTGGTATGTCCTGATTCTGCTGAGGGAATGGCCATGACATAGCCAACATGCAGAATGCAATCAATTGATTTGTCCATGGGTCAGAGGTTGGATGTTTTCAATTCACTGTGCTATTTTTTTTCCGTGGTTCCCGGTTTCGATAGAATGGATATCAAATTAGGTGATGTTAGCTTCATTGAGAGCCTGCAGTAGATAGCACAGAAAGCCGACCCTGATGTGATGGGCCCAAGGTCACCTCTACGTTGCGAGAACTCCCGGCCCAATCGCAAAACGATCGCTTCGGCAGCGCCACTTGACGTCACTTCATGCCCTGGGTCAGGTAGAAGGCATGGCAGAAGTAGCGAAGTTCACCCTCAACCCACCATAACCCGCCCAAAATCTTCCAAAACAGTTTGAAGGAGTACGTGGCATTATGTGGCAATCTGAGATAATCTGAGGCCTGCTGGGTGCGGTGAAGTGAAGCGTCGGGAGCTTCCGAGAATGACCACAGTGGATCAGCATGGTTTGATTAGGTTTGTTAGGCTAGGGCTAGGCTGCACGGAAGTGAAACTTCTTACAGGATCTCAAAATCTCAACATACCTCAAATCATGAAGTGCCGGCCTCAGGTGTCACTCCTATCCTCGAAGGGAGGCAATACAGGAGGGGTTCGGATATGCACACGGGAGCAGCACGAGACAGCGACAGTTTTCACATGTTTTCATTCCCTTTCTCGGACTGGGAGAGAGAGAGAGAGAGAGAAAGAGAGACTCACACGCACACCGCACACACAAGATATGTTGGGATACTGCAGTGACCAATGATACTTACTTTGCTATGAAGATTGGTTCTCCCTTTGATGGCTGGGCGGCTATCAACAGGAGGTCACAGATGTTGCCGAAGCAGATGAAAGAAATGCTTGGGTGCCGAAGGTGGGCATAAAGCGGATAGGCTTAGCACAGGTTTTACATGTTTTACATTGGGACCCAGAATGTTTTTTTTAAATCCTGTCCTGTTCTCACAGTCTCACAGTCTCGCATATGTCTTGATATTATAGTATATTATAGTGTTGATTCGATCAATTGTTCAGATCGTTTTTCTTTTTTAAACGTAATCTTACCATATTTTAAGCACGTTGCTTTGTTTATCCATGGCGTTCCCTCATCGTTGGTTGCCTGAGGTCGAATGGGCTGTCCAAGGTGCACAGCCAGGGGAGGAACTCCGACGTAATTCAGTTGGCAAGGGCTTTGTCAGTAATTATTCATATGGGTGCAAGTCAAAATAGGAGGTCCGGAACAAGCTCCGGGACCACACCCGTTCCATACCCCCGTTCCATACCCCCGTTCCATACCTCCTTGAAGGATCCGTTCCATACCTCTGTTCCATACCTCTGATCCATACGTTATTATATAATTATTATTATATATATATATTTATATATATATGTAGTTATATATATATATATGCATTTATATATATAATATATGTATTTATATATATATACACCTGAATATGTGCAGTCTGATTTTACATTTGTACGCGCATACTTGAGTGCACATACACACATGAGTGTGTACATGCAAGAATAGGTTTACTATGCCCAAGCCCTGTGATTGTGTTGTCAAGTCTGTGCCTGCAGCGTTTGTTGTGTGATGGTAGGGATGTGCTTGGCTGTTGTCAGCTGGCAGTCTAAGAATGGATTGCTTGTAACCCTCCCTCCCTCTCAACCTGTGGCAGGTTTGCGCCTGCACCACTTACAGTTGCTGCCCGCTGTGGCACAGCTGTGATGTTTGATGGTAGAGATGCGCTTGGCTGTTGACAGCTGGCAGTCTAAGAATTGCTTGCTGCGCTACTCTCGCTCCACACTGCCAATTTTGATAAAGATGCGCTTCGTGGTGGCAGAGCTGTGCTGGAGTGGGCCGTTTCGTTCCAGACCCCGTTCCATACCGTTCCATACCCGTTCCAGACCCGGACCACCCATGTACCATCCATGACCCACTTCCGCGTGAACAAACGGCAGGTTCTCACATAGACTGCTCCTAAGCCATCCTTTGCGCGTGGGTTTCGGGAGCCTAGAGTCTTGCTACGCGGGGACACAATCTACCCCATAGGGACCGGGACTTCTGAGTTTTAAGAGTAGGAGGTGGGACCTGCGTGACAGGTCTGAAGCTGAGCGGATAGCTTCACATAGTAGCCAGTGGGTGAGGCTGGCTACCAGTTATGTCCTAGCTAGTGCACGAGCACTAGCCATGCAAGGCAAACCTGCGTTGAACAGGTGTACAACAAGGATGCCACGCAGATGAGAAGTAAAAATGAGCGGCAGCCAGTGGTAGTAGCTTCAACGTGCATATCCTTGAGATGTAATTTAATTTTATATACATATATTACACATATATACAGTATACATATATATTTATATTTATGTACAGCTTATATTTCATCACATTCCAAAGGTCCGGAACAAGACCATTTACGAAACCCCTTCGTTCCATACGTCCGGAACAGCGCGGAACGTTCCATACACAATTTTGACTCATAGCCATATGGGTATGGATCAATACCTATTAATACCATTTTTAGGGAGATGAACATCCATTTACCAGCTATTTTGATGTTCACCAGGGGTACAAGGTTTTGACACACTGCCATATGGTGATTGAATGTATGATCACATATTGATTATAATGTATATTAATGTATGATTTAATATAATTTTCAGCATTCCACCCGATTCTACCTGTCACTACTTAAGACATTAGGATCATTAGCACATTATAATCCCCTGTGCTGGACAATGGCTGAATTCACATTGTTTCGAGGTAGCACCTCTCTCGCCCACTGTGCCCAACAGAATAACTTGCAATCTGCTTTGGGGCGAATATGACTGAACAATCTAAACAGGTGTATGAGGATTTGCCAGAAGTGGAAGAAGGCCAGCACGCGAGAGCATTCGTTTGGCGCTTGATTGCCCTATCAGGCTCTAGCAGGCTTGTCCGTGATTTTGGTTAATTTTCTTTTTGCAGATTTTGCAGATGGGTGAGGTTTCAGCATAAATGGATGTAAATGGTGCATCGTATGGTAGATTTTAATATCATAATATCATGATATATCAATTTTTGTCTTGCGAACCTACACTGGTCAATGTGGAGTTCTGGGTTTGATTGGACAGGCCGAGAAATTGGCCAGACTCACTTCTCGTCAGTGAAGATGGCTGTGTTTGCCGACAAGGGGTGTGGGACTTATGCCCCAGTGATCCCCAGTGTAACTTGTTTTGGCAGACAGGCCTGCCATCTCATCCCATCTCCTTAGTGGTTGTGAAGGCAACCTTGCAGAATCTCCAAAGATTGTTGCGGAAGGGACGTAAGATTGATCTCTTCTCGATGTACAGTAGCTCAGAACTTTGCTACTAAATGACTAGATTCGTAGATGCCTTTCATTGTCTTTCAAAATAAGACAGTTGATACGTTCCGACTTGGAGTACACAATCACAATTGTCATCAGCTTTTGGTGGGACATCTGAGGCTCTCTTGTGATCCTTTGGGAGCCTCTGCAGCTTGTCTTCTGATTCTCTTCCTCATAGCGATTGGTGAAGATAGACGGGGGTGGATTTTTCCAATTCAGGATCACTTGCTTGATTTATCCCTCAGAACGATATCCTGTGGTCCTATTCATTGATCATGAAATTATGCACTATAGTCTTAGGGTGGTGTAGGGGCGGGTCTTCTTAGGGGTCTTATTGCTGAAAATTTCGGCTGAGAAAATCCCATTAAAAACCTGGAAAGTCCCAACAAATCCATCAATGACCAATGTTTACAGGATTTAACCTAAAATCGTTTATATAATTATGTTTGCACCTGAGAGCTCCTTTGGGTCATGCCCACCTCAAAGAGGAAAGGGATCCCTGGGAATTGGCTGGCACTGGCACTTATTTCGGCACTCAGTATGTGGTAGTTACTGCACTTATTTTGCCTGTGTTTTAGTAACTGTTTGCTGGGGGTGCCCAATTGCTTCAAGTAATGGTGCTAAGCCACCTTGTTGAATATCTAAACCAAGAACCCCCGGATTTTTAATCTGTGTCCAAAAAAGTGTTGGAAAGTAGGAATTGTTGGGAGCAATTGCTGCTAAATGCTTGCTAGCTGCTTTCCCCATTTTTGGGTTTTTTTTGAGGTTTGTGTGGGTTTTTGTTAGGTTTTGCTGGGTTTTGCTTTGGTTTTGTGTGAGATACATTGTAGGTGTTTGTGTAATTTTGTTAGGCCCTTATTAATTTTAAGATTTTAAGTTGTTTGTGCTTGCTTGGGGCCAAAACATTTTTGGCTTTTGATGGGGTTTTTGAGGTTTTGTGGGATTGCTTTAGCATTGGCTAGGATCTGTTTTGGGGTTTGGTGGCGTTGTTTTAGGCACTTATTGGTTTGAATTGGTTAGCGTTTGACGGTTTGGCCCATATTTGGGTTACAATGATGGTAGTGCTATTAATTTCAAAGTTGTTTCTTGTTGGGCTTGATTGGAATGATGTGGGCTGCCCCATTTCCGGGATTGTGGTGGGGTTGTTTGGAGGTTCTAATTAATTTATGGGGTTGATAATGGTTGATAGTACAGCGTTGGCCGTGGGAATCTTGAGGGTTTTCCTTAGGTTTCTATGGATTTTCTGTAGGGTTTTGTGGGGTTTATGTGGGAATTCTTTGGGAAATCCATGCGCCTAAAGAAATCAATAAAGCCTCTAACAAAAAGCACCCCTAAGCCGCTGTATGATATAGTCATACCAGTAGTACCGCACAAGGCGGTGGCGGAAGTTTCAAAAATAGGAAACCTATAGGAGAGATTGGCTGTTGTGAATCAGGGATGGCAGAGCGAAGCCACTGATGGACCGAAAGGTGCTTGAGGTCTCCTCTCTTTCTCTCTCTTTCTCTGAATAGCTATCTATGTATCTATGTATCTATCTATCTATCTATCTAAATCAATGTCCAACTGTATCTGGGTCTGTTCCAATTACCATGTGGGTCCTGACCAGTTGGCCGACGCAGCCATTTTCCAACCCAAGTGCGCAACTCCCACCGTCTCTGCGTTTAGAAACGCAGTGAACCTTGGATGCAAAACGGTCGGTGGACCTCTTTTGGATCATACCCATTGCTCAGCAGCTGGGTGGCCCTCATAGTGATTCGCAACGATCCACCTGAGTTGTTTGGGAATTTTGGTTTTTGGCAAGTAGATGGATGGGCTCCATGATCACTTGACAAAGAATCTGAAGACCCTTGCTTAGATCGATCTATGAACTATTCTATGAATTTTGGTTGTCACCAAATATGATCAACCAAGCTACTCTCTCCTGACCGCAGCAGCCTTCTTTTTCCAATCTTCTCCTGCCCCTCCTCCCCTCTTCGCAGCGACCCAAGCGTTTGAGTAGACCTAGGATGCGGATGCAAAAATGGGAGAACACTGGGCAAAAGAAAAGCTTCCAGAGAGCATGAACAAAAAACAAAGCACATTGAACTTGAACTGCACTATCTGCACTTGAACTTGAAATTTAAACCTAGCTGCTGAATGCATTTTCTTCTTCAATGAAACTGTCTCTGCATCATCTGCATCAGACCCTTTTGCCTTCCCTTTTCCCTTGCCTTTTCCCTTGCATGCTGCCTTTGCTTTTGCCTTGCATGCTGCCTTTGCGCTTGCCTTGCATGCTGCCTTTGCGCTTGCCTTGCATGCTGCCTTTGCTTTTGCCTTTTTGCCTTTGCTTGGTGATGTCTTTTTTGTCTTGCGTTTGCTGCTACATGCTGACTTTCCGGTCGGCTCCAGTCGTTTCTTGGGCTTTGGGGTCTTTGGCTGTGTCTCTTCAGGCTCTGGGGTCTTTGGCTGTGTCTCTTCAGGCTCTGGGCTCTTTGGCTGTGTCTCTTCAGACTCTGGGGTATTTGGCAGTGTCTCTTCAGACTCTGGGGTATTTGGCAGTGTCTCTTCAGACTCTGGGGTATTTGGCAGTGTCTCTTCAGGCTCTGGGGTCGTTGGCAATGCCTCAATTACCTGTGGGGTCTTTGGCGGTGTCTCTTCAAGGACCGTTGGTGTAATGTTTGGGCTCATACCATCATCATCCCCAAACCCTGTGTCATTGCGCGGTGACCTTTGGGTGCTGAGGTCCTGTAACTTTCGCAAGGCACCATCAATTGCCTCAATTGTGGCTTGAACCATTTCCCTAGTGACAAGACCATCACCCTCAGTGACTGAAAGACTCTCCACTTCAATCCTCTCCTGTGCCCAATCTAGCTCATGGCCAGTGTGAAGCGCCATGCCCTCCATATGCTGGAGCATCGTATCGATTTCTTCCTGGGGCACCAGTATCATGGAGTTGTTTGGAACGAACATGACAAAGACATCTCAGAAACAAAAAACCTGACATTGACCACGGTTTGATTTTCAAATATTTTCAATTCACCTGACCTTTAATGACTTGATTGCTTTGTCAGTTTGAACTCAACTCACATAACTAAGTGATTCCCAAACACTAACCGTGAACCAGAATTTCACGATATTGTTGAATGCAGTTGATCATGTTTTGATCCTCAGCCATCTCAGGATTGGTGGCATCTTCGATACCTTCATGCATCGGTACCTGGGAGGCTGGACCGATGGGGAGCGGCGACCGATGGTGAAATTTCCAACATGGTGTTGATCCATTTCTTAATCAATCCAGGATACTTGGAAAAGTGCATAGCGAGGATCTTGTTTGTATGGAGTGTCTTGGAGACCAAGCTGGTTGTCAGGGTATTCCCATAAACCGGTGTCTTTCGGGTCAGGAGTCCTTGGAAGTGAGACATGGGGCTAAATAGGACACAGTGGGCTTATACTCTTAAATAGCCATGAGGGCCAGACAGTTCTGCAGCATCATGATGGGCCTATCAAAAAAAAATAAAGGGCAACCCATGTTTGTAAAAACCAACAGTGATTGGACTTAGAATAATCGGTTGTTTCATGTGCACTTGCCCACCTCCTCACCCCCAGTGATCTCAAAGTGGAACGGCTCCAGAGTTTGCTTGATGTTGGGCTCCTGATGCTCCTGATAGGATGGCAAATTATGATCATAATATGATATGTTATGATATGCTATAATATGCTATGTGACACTGATACTGTATGTTTTTCGAGGGAGGTTGCTCCTCAGCATCCGCGCGCTTGCGGCTCTTTGTGGCTGGTTTTTTCGATACATTGGCAGCAGGCCTCTTAGACGACCCACCCCTGCCACCCAAGTCTTTGGGGACATGTGCTTCCTGCCCTGTGCGAGCATCATCATCACCATTGGAGTCATTTTCATCATCATCCCCCCCAGTAAGTGGATAGGTTTCCTCGATTGGTTCCTCATCATCTTCATCCTGTTTCCGTTTCTTACGCGTGGTCTTCTCTTTTTTGTCCTTTTTTTTTGCCTGTTTCTTCTCCTTATCCTTATTGGTTTTCTCTTTGACATCTTTCTTTTTCTGGTCACCCGAAGAGTCATCTGAAGCCACTCTAGGTGGAAGCGCATGCCCAGCATGAACGCTGGTGCCTCACAGGGTGGATGAATTGACATCATTTTTTAGAAAGACATAAAATATACCTATTTTCAGCAGGCCCCTAATCTAGCCTGAGGGTTCAGATCGCGAAGCTATGTTGGACGACCGTGCTGCTGACGCTGGTGGGGAGCTAGATGACTTTGGCAGGGGAGACGATGATGACCCACCAAGACCGAAAGACGACGTCAGCCGTTGAAGATTGAAAGCCTAAACTGCTTTAGATTGATGTAAATTGATTCACACAGGAAACTCAAACATCAAACTAGGCAGAGGGTCAGAGAGTACAACCAAACTGATCAACAAATAATGGAAAAACTATCATAAAGGCGAGGGGCAGGTGGTCTTAGGACAGTGGTAAGGGGCACCTCCTGAACTTCATCATCACTCTCATCCGCCATGTTTCGCGGCCACCAAGCGACGCCAAAAGCAAAATGCTACGCGCATGGTCAAGGCACTGTAATCTGATCTGTGAAACCTTTTCATACCTTTTCAGCACATCAAAACACTGCACAAACTACCACATATCACACACCAAACGCCGCATACTCTACCATACCATTCTTCATATATCATTCATCAAAAACTATCATTTATTATTATCAATGGTCAAACCACTTCTTATATCATATCATGACTGTCATATCATATCGCCAGTTGGTTTCCACAACATACTGTTTGCAACACATCGTCACGCACACACTCAGTAGGCACAAGTTTTTGCTCTTGGGTTTGGATTTGGCGCTGCTGCTTTGCACAGTACACAAAGAGGAAAGGATTGACATACTCACACCGTATACCGCAAATTTGACCAAACTCAGGGGTTGATTTTAATAACAGGCAATAGAATCAATAGACAGATCTCCCATGTGAGTAGTCACTCCCAACCTACCCCACTCGGCTAATGTGAGTTGGGAACATCAAAAGTGCCATGACCTGCACCAGCTCAGCGCAATGCAGCCCGCTTTGTGAGCTTGTCTTACCGCATCAAAGATCTCAAAGTAAACGGAAAACATCTTTCTTTTGTGATTTTTACCTGAAACACTGAAACACCATTATCCCAAAACTGGTTGCCACAATGGGCCACAATCTTCAAAGAAGAAAACTGTCTCTAAGCCTCAGCCATTCAGACGAGCCTGACTACGGATTCCCCTAGATCAACAATGCCCTCCAAACATGCCACGGGGCGAATCGGCATCAAGACTTTTGTTCCTTTCTCAGCACTGCAATCGATCCTGGAAGGGGCATGACTAGTAGGTCAGCACTGAGATATCAGGAATATGTGGGCATCAAAGGTCACCCTTCAATAATGTCCAATCAAGTTCAATCCATAGTAACCATAGTAACAGTAATTAATAAATAGTAATTATGGATTGAACTTGAATTAACATTAATCAATCAGGGTTCCTTAGCGCTTTGCTACAGGTGTTGGGGTTCAGCTATCTGTGTCGGACCAGCCTGCATCGCCAGGCAATGCAAACCGACTTGGACGACTTCATGGCAGAGACAGACAAGGCCGAGCCAAAGTTCTTGAAGGTCAGGTTTTTTTTCGATTTCTTCTCCTTGCCCTTTTTGCCGGAGTCAGGGGCAACAAACTCATCCATGACAAACACCAGTTGCTTCGAGTTCACCCAGTCACCCATAGTCTCATTGAAGGTGTGGTGGCTCACGTCGACTTTGACCTTCAGATTACATGGGTCAGAGTGTTTAAACATTGAAGTTCAAACATTGACATTGACGTTCAAACACAAATCTTTGAGTATCTTTCTGGCGAAACCATCACGACATATGATTTTGAAAACAATACGATTTTGAGACCATCGCATTTTGAGACTAGATGATTTTGGGAAGTCACCCTGCCTCTCCCAGATCTTGCATATCAACCATAAGGGCTTGAAGTGAGATAGCCATCTCCAAGCTTTCCATCTCCATCAAATGCTGGGGAAGCGACTTCTTCTCCAGGATGATTAGTGATTGTTTGTTCACATTGAAACTGAACCACCGGCCCTCCACATCCTGGAGCACTTCTGCAGCCTCCTCAGGCGGAGGTGATTTCCGATGGTCGCGGAGGCAAAGGATATGGCATGGGGAACATGGAACATGGGGAACATGGGGATCATTGAGAGCATGGTAAAAGATTATGGTAATGCATTGTCAGGAGTCCTGTCCATCTCTCCATTCTCCAGGGCCCATTGAAAACCTGAGTGGTACAGTGGTGGACCATTATGGCTTCAGGTGCATAATAGCTCGCAAGAACATGCATGATAGCTGATAACATATGAAGTGTTTTTATTTTTTGTAAAGTACATGATGTAATAAAATAAATTTGACAAAGTATGTTACATACATGATCATGCATGTCATATGCAACACATCATGTTCACCTGCATTCAGTAAACATTGTTTAAGCTAGGTATTATGGCTAAATAGGTGACAAAAAGTACATGCCAATTTTGTATGAATGATTCATGCTAATTTTCAAGAATTCACAACGCACTGTTTCTTATTAAGTTAGCTATAGGTGGTATCATTCCCACACACAATGATTGATGGATATGCCCTTTTTGAAACAAATTTATCAAATAATAAAGACTGGAACATGTCATGTGTTGGGAAACCGAAAGCAGGAAATAGAATCAAGGCACAACTCCCGCTTGTCCAGGAATTGGTTCTTGCTCCGGGATGATAGGTACACCTTCTCCATGGTATCCCCCCCCGCAATGAGGTCACACGTGTTGTTGATTTGCAGGGTCTGCCTGGGATGCAGTAAGCTAGAGGATGAACTATTTTTTTACTGTGTATGTGGCCTGATAGGGTCTGATAAAAATACAGGGTGATAAGAAGGCATGGGGAAAAACCCTTGGCCCAAAAGAAAATTACTACACGAAGTTAAAGTACACATTGGGGATCTTGGAAACATCCAGTTCCGAGCAGGTCTCCAGTTTGAGCTTCTTTTCAGGTCTTTCGGCGTCGTCATCTTCGGCAGATCCAGCAGTCCTGTTCCCAGCTGGGCAGAATTGAGCAACCAGTGGATGGCTATGATGAAATTATCCACAAAAATGTTGTTGTTATTCTTCTTGTTGAGATTGGTGACATTTTAACCGTTGCATGGATGCCAAAAAGAAACATTGCGACTCCATATAGTCAGCTGAAGGTAAGTATAAACGAACTGCCGTTGTCATGTCAGATGAATAATGTATTGTTTATCTAACTAGTAGATAGTACGGTAAGTGTTTTTGAACAAGGACTAACATCATGGGAGATTTGGACATTGTGTCCTGTCAACCAAAACGAAGTCACCTTCTACATTATATTCTGCATTGTGTGATTCAATGATGGCTTGTGCTCGCTCTTGGGTTGATTCGGTAGTAAGCCACCGCTTTGCAAAAGAGTCCAAGACCATCAAATTGTTCCCCCGCACTGCAGTCACCTTGAAGGGCTGGGTTCGTTCTGTGATGGCGCCAGCCTTCAAACCTTCGAGATGTGGAGTGAAGTCTGGGAAGGATGGAATTTTGATAGAACCTGCCCTCCCCAGCTCGTAGAGCTGGTTGCCAACACGGGTAGCCAGATCAGAGCCAGAGGCCTCAAGGCAAATGGTAGCACATTGGCAGTGCCTCCCCTCAGCCATTTCCTTGACAGGGTAATTTTGGTCTGGTATAATGGACTTATGATCGCATTGAAACCAGTAAGGGAGTGGTACAAACATGTGCAAACGAAGTCCTCGATGCATGTCAATGCAGGGAACGCATCGTAGCCGAAAAGGTCAACCAACAATGTCAGCTTGGATGTGGGAATGCCAAAAGCACCCAATGTGGCCTTGATGAAATGCGTCCCAGCTGCCACCTCATCAGGGGATCTTGAAAAACCATGCTGAACATATTCTGTGAGGTAAAGGTTCCTTTTTTTGGACAAATTGTATCGAATCTAAAGAATACACATGATGAGTAATCCCATATTCATGGCGGAATGGTAAGTCTTTGTTTCCCGCGTCAGTAGTGACACAACATGAACAGGATCTAAGTATCCCATCGACTCGAGAACTGCATATATAGGTCAACAACACCCCAGTCCGCCCATGGGTCAGACTAGCTGTTTCTCCCAAGCCTGCTTCAGCTCCTGTACATCCGTGAACGCACGGCCAAGGTGAGGAAGCCTTCCCGGCGATGCCTGCAGGCGACATCAGGTGGTTGGACTGGAGCAGACTGCAGGTAACAGTATCAAAACAAATATTAATAACCAGGGGTTCCTACGGCATACAATCCACTCTAAAGTCTATTTGACTCAAGTCCTTTATAACTCATAGTTATGCATTGTTCATATAACAACCTACTATCAATCTACTGTACTATCAATCTACTATAGAGTTCACTGCAAACTAACTGTCAGTTTGCAAAGAACATCACAAAACAGATGCTTGTTTGGAACCTTGATACTGGTTGTAACACAAGGTATCTGGGAATCAATTTTTGATGGAACAGGCCTGCTCTGGCTTGAACATCTGCGATCGGGGATGCATCTTCACCTGGTGGACAGTTCCTGTTTTAAAGCCCCGGGTAGATCGGAACAGGTTGCGAGAGTCCCTGTTCACAATGGCAAGTCCAGTCACCACACCATCACGCTTGCCATACACAGTGTCCTTGGTTGTACAAAGTGAGCTAAGTTCAGACATCATTCTAGTCATGCACGGTTGAAAATATGATACAAAACTGTAATTACTGAGGATGTAGAGTATGCTGACTTACCTTACGCCTGCAAAAAATATTGGATAAACTTTGGGGCATGATCTGATTGAAACCCCATTCATTGATTCAATAACTTCATGATCTTATGTTGAGCTTGTTTTTGGGTGGATCTCACCAGACCCATAATCAAGTCCGAGCTTCAGGGTCAAAGATCCACGTGAGGTTTCGAACACGCAGATTCCGTTCCTTCATCGCAAATTCTTTCCTCAACTGAAGGGACTAAATTGGACATACTGAAGAGTTGAAAATACCATTGGCCCCATAAATAGTAGATTTGATATCATGATGGCAAATGAGATGACAAACAACAAAGTTTTCTAACTTCTAAGGATGTTCTCAATGGCATATCGAATGTCACGAACTTCGACAGCTTCAGCTTCCTTGGAATCATCATCCTTGGGCTCCTCCTTTTTCAAGCCATGTTCATCCTCATCAGAGTCATCACCCCCTTTCACGTCAGGGTCGTCTTCCTCCGCTTTCGGTCTCTTCCTGGCAAAGGACGTGTTCAGGGGGCTGAGGTGGGCATGGTGGTTGGGCTCATGGGCAAAATGTCAGAACAACAATGACATGCTTGGATATTATGTCTCATTTTTGGTCAAGCCAAGGCAAGTCGCATACACTCAAAAAAAAAGAAAACAGTCCTGCTGGTGACATCTTGC